CCCGCCACCACCCGACAGAATAACGTGCCAATTCGTTGCTGGCACAGCCACGCCGGTGCGCTGGAGGGTTAAACCCCACGGCATTCTCGCTGCGAGCACGGCGTTTGCAGCAGCAGCAGCAGCATCATCAGGCGTGTGACACGGCGGCGGCTCTACCGCATGTGCGCACGGAGCTGTGGGTGAGAGTTCGGCAGCGGAGGCGCCGTCGCGAGCCGACGGGGGCAGCGGGGAGATTAGCGCCACCCTCGGCGTGTTACAGCGAGGGCGTTCGGAAATGTCCCCCTGAACACACGCGCGCACACACCGTGAACACACACACCGTGACCACACACACACCATGAACACACACACACCGTGACCACACATACACCCTGAACACACACACATACACACCGTGAACACACACACACACATCCTGAACACACACACACCCTGAACACACACACACACCGTGAACACACACACACACCCTGAACACACACGCACACCGTGACCACACACACACACCCTGAACACACACACACCGTGACCACACACACCGTGACCACACACACCCTGAACACACACACACCGTGACCACACACACACACCCTGAACCCACACACATCCTGAACACACACTCCCTGAACACACACACCCTGAACACACACACCCTGAACACACACACCGTGACCAATTATTACCTTTGTACAATATCCGTGCTTAACGCGCCGTGAGAGTAACTCATTAGAGGGATTAATTAAGGTAATTGATTAATTAGTGCCCTGATTAATGCCGGGGCGTAGGTCGGGGGAGCTGACCGGGGTGGGGTGGGGGTGGGTGTTGAGGTTTCGGCTGCACCGAGCGAGAATTGTCACGGAATCGGACGCAACGAGGCCCCCAGCGCATTTCCACTCCGACGTGACGATTGTCACGAGAAACAATGAGGACGACGACGACACAATGTTGGCACGGCGGAGCTGGCTGTGTGAATGTCCCTCGGCTCGTCACCTCTGTATGTGTGTGTGTGGTGCGTGCGCGTGTGTGCCAGTCATCGTGGCCACCCACCCCCTCGTGTGCCGTGCCGGCCTTTATAGGTGCTACTCGCTAACAGCACTTGCCCCTACAGTCTGTGAAGGCTACACGGGGGATCTTTGCCTTTGTCTTTGTCATCGTGGGGAGCGGTGGTGCAGCGGTTAGCGCGCCGCGCCACGAACCTGGCGACCCGGGTTCGATTCTCGCTCACGGCCAACACCGGTGACGATTGTCTGAACCGGTCCTGGGCCTCCCCTAGGTCCACTCAGCCTGAAATGAGTACCTGGTGCGATGTGTAAACATCGCTACTGGGGATACAAAGGAGGCCGGACGTGGTGGTGGCCACCCACCCCCTCGTGTTCCGTGCCGGCCTTCATAGATGCTACTCGCTAACAGCGCTTGCGCCAAAAGTCTGTTGAAGGCTATACGGGGGATCTTTGTGTGCGTGCACGTGTGTGTGCGTACTTGTGTTGGAGGGCGGTAACGCAGTGGGGTGGATGTATTTTTCCGCTGGCCACAAAGAACGTCGTCGTTTATTATCTCATCTGGGGAACCTGTCCTGAGTTACCTCGTGCGCTGCGTAAACTGCAGTACTGGGGGAGACAAAGGCGGCCGGGCGTGGCGCAGACCACACCGTGGCTGGCCTTTGCAGGTGCTCGCATTCAGCCCTTGCCCCCCAAAATTCCGCACAGCGACGGGGGGTGGGAGGGGTGTTTGTCTTTCTGTGCAGTGTTTGTTTTTGTGCGCGTGCGTGTATCTCAGCTCTGACCTTCTTCCTTCAAGCCCCCCACGTTCACTCCCCCGTGTGATCTAGCCCCCCTCCCACCGCTCCCCCTCTACCCCCCTACCCCCCCTCCTCCCGGGAGTCTTGAGTGGTGGACGCATCCACCGGCCGATCGCTGGGACTGCCACCTACGACGACGCTCCCCGCTCCCTCTGAATGAATCCATCGGTCGCGCCTCTGCCCTTCCCTCTTACCCCCCACCACCACCACCCACTTCCACACCCCCCCCCCCCCCCCAATGATTAAACCTTTAACCCCAACCGACACTGAACCCCCGGTCCCTTCAGAGTCCCGCGGAAGCCCGGGCGAAACCCTGTGACCCTGTCTCTCTGCACGCCTGCCCGCAGACGTTCATGTCCAGCCATGGCGTTCTCTTCCCGATTCGCCTTCTGGGAGCAAAAGGGGAGTGAAGCGCCGCTCGTGAGTTGTCCCGCGAGCCCCCCCGCATCCCCCCCGCATCCCCCCCCCCCCCCCGTTGTATCCCTCCGCGCATTATTTTTTGTCATTTACGCGTTTTATTGCTCTCGCTGGTTTTGTTTTTTGTTGTTGTTATCGTCGTCGGCCGCCGTGTTTATTTCTCGCCACGTCACGCGGGGGGAGGGGGCGGTGGGGGGAAACCAACCTCCCCCCAAAATAAACGCGAGGGTTTTATTTATTATATATTTCTTAGCGCTTGCCAAAAAGAAAATAAAAAACACCACCGCCGTGTATGTAACCCGCTCACCGTTAAAAGGTCGCGTCGCAATATTTCAAACGCTCGGTCCGCCCCGCGATGGCCGGTGAGGCCACGGTTATTGCGGCGTTTGGGGGGGGGTGGGGGGTGTCGTGGCAGACGGGAGGGGGGGGCTGGCGAGATGACACCGCTGGGATTTGCGTCTCCGCGTAGAAATACAGACGCACGGAGAGGAGGGGGCCCGGCCGTCTTTTTTCACATATTTCAAGGTGTAAGTGCATTTTTTTTTTAAACGCGTCTGCCCACGGAAAATGCCACAGCCTGACCTTAGGCGGGCTCCCACAATTCACCTGCGCACTATTTTCTCATTCCATATTCCGACTCGTGATTGTGTTTTCGGAGCCGTATTATATTTGGCCGAAGGTTACCGGTGGGTGTTGGGGTTTGTTTTTTTCTCTTCCTCTCTCTCTCGAGCGGATATGAAAATTAATGTCACGATGAATGGTGGTTACTTTTCAATAGCTGTTACATTAGAAGTTTTATATTTATTTTATTTTCCACATGTAAATGCAACAACGACAAAAAGTCAAAATATTTTTGGTGGTATTTTTCCACAATGAGATTTTCATAAAAATGCAGCAGCAGCAGCATTCCCAAAGTCGAATTTTTCCGCAAAGAATAATAAACATGCTCGACTGTTATTCATCGTCGTTTTCATTCGGCGCGGCACTTTAATAAACAGCAGCTCCATGAGAGGGGACTCATTTAAAAGCCTCTGTCGTTACGCGGCGATCACATTTCTGAACGCAAAACGCTCCCCCGCATTTTAAGCAGGCGAGAGCCGATCCACGACACCCAGTCGCTTACTGGAGAGAGAGAGAGAGACACAGAGAGCTGGACATTTAACGCAATGAGTGTATTTACGTGGCGGGCGATCGCATTTAAAATTAGAATCTGGTGAGTAATGCGTGCGTCTGTGCGTGTGCGCGCGCACCCTCTATTTTTGCAAACTGGCTCCCCAGTGCCACGAAGTAAAAAAAAAACTCAAACTCGCACGGGTCACAGCGATGCCAATTTGCTTTGAGCAGCGGGGCCGTAGACCGTTGTTTGCGCTTCCGTTGGGCGGTGGAGAAGTTTGGCGGCACGGTTGGGCGCCCGTGCGTCTTGGCGGTACCGTTGGTGGCGGTTGGGCCACGGTGGCGAGTTCTTGGTGGTGGGGTCGCCGAGGGAGGAGATCTATTTGGGCGTTTGGAGCGGTGGACACGTTTGGACATTTGGGTGACGTGGCTTTAGGGTGTTCACGCCGTTGGTGCATTCGGACCACGAGGGAACGGTGAAGCGTTGCGGGGGGGGGGGAGGGTGGCGGCGGGTGGTGCAGTGAGAAATATGGGGGGTTAGGGTGGTGCGCTGGTGGTGGTGCGGGTTGTGGCTTGGGCGGTGCGGTGGAAGTTTGGCGGTGAGGTGGTGGGTGCCCCCTGCGAGTGCCGTGACAGCTCGTGATGAATCGGACGGCAGCTGCTGCTGCTGCAGCAGCGCTGTCTGCACCACCCCGAACTGCGCGGCCGCAGGGAGTGACAGCTGCGGTATGGAGTCGGCGTCGATGAGTGACGATCTATTTTTACGCCCGCCGCTCCTCCGCGCTTCGGAGCCGCGACCACCGTAGCGCCGGCTATGGCCGACAGGTCGCCAGCCCGTTCACGGGGCGGCGCTCGCCGCTAATGCGGCAACTCACGCGCACTTGTTAGCCGCGGGCCCCTTAATGTCCTCGGATTCCGACGGCGGTCATTAGATTTACGCGCGCGAGCGGGAAGCGACGGTAAATACATGAGCATTTACCGGCACGGGGCTGGGCGCCGGGAGGAGGTTGCCCGTTTAGTGAACTAAGCAGCGGGGGGGGGGGGGGCGGGGGTGCGACGAGTGGCAGAGAGCGCGAGAGATTGGGAGAATTTGAGGGGGGCGGGGAGGGTTGGCGGGGGCCTGGGGGGGGGGCAGGTGAGGGGTGGCCCAGCAAAGAGTTGGGGAGGGGCACCACGTAAGGTGGCTCAGAGGGGGGGGCAGAAAAAACCCACCGGCTCTGTGGGTGGCATGAGACTTTAAAAGCCGACCTGGCAGGTCACGAGGGGTCGACCATCCACTTGCCACGTGACCTGGCAGAAGGAAGGAAGCGGTGGCGATGAGGAGTGTGTGAGGCTGCTTCAACGGAGCAGTCGGCCACGACCTTTGTAAACTTGAACGCAAACGGCTCTCAAGTCAGGCGACGAGCTGCCTCTCTCAGTCTGCATCGTGGAGGTGGGGTGGGAATTGTTGTTTATTAGTGGGGGTCACGGGTCCACTCAGGCCTACCCCCCCTCTGCCCCCCTCAGTTGTAACTAGTGGTCACCGGTTGGGCGGGTGGTGGTGAGGCACGTGTAGATTTTGTGCGTGCGTGCATGCGTGGAAAGGTCCACGGCTGTGCCGGCGGTGTCCGTTTCTCCGGGCCGGGCCCTCAGAGAGATAATCTGGCCTGCCTTGTGACCGTCGGCCAATCAGGTTAAGGACGAGGAGAGCAGCCCGCTGGCGCTGAAGCAGCCGGCCGCCATCACCGCCGCCACCGCCACGACCATTCCCAACGGAGCCGGATTCATAAAGAAGGCCGTCAGGAGCAAAGAGGAGCAGATGAAGTTGGAACAGCCGGTAACGCACGCCGCCCCGCGGCAAACGCGGGCCCGAGGAAGCCCGGCCAGTGGCGGACGCCGTAGGCTAACGTCAACGCTCCGGGTCGCGCGTTCCTCCAGCACGCGCTCCGGGTCGCGCTCGTGCTGAAGTCTTAAAGAAATCAACATCTCCGTTTCTCCAACATCGAGTCCTGTGCACCGGTGGAATGTTTTAATCGTTTTTTTGGTTTTCCTTTTTTGCTGCGAGTAGAAACTTTTCCTTTCGATCGACAGCGTTCGTCGTGCGTAGCCCATCGGTTTCGTTTCGTATATATACGATCACGCACACACGCACACATCTAGTTAATTTGTTGTCGTTTGCGTGCGTGTTTGTTCATTTTGTTTGGCGCGCAAGTCGTCGCCGGTCTCTCAGCCGCCGTCGCCGGGGTGGAGGCCGCCATCGCGGGTGCTGTCCCCTTCGCTGCAGTCGCCCTTCGTCATGAACGGTGGCTCCAACCGCGTGCGCAAGATCTCTCAGGGCAGCGCGGACGGCCCGCCGGGGATTTATTCCAACGGGCAGCCCGGCTCCCACATCGGCTCCCCGCCGCCTGGCCTCACGTCACCCGCAGACAACGCCGCCACCACCGCTGACGACCCGGGGTTGCGCAGCGTGGTGAAGAAGAAAGTGATCAAGGTGGTCCGGCGCGTCGTGCGGAAGCCGCGGTCTCCCGACGCCGAGATGCAGGACGGCGGAAAGCCCGACGCTCCGAGCGGCGCGCCGGCGATCGGCAAAGACGCCGGATCGACGGCGCTACCGCCGCCGCCACCACCGCCCAGCTGCAACACCGCCGGTGGGAGATCACCCGCAGCGTCGATGGCGGTGGAGGTCACCAAATCGGCAGAGCGACCGCCCAGGTCGGACGGGCTCGCAGCGAAGCACGGCCCGGTGCCACCGGCGGCACCGGCGGCAACGGCGACAACGGCGACAACGGCGGCACCGGCGGCACCGGCGGCCGTGGTGAACGGGAAGCCGGACGCCATCTCCGAGGGCCTGGCCAGCCTCATGTCGCGCGCCAAGACCAAGGAGCCGCGTCTGAGGGTGCGGCGAGTGGTGGAACGGAGGGGGGAGGAGGCAGCGACGGCCGTGGCACCGTCGCCGTCGCCGCAACCGCCCGGCGAGGAGGGCAAGGCGGAGGTGGCACCGTCACGGCCGTGGGGGGCGGTGTCTTCCATCGACGAGGTGGCGCAGGTAGAACGAACGTTACGGGAATGGGGAGGCTGCGAGTCGCCGTTGTGGTGTTGTTGTTGTTGTTGTGTTTGTTAATTGTGTGACCGCTCGAGCCCCCCCCCCCCCCCCCTGCTGTTGGTTATCAATGCATCGGTGCTACTCGCTAGCAGCACTTGCCACAAGAGTGCATGAAGGCTATACTGGGAGGGAGGGCAAGAGGGAACTTTGTCTGTATGCGCCTGCTTGGGGTGGTGATTTATTTTGGGCCGGGGCAGCTGGAGGAGCCGTCTCTCCGCTGAGGTTCGGGGGTTGGGGGTTTGGATCCGCACCCCGAGCCTGGACGATGTTTGTCACGGACACCGTCAGATGCGAGCCCGCTTCTCGCACCTGTTTCAAATGATTAGGCGGTTCACAGCCCTTTGACAACGGTAACAGCTAAGTGTGGACTGATCTCTGTCTGTTCCTTCTGCATGGGGTAGAGCGTTGCCCCCCCCCCCACCTCCCCCTTCGCATGCGTGCGTTTTCTCCGGGCGCTCCATTTTGCTTCCAACTTTGTCTCAGCAACTCACTATTTGATAAATAGAGGAATTCAGACCTTGGGCCATTGTTGGTATGATATACTTTTTATTTCCCCCTTCAAGGACACGTGGTGTGATTGACAAAATTGCAATTTTTTGGGGGTTTTCCCTGCACGTGGAGTAGGACCGTGGCCTTGGGTTGTTAGGGGGTCCGTCGCATCGTGCAAGGAGACGACGCCGGTCGTACCTCGCCAACCCCGCAGGGTTGCCGATTTCTCTCACGGCTCTCTCACGGCCGTTTCGCGCTTGCGCCCGCTCGGTGGTTACAGTGCCGCCACATGCCCCGCGGATCTTTCTGTTCTGCGTTTTAACTCCGACGTTGCATTTTGGAGTTATTTCCCATCTTCAAGCTCCGTCAGTCGGCTCCCGCTGCGCCGACCTGAGTCGTACGTCAATCCGCTGCTGGATGATCAGAATCTGAATATTTATTCTGGAGGAATCCGATGAGCTGTAAAGTTATCTTTTCAGAGGTGTCCAGTTAGGATGGGGCTCCTCTCCCCACACCGTGCAGGCAGCGAGGGTTTGTTTTGACCATACTTCACCTGGAGTTTGGTGGACCGTCCCCTACTGCCCACGAACAGCTACTGCACCTGTGTTGTGCGCACCGCTGGTCACCCGTCCGTCAAGTACTGTCCAGGCGCAGGCCAGCTTCTCAGCGGCGGCATGATTCGATGAGATCGTCGCGTGGTTATCTCAATGGCTTCCCATGCTGTGAAGTAGAGTCCGCGATCGTGAACTTCAACAACGGCAATGACAACGATGCTACGACTCGCGGGGCATCCGAGGGAGAGCGGTAAACCCCGTAAGTGCCGCGCCGCCGGTTGTGAAGCCGCTGCCGTTGTTGCCGCAGGGGGACCGGCGCGACGCGTCCGACAGCCAAGATGCGGTGATTTGCAACGTCCCCACCACGTTGGTCGCCATGGAGCCCGTTAGGCAAGAGGTGAGGTCATCCAAAACGGAACGCCGCCGCCGGCCTTATTCAAGCAGATAGAAAAAAATGTAATAATAAAATAATGTTGTAAAAGATGAGACCGTGGAAAAAAAGCAATTTGATTCTGACACAGTAATATAGAGTGTAATTGGAAATAATGTTTTTGCGCTGTGTGTCGCATTAGATGACTTTTCCCCTTCCCACGCAAGAGAATAAACCTGCGTCTGAAGCGCCCAAGGTTAGTGGGGAATGTTTTTTTTTGCTCTTAATAACTCTTCATTTTGTCATAAAGTAAACAGTTAATTTGTTTTATCTTCTTGCACCAGATGCTAGTCATGGTCCGAGCCATTTATTATTTTTATTATTTTTTCTTCACGTTTTATTTTTTCCAGATGAGTGACTTTAATAAGAAAACCGAAAGCGTGCTCTCTGTAATTGTCGGCTTTAGGTGGAGCTCGAGCCGGTGCTCGCCATTACCGAGCAACCAACGCCCTCCCATGAGCCCTTGCAGCAGCAGCAGCCGCCACTGCCACCGCCGTCACCGCAGCCAGAGAAGATGGAGGCCAAGGCTTCGCCTGAACTGGTATGGCGCCGCGGCGATTGGCCGTGACACCTAAAATCCCAGCACCGCCACGACCGCCACCACCACCGCCACCACCACTACCGCCACCGCCGCCACCACCGTCACCACCGTCACCACCGCCACCGCCACCGCCACCGCCACCACCGCCACCGCCACCACCACCGCCACCACCACCACGGCCACGACCGCCACCACCACCGCCACCACCACGCCGTTCTCCCTGATCGTGCACACTCCATGATTCTGCCCCCTTCCGCGCGATTGGTCACCTTGTCACATGATGGTACTGGTGCTGCCCCCTTGTACGATCCCTTGGCACCGTATAATTTGACATCGCTGTCACGTGACGTCAGCGCTGCCCCATGCGTGATGATGTGATTTTTATTCTTGCGTTTGATCACCGAGTCACGTGACACTAGTGCTGCCCCCCTCCCCCCATACAATTACCTGATCACGTGACAACGTTGCCTTCACGCATGTGACCACCTCGTGGCCACAGAGCGTGAGACCTAGAGGCAGATTCAGTCTCATTTGTAAGAGTGACCTGAGGCGTATGTCTGCCAATTGAGGAATATTGTGGATAATTTTCAAATTTGGCAAATGAGGACGCTGGCCCCCTCGTGCAATGACCCACTGTCACATCTGCAAGTAGCAAAATGCACTACCACTAGTCCACGTCGAATGCTCAATGTCAGTCGGTGGTGCCGACGAGATGGTAGGAGCGTTCTTCCAGAGGCCCTAGCACCGGACGGGACGGCGACGACACCATTCTGGGCGAAGTGGCGCAGCGGCGAGGGTGCCGCGTGGTTTTGCCATCTCCTGACCCTCGCGTGATCTCTCCGCACAGCCCAGAACTGAGGAGGAGCAGCAGCAGCAGCAGCAGGGCTTCTATGCGTGGTTCGAGGCCGAGAAGGTTTGGCTGGTGCGGAAAGACGGCTTCGTGGCCGGTGAGAGGGCATCGAGGGTGCACGCCACACCACGACTCGCGGCTCCACGGCTCTCCGTGTCCAAATCTCCCTCCCCGGCTGTCCGCGCGTTGCCTCCGCGTAGAGGTGGCAGCGGCGGAGGCTGGCGAGGGCTCTTAACGGGGGCTTAGGCCCCCCGCGATCAACTCTCTTGGCCGGCCGTGGCATTCAAACACGGCGGCCCCGTGCCATTAAATCTCTAGAAGCCGGACTCGGCGATGGAGCGTGAGCTCACCACTTTCGGAGTCAGCGGTCGACGGACGTGGTGTTGGGCTCCGAAGAGCCTTGTCAGTGGCAACCTTGCACACCTCAAATTTTTTGACGGTATTAAAACAAAAAAATGCATAATATAGATTTTTTTTGGTTAGATCGGGTAAATATATAAATGTGTTATTTAAACCCGCCACAACCCGATATAGCCAACTTGTAAGGGTTGTTGCGTAAACAGAACGTGCCAATTCGTCACTAGTACGGCACACCAGTGTGTTGGAGAGCCAAGCCACAACATTTACAATCTGAGACGTTTCGCCAGTAATTACAACTACGCGATCTAACCCAAACAAAAACCTCTATTATGGATGATATTGGTCGCGAAAGCCTACGTGTTAAACAAAAAAAATGCAAACAACATGATTGGTTTTAAGAATAATCTCACAACACAGCCCCTATCATTTCGATGGCTCCTGCGACGGGCCGCCACCCGTCACCTACCGTTGCCATGGAGAGACGCTCATCATCTCGTGGCAATCAAAACGTCTCGATTTGAAATCTCAGGGATGGAATCTGGCCAAATAAAGTGAAAAAAAAGCTAATTATCACAGGAATTGTTGGTGACCTGACCGTGACCATGAAACTCACATGAGCGCCTAGTTTAACGAGAGGTATGTCATCTATATATTTTTTTAAGGGTCCACGTTCTTCGTAAGATTATTGGCATTTGCTAAGAAGCTGCTGTCGCCTGTGGGCCTGATTGACTGGCGACCGAAATTCATGAAATATGTGGCTCTGCCGTCAAACCCACGTCAAAGAAGGTCAACATTTCAGAGGCGTGCTTCTCCTTCGGTAGCACTCGCAGACTCACCGATGTGGTGATGTTGGTTTTACGGACATTACGGGAGCTGACAGCCCCCTTATTCCATACTCAGGGAAAATACGTCACCGCATCCCTCCGACCGTCCGTCTGAGTTCCCGTCACACGTTCTCACGAATATAACACTAAGCTCTCGCGGAAAACCATCGGCTGCCAAAATAAAACCCCATGGCAAGCTTTGCCCCATCAGCAACAAGCTCGGCAAACTAAATATTTAAAAAAAGTGTGTGTATGAGACAGAAACCCCTCCCCTTAATGTTGTGCTGTTAACAGCGCGACAATAATCATTATAACAATCATTATTTAAACGTGCCGCACTGTATACGCCCGGCTCTTGGAGAGAGAGAGAGAGCGACTCAAATGCTCGAGGAGGCTGTGAGGTGGTGATACCAATAATTGCCCAAGGTCTGCACTCCTCTATATATTAAGGTGTTCCCCCCCCAATGAAGAGTATTTACACGTGTGCCAGGAAACCGGAGCACCCGGAAACAAGCCACGCGCGCGCGTGAGAGGGGGTGTTGGGGGGGGGGTGAACACTTTGTCCCCCGTACAGGTGGAACAGATTTTGTCGTGCCGCATGCACCCTGCAGGCCGGGTTAAAGCGACGCCCACGGGAAAGGGAGTTTGACAACAGCTTGTGCGGAGATCCACCGACCCTCACTGTAGCCGCAGCGCTGGATCTCAGAAGCACGCGCGTCAGAGCGGAGTAGTGGCTTTGTCAGCTTCTATACATCGTCATTATCAGCCGTGGTCACACCAAAGCTTGTTATGACTGTAAGTACCGTAAGGATCGGGGGGGGGGGGTGTGCAGAGAATCAGTTCGGTGATAGTTGCCAACGGAGCAGTCTCCTTCCCTCCTCCCATCCGTCCCTCTTTGCAAAAACAATGTGAAGACGAGTAGAGTAAAAAAATGAAATTACGTGCAGAAAAATCAACCTCATCGTCTCCCTTGGGCGAGTACCGTTCTCTTTACTTTCCGCGATGTATTTTTATTCCCCCCCCCCCCCAAACAAAAGAAAGGAGATTGCATCCATCGCCTCGGCTCAGACCGCCTCTCGCCCCCAATAAATATTGAATGCCTTCTTCCAAACCGATTTATATTTTTATTATAATAAAACACTTAAAAATTTACATCGGCCGCGGAATCCTGCAAACCCGTAGATTAGAGCTGCCTGGCAGGCGATCAGAAGGTTCCGCTCTATGCAAAAGGAGACTCCCCCCCCCCACCACCACCGAACAAGAGGCTTAATAACAGGTGGGCCGAGGAGGAAGAGGAGGAAAAATACCGCCCCAGGGAAGCTGTCAGCTCCCGAGGACACGCGCCGAATACTACTTGGCAGCGGGGCGCCGCCGTGCGGGGCTTAACTCGTAGCGATTAGAGCTGGCGCTGAGGGTTAAGGTTATGGAATGTCACGGGAGAGAGAATTAGCGCTAAGAGTGGTTCGGGTGAGGGGGGGGCTATTGTCACACGGGTCGCGGGTTGAGAGGTAAGCACCCGGTCGGGCCTTGCGGGGCGGGGCGTGAGCAATGCGTTCGTCTGGAGGTGGTGGAGGGAAAACCCGGAGGACCCGGCGAGAAATCGACGCGGCCATGGGGAGAGAGACACGCAGACTCCAAATATACAGCAGCAGGTGTCAGGGTCGGGATCGAACCCACGACCACCTGTAGATCAGGCGAGGTAGTCAACATCTTGCCACCGCACTTGCCAGGGCCTCTCTTGCTGTGGTGGCAGTGACCAAGCTGTGTGTTTGTTGATGTGTGGCCCTAAGGTATTTAGAAGTTTTATCCCCCCCCCCACCACCCTAATGGGTAAGTTTCCCCCCACAACACATGGCAGGACAGTGCAATGTAGAGGCAATATACTGGGTGGAGTGGTGGCACTGTGGTTAGCGCGCTGTAACCCGAGTTCGTTTCCCGGTGATGGTGAACATTTACCAGAGATTGATGAACCTGAACCGGTTACTGGGCTTCACCACCACTCCCCCCACCGCCCAGTGGGTGGACAACACGTTATACGCTCACCTCCTTTTCACTCGATGATCGACCCGATGGAGTTGCCGACTGCATCTCTTCGCATGCGTCTGCAGCGACGGAGCTGAAGCCCGACGTTGGGACTCCGGAAATGCCGGCGCGGAGACTCAAACTCAAGATGGAGGAGCGGGGGACCATCGTGGATGTGGATGAGGAAGAGGTGGAGAAAGTAAGGCCCCTCCCTTCGCCTCTTCCCTACTTCTTCTTCCTCCTCTTTCCGCATTCTTCTTTTTCTACCTCCACCCCTCTTCTACTCATCCTCCTCCTCTCTTACCGCCTCCTCTTCCCTGCGATGCCACCGTGGCATATCACAGTGTGCGCGTTCGCCGGCTTATAATTCATTTGCCGCCTTGTTTACCAATCAGTTTGTCGCCGGATGACCTTCGTCCGTTCTGCAGTCACGATTGAGATTTGGCCCCAGCTCACGGCTCACGGTTCGGAGGAGTACGCAGCCCACAACACGTGACGATTCTTGTCTTGTAGCTGCACCCCGGGCCTGTCGATCCGAGAGGCTGTCAATACGAGCTCGGAGCAACGCAAACCAGAGTAAAAATTTTAAAAAGGACTTTAAAGTTGGCAGCTTTCTTGCGACGCCCGCACCGCGATGCCGCGCCCGGCATGGTGCCCTCGGGCGCGTTCCGTCCTTGGGCTGCCGTTCCTTCATCGGTCGAAATTTTTTGTTGTGCCAAAATCTCATGAAAAAAGAGGAGAACGAGCGATCCGTTCCATTTCCCCCGCCACGGCGACGGAAAACTCTCCCCCGCCACCTCCGATCCCGCGCGCCACTCCCAATTTATTTTAAGCGCGGTAATCTCAGGTTTATTTCTAGCGCCACGGCCACTGGGCCCTCTCCCCCCGCCCACCGTCCACTGCCCCCCACCCCCCACCGGCCCACCCTCCCTGTGCAGCTCCTTGGCCATCATCACCTGAGCAGGTGGCAGCAGGGGAGGGGAGGAGAAGAGAACGACTCTCCGCTCACACACTCACCAACCGCTCGACCCCCTCCGCTCTCCACTTGTAGCCCCCCTCCGTCTCCCCCCACTGCACCCCCCCTCCTTCCCCCCCACTTTTCCCCCCACCTTTCTCCCCACCTTTCTCCCTTGTTTGTTAACCGCAACTTCTCGGCCAGCCGCACAAGGGACATAGAATTAACGGAGCCATTCCTGAACGCTGAGCAAGAGTCACGCGAGGTTTTTTGGGTTCTGTTAAACGCCCCTGCGAGCTGATTGGTCTCCAGTCTGTGACCTTTGCCCCCCCCCCTCGCTGTGACCCTTCCTCAAGCTAGCGCAGCGCGATGGTAAAATCACTTTACGTTATTTTCCGGCCAAATTTACTAATTGACACCGTCTGCCAAATAGCGCCGGGGCCCGCTCAGGATCGTGGGATTCCAGAGCCCAGTATCACCCGGGGCAGGGTTGTAATGATTTTAGGGCCCGAGCGTTATATTTATTATAGGTCATGGTCTATCAACTGCTGGATACAGGCCTCTCCCCCCACCCTTCCTCCCCCCTTCCCTCTCCCCCCCCCGCCCACCACACCATCCGCACCCCGCAGGCCAACCCGGCGGAGTTGGAGCAGGCGGAGCAGCTGGCGTCGCTGCTCTTCCTCAACGAGTCGTCGCTGCTGCACACGCTGCGCTCGCGGCTCGCGCACGCCAAGCCCTACACGTACGCCGGCGCGCACCTGCTGGCGCTCGCTCCGGCCCGCGGGGCGCCGCTGCACACCGACGAGGTACGGGGGGGATTGGGGGGGGTTAGGGGGCGTCGGGATGGTGGGACGCTTCCAGCCGGACACCCACACCATGTCCATCTACGGCTTAAGAGGCAGACAATTGGTGAGTTGTTCATACACGTTGAGTGGGGGGGGGGGGGTAGGGAGCGGCGGGGAAGGAGGGGGGGAGGCAACACTTTATCGCTGTACAGATGGAAAACAGATGGATATCAGTCCACAGTCGCCCGTGCTGAAAGAACGTTTCCCCAAAAGAGAACGAGCGCCTCAACGATCGCGTGAACTCACGAGCCGCGACGGCACGAGACCAGAGAGAGATGGGCGACGGCGAATCGTGGCGCTTCATCGAATCCGGTTGGTTACAGCGCCGGAGTTGGTGGATCGAGTAGGGGCACTATGACAATTGTCTCAACCCCCCTCCGCCCCTCCGCCCCCCCGCCCCCCCACCTGATCATAAATATCTGGGCGAGTTCCCCCTTTTACCTTTCGGGGACGGCGCTGGCTCCTTCGAGTGTTCCCGCGCAAGTCGCCGATTGTATACATGGACTCCTCTACTTACGAACATTCGACTTACGAACTTCCAGAGATACGAACAAACCTGTCCATATGTCCAGCTGCCTGTTTGGACCCCAAAGTCGTAAGTTGAACCGCCGCGCAATAAATGGTGGCATCTGTATCTGCAAAACATGAAAAACCAGTGGCATCTACGTCTACAGGAAATTCTACAACTTTTAAATCCATTCCCCGCGTTCAGTGTGCATGCCGTGCAACATGTTTGGAATCGACGGGAGTAAAGTTGGGACTCACGAACAGACCTCTGGAACCTCACTCGTTCGTAAGTAGAGGAGTCGCATGTATTTACAATTTTAAGGGCCGGAGTGAAATTTTGCTCTCCCGTCGCCGGCCTCCCTCCCTTCGCTCGTTTTTTTTTTGTCAGGCGGCAGCCGCGGCCAATTACCAAGTAGAAATTACACACGGCGCCCTGGGTGGCCTGGGCTTTAATTACAAAGAGAGGTAATTGTCTTAATTGCACTTTAGAAGCAGAAGAAGAAGAAGAAAGAAAAATAGAGAGAGAGAGAGACGGGTTTTGTGATTGAAATTCCAATTGTGACCAGGGGAAATAACAAAATAAAAAATAATTAATTTACCACCAAAGGGCGCTCCACTTCACTCTGTAGCCGCCACTGTCAGGGTAAAGATAAATATTGTGGGGTGGGGGGGGCGGGGTGCTGGAGGCAGTGCCAGAGAATGAGGGGATGGGGGGAGCGGGGCAAGTGGAGGCACCGGGGGGGGGGGGGGGGAGAGGTATTATTTGTTTCTTTGGTAGGAAACTCAAAGTGCCGTAAATCTGCTGACCGTGACCTTTCTCGCACTCATTAGGGTTAATGAACCTCCTTACGCACCTGCCAAGCGAGGGAGGGAATCGAAGGTTGCGTTATTAAAGGAGCCGCATTAGCAGTTCATCGATGTCACGGGGCCCCTAATTGCAATAGATGTTGGTTAAATAAACTGAGATTGCGACCGCGTTTAGTTCAATACGGTGCAAGTAATTGCGGTGACATGGGGCTGCATCCCCCGGCAATGGGGGGGATCGCTCCGCGGTTTCTCCCCCTGCGACGGAGGCGGGGCGCGTGGCTCACGGCCGGGGTACAGGGTTACCACCTGTCCTGGTGACAGCAGCGGTGGCTGCTTTCCCCTGGGTCGTGGGGAGTTTAATGCTTTATCCTCTTTGGTTTGTTCGGTGAAGTCACGTAGGTAAAAAATTAAATTAAATAAATGAAAACAACTCAATTAAATCACGGAAGCAACACAAGCCTCCGTCTTCAGGTGGAACACGCCATGGAAAAATCACTTTACCTACCAAAGAGTAGGAATCCTTGCAGTCACGAAAGCTTCAAATCTAGTTGAATGCTTTGTCGGTTGTTGAATAACGATGACGACAATGATGGCGATGACGACGATGATGCTGGTGGTGATGAACCACATTTATGTGGAAGTGCTCTGTTCTTCCGGTGTCTTGAGGTGCCTCGTTCCAGTTGTTTGTAATCTCGCTGGAGGCAAGGAGTTCATATCCCGAGTCTGCCCTCTATCATCATTACTCAGGCTTTGACGAAAACGGGTATCACTGTGAGGAAAGTCCACGAGTTATTCGTCTTGCGGATAGACTGGTCCCTGCCCCAGGAATATGGAATTCCCCACACTGGGCTCAGATCTGCTCTGGGAGATGAGCGTTTTAACTTAGGTTGCTGGCTTCATAGGGCGGTGCGCTAACCGCTGCGCCACCGCTCCATCAGGTATTTAGAAGCTTGTCTTAAAATCATCATCATCATCAGCCACGATCTGCTCTGGGAGATGAGCGTTTTAACTTAGGTTGCTGGCTTCATAGGGCGGTGCGCTAACCGCTGCACCACCACTCCATCAGGTGTTTAGAAGCTTGTCTTAAAATCATCATCATCATCATCAGCCATGATGAATCTACTGCTGGATGAAAGCCTCCCCTTTCGCGTGACGCATCGATCCACCCCGCGTCTGCACAGTGCGCGTCTCTCTCTCTCTCTGGGCACGCTCCCTCCCCCCCGAGGGTCCATCGTGGCCAAGGCCGTCCCTACCGCGGCGGCACCACGTCGTCGCCAACGCTCGCCAAGCCCCGCTGCCAGACCGCGCAGCTGCTGCTGCGTGGGCAGTCGGCGCGGAGCGGCACCCTCCAAAATCTGCCCTGAAAGTCTCCCGCCATCTGCTCTTGGTCCCCTATTAAATTGCGAGGGTTTAAGTTTGGTTCATTTAAGAGGTGATCCCCTTGGGGGGCGGAGGGGGGGGCGCGGTGGGGGGGGGGGGTAAAAGGAGGATACAAAACTAATACACCGTTGTTTCATCAAAAGGCGTGAGATATAACAGCGAGCAATTTGACAAAGCTCGGCAATGATTGGGACATCCGGCGTCACCGTATTCCACCGAGACATTGATCTATACACATAGCAACACTGATGGATATACAGGATGCTTAAAAAAGATGTGAACACTTCCGAGAATTTGCAACAACACCAGGAAAAATGTGCTTCCCTCCGGGCTCTGGAGACCACCTGGAGAAGATTCCAGGCGCGCGTTGACAACGATGGCGAACAAGTGGGAGACTCTTTGACTTTTTGAAGCTATTAACATTACATTTGTTATCATGTTATAGTGTAGTTGTATCCGTTCTTTTTCCGTTAAGAACGATAGTCCTATTTAAGTTTTAATATTTTTTGAAGCACCCTGTACATTCCCACGAGAGGAAAATCCCACACTAACGCAGCAGCGGCAGCAGCAGCAACATCGACGGCAGCTTAGAACCACTTGCGAAGGCGCCGTCTGGACAGATCCGATCGGCGATTCGCCGGAGACTCGACGATGGGCAACGTTTCGCGCTGCTGCGACGTGCATGTGCACGTCGAACTTCTTTCGCACCGTACGTAGCCAGCCGTCCTCAATCGGAGGTGACGCTCGTGGCCAGTGTGCGGGGCAGTTTTCACGTGTTCAACGTTGTCAGCCATTCCCCGGCATCCTGGGTGGTTGTGTCGGGGTAAGCCGAGTGGAATCGTCCACCAGAAATAAAATAAAAACAACGGCGGCAAACGTTGCAAATAACGAACCCATAAATGGTAGCAGGGCCCATAATTACAAATTCGATGGAAATGACCCGCGCACGCGCTGGCGGGCGGCGATGTCACGGCGGGCGCTCGGAGCACGGAGGCGGCTGACGGGAACGGCGGCCTGGCTCGACTTGCGAGCCAGGCCGCCCAACGGTGGCTCGGAGCGGTTGGAGCAAAACTTCGTTCGTCGATGTTCAATTCGATCGTGAAAAGGATTGGGGGAGAGGAGGAGCTGTATGTGATGAACACATCGGCACCACGTGGACAAATGGTGCCCGGATGAACGTGACAAATCTCGTCGCGTGGTGGAGGGTTCAGCGACTACAAACTACATTCGCGTGGGCCTAACTCAAAAGCAAACACGGGACATCATCATCATCCTCATCGTCGTCGTCGTAATCATCATCGTCGCCGCTGTTGTCCTCCCAGGCGATGGGGGCCGTGCGGTGCTGCCAGGGGGAGGCGCCGCCGCCGCCCCACGTGTACGCGGCGGCGCGCGCCGCCTTCCGCCGCATGCTCGGCAGCCGCCAGGACCAGACGCTGCTCTTCCTGGGCGCCGCCGGCGCCGGCAAAACCACGGCGGCACGGCACGCGGCCGAGTACCTGGCCACGTTCGCGGCGCACGGCGCGCCCGGCGGGGGCCTGCCGGGATCGCTCGCTAGCGCCCGCCCCAGCGGCGGCAGGAACGTCGTCGAGCCCTGCAAGAACATCAGCGGTGAGCGAGCCCGCGGTCTGGAATGCCCCTAACCCACCCCGCCCCTTACTCCCCCCAGCCATCCGTGCTGTTGGCTTCCTGCCCCTATTCAAGTCCAGGCTCTCTCTAGAGCAGCGTTCTTCACTCATTTTCAAAAGTGGGGGGGGGTGGGCACTTTCGCGCCGATAAGACATCAGCAGTGTGAGGGCCACCACACATGTGAAACCATTGGTGGTTTGACAGCAGCACGATGATGATGATGGGGGTTGTTTTCAATCTGTGTATTGTCGGGGGAACTGCACATCAGGGGCCACCAGGGGCCGCCAGTGGCCCACACTCCTCTGGAGCTGCCCATTCTCCTCTGCCTGTGACCGACTGCCTCCTTTGTGCCGAGCGAACATGCCTGGCGCGTTGAGACGCGGTCCCGTTTAGATGTGACGTGAACACGCATGGTACGTGAATCCTGAACATTTTTTTGGGTCTTCCCCTCCCGCCTGTTTTATTCCGATACAGTGCTGTTGGTGTCATGAGACGGAGTCCATTCGGAACACGCGCAATAAGCAGTGCAATCGCCCTGCGTTCGAGAACGTGTTGACTCGGGACTCGTTCTAAATCCCCTCCCCCCCCCCCCCCCAATCTCTGCGGTCTTCTGTATATTAAGGCGTTATCAGACTGAGCATATACATGCGGGAGGAAAAACCGCAGCACCCTGGAAGTAAACGCACGCATGCGAGGGGGCAACGCTCTATCCCACACTGGCAGAACAGCTCCACATTGTTGCTGAGCCGCCCTCTGCTGGCGAGCCACGGTTACGGCTCCTCCTGGACGGCCACGGGAAGGGAGTTGTGCACCAATCTGTGCGGCGATCCACCAAACCTCGCCGCCGCTGCTGCTGCTGCTCCCTCCACAGTGCGGGATTGCAGGCCACGTGCAGCAGCGTAGGCACCACCGCGTAAAACGACAGATCGAATTTAACGTCGTGGGATTTGATTTTATTGCGCTCGCCGGTGAGGCCATCATTGCGCTGCTCTTTCGATCCGAATTTAGAACACAGACGGCTGAAGGCCCCCACTTCAAACCCAGAAGTCTCGGCGATGCAAGCTCAGGGTTGTTCTGACCTCTTGAGCCACCGGGTCAAATAAAAAAACAATCCACCGCGCAGCTTCACTTTGTTCCCCATCAATAACGCGGCTCTCTTCGTCCTATGGGAGAGACTTCCACCGCTGAGTCAGGAATGCCAGCAGAGATGAGCATTACCCAACGCCGCTCATTTGAGTAGTGGGATACTTTAATGTCTCTTTATTGTTGTATCTTTCTCATCTTTGCTGTTGGCCGCATTTCTCGATACATTACGCGTTGACAATTGTTGCTTACTCGTGGTGGAAGGGGGTGAGTGGGTGGGTGGTGATAAGCAACACACACCAGGGCTTCTCTGCAACACAGGCAGCATTTAATTTTGGTTATGTTTAAAGTTGTTGTTTTTTTACACGTCTTCAAAGCAACAAAACACACATCACAGATTTACATTCAAAGCCACGGGCTCCTCTGGTCCGTATCTCTGCGCGCTCACGGCACCGCATGTGCGCGCGCGCAGCCGCGCGAGCGCGCGTTTTGTTTCAATCCTCCGTTTCGCTCGTTTGCTTTGTGAAAGTGAAAAGATTTTTTGTTCAAATTTTCATTTTTGCGGCGGTTGGGACGGGGGGGTGCCCCAACGGCTCTCACGTTCACGGCTCGTGGCCTCGTTTGCCCGCCCGCCCGCCCGCTCTGAGCGCTCGCCGCTCTCTCGCGCACCGCCACCGCCGTAAATCATGTCCGCTTTGTGTTCTCAATTTTCCGGCGCCGGAGCAGGGAGGCTGCGGGCCGCCTTCACGGTGCTTGAGTCGTTCGGTCACACCTCCACCGCCACCGCGGCGATGACGGGTGGCGGCGGTGACGGCGGCGGCGGATCGTCGCGCTTCGCCCAGCTCCTCTCGCTCGACTTCAACCAATCAGGCCGTCTCGCCGCCGCCTCCGTGCAGGTCAGGGGAAGTATGACCCCGTGAACGACGAACCGGAGCTCTTTGTATTTTCACCTTCTCTCTCTCTCCCTCCCTCTCCTCTCTCCGCCTAACGGCACACTATTTGCTGAGTTTGCCATTGCACGATCGAGTGAGTTTTTAGATTTTAATATTTTTACCTGCTTTTTTGTTTTATTTTGTCTTGCTGAGCGAATGGCATTTTTAAAGTGTTTCTTCATAGGTGAACGGGTTTGTTTTGGGACACGCAAAGAATTGTTCCGTTGATTCGAACGTAAATATAGTGCAGGGGTACTGAATATACAGCGGATCTCGATCAGGGTTTGTGTGTGTGCACGTTCGTGTATGTGCGTGCTCACGGCCAACACCAGTGACGATTATCTGAACCGGTCCTGGGCCTCCCCTAGGTCGACTCAGCCTCAAATGAGTACCTGGGCGTCCGGGCGTGGTGTTGGTGACCCACCCCCACGTGTACCGTGCCGGCCTTCATAAGTGCTCGCTAACAGCACTTGCCCCAACAGTCTGTTAAATAGTCTGTTAAGGCTATACGGGGGATCTTTGTCTTTTGTATGTGTGCACATGTGTGTACAGCGGCACAGTGGTTGGTGCGCTGTGCTACGAACACACCGACCCGAGTTCGATTCCCGCTCACAGCCAACATCGATGATGAATATCTGAGCCGGTCCTGGGCCTCACCTGCTTGGCGCGGTGTCTAAAAATTATCACTGGGGAGACAAAGGCGGCCGGGCGTGGCGTTGGTCCCACCACTTCCTCATGTGGCCATGCCAGGCCTTAACTGGTGCTACTCGTGAACAATACTTGCCGCCAACAGTTTGTGTAGAGGCTACAGGGGGGACCTTTGTGTGCGTGTGTGGGGAGTGGTAGTGTAGTGGTTAGCGCTGCACTACGAACCTGGCGACCCGGGTTCGATTCCCGCTCACGACCAACACCGGTGACGATTATCTGAACCGATCCTGGGCATCCCCTCGGTCGACTCGGCTTAAAATGAGTACCTGATGCGGTCGGGCGTGGTGCTCGCCACCCACCCCCTCGTGCGCCGGCTCGGCCTTCATAGGCGCTGCTCGCTAACAGCACTTGCCCCAACAGTATGTTAAGGCTACGCGGGGGATCTTTGTGTTTGGTGCCCCCCCAGACCATGATGCTGGACAGACTGTGCGTGGTGCACAGGGCCGAGGGAGAGCGTCCGTTCAAGGTGTTCCAGCAGCTCATGGCAGGAGCCGATGTCGCCCTGAGGTTTGTCACCGCGCACCACGCTTCGGCCACGATGGATACGCGGCGGTCGCGTCTGCGACGTCGTCCGCTCCCGGTTTCTCTTCTGCTTCATCTCGTTGTTTGACTTTCGTTGTCGCGTTTTGACTCGCGCACAAATGTTTTTGTTGGTGACCTCGGTACACTCGCGACAAAGCAACGAAGCCTGGACTGAACTATTTTCTGAACTAAGGCCCGCTGAGATACATAATTATTTTTCAGAAGCAGCCTGGCCACAAATGATAGCTCAACGTAGTGGCTCATCCTGTGAAAATGTTTAGCAGCATGTTGATTCTAAACGTGGAGGGGGAAAACCGGAGGACCCAATTAAAAATCCACGCAACCACAGGCAGAACATGCAAACTCCGAATACACAGACATCAGGGTCGGGATCAACCCCACGACCTTCTGTCTGTATACCACGCGGAGGTTGATAACATCTCGTCGCTGTCGCGAGATTTTTACAACTTCTTAACCCGAGCCGTTCATGCTTCGGCGTTTGCATCGCCCGTGCGTTGTTCGCCCTTTGCCGTTCTTTGCCCTTTAGCACCGGCGAGACAAAGCCGTGAAGGAGGCTTGAGCTCTGGTGTAGGCCAGTCGGTTTCTCAAGGACAATGGGAGTACATTTCCAAAGCGTGCTCGTTTGCATGTTTTACCGCGGGCACGGTGTGCGGTTAATGCAGACTCGATGCCTTGCGATAGCTGTCTGTGTGTCTATTTGGTGTTTGAACATTTTAATACCTACACTAAAATAAAATGTTTAACCTACATGACTTTACCGAAAGAACCAAAGAGTATGGATTCCTGCGGTCACGAAAGCTTCAAATCAAGATCTTCACACCTCCTGTATCACTGGCGGAAAGGGTAAAGCGTCGGTTATTATCATGATCCAATTTTTTTTATAACCCTGGACATAATCCCACCGCGCGTTTCTGTCTCTCTCCACAATGCCCCCCCCCCCCCCCCATTTGTGTTTCCAGAACGGAGCTCTACATGGGCACCTTTGCAGATGTGAACGTGTTCGGAATCGCGCCGCTAACGAAGGCAAGCTGCTGCTTCTCACGGGCTTTGAAAAGAAAGTTGCTTCGTAATCACCGGAGCCTAATTAACTTATTGTCATCCATCAAACCGGGGTCGGGGGGGGGGGGGCGACGCGCACATTCGGCTACCCTCGTTAAGGGGATCGCCGATCAAAAAGACGACGCAGTTTGATAATAGGTTTTTCCCCTTTTATCTGGCAACAAAACAGCTGTGTTAAGATGTCAAAACACCACACTGAAACCTTTTACAAGGAATCATGTCTGCATTAACCACAATGCTTGTGGTCAGAATGCGAACAAAAAAACATACTCTGATAATATATGCGTTGTCCTTGAAAATGATTGGTCCAAACCAGAGACAGCTTTCTTTTGAGCCTCGTCTCAAACGGTGTTAGACCAGCAGATACGCCTTTTGGCGTCCTCAGTTTCAAAGGCAATGCATATATTATCAGAGTATGTTTTTTGTTTGCATTCTGACCACAAATATTGTGGTTAATGCAGACATGATTTCTTGTGAAAGGTTTCAGTTTGGTGTTTTAACAACTGAAAACCTGTTTTGCTGCCAGATAAAAGGGGAAAAACCTAAAATCATATTTTGGTACTGGCAAAGGAGGTCTCATGATGACGACGCAGTTTGCTCAACAATCGCGAGTTCAAACGCGGGCTCAGCACGCAGCTGTATTTAGATTTTTATTTTGTAAATAAAATATGTTGGTGTGCGGTTTTTGTTGTTTTTGTCTCGGCCTGCTCTCTCTCTGGAACCAATTTAATGTGGGCGCCCGAGCGCAGGTATTTGCTCAAAGGCTTTTCCTGACCGGCGGGCCGAGCTTCGTCTGGGACGCTTGAAGACGATCGTTGGCCACTTCGAATGACGTCTTCTCACGTTGCCGTCATTAACGCGCCCGCGCGCCATCCACTGACGAGGCCTGAAATACAATTTTTAATGATTTTTGTCGATTTCTTTTTATTTAAGCAACGTCCGAAATATGGAGAGCGCCGGGTTTTGCCACTGGCTGGGCACGTGGCAGATCGACGAATCAAAGGGCCGCGGCTCCAGCGTCCGTGCCGGCCCACAGCGTGGCTCCGCCACCTTGCGCCCTCACGCTGAGTCCGGCCTTGAGAGGCTTCGCTGTGTAGGCCGTGTGTGAGAGCTGGTGAAGGCCAGAGCCGGCGGTGACTCGGTTCGAGGGTGGCTATCCCTCACCACCCCACCCAGCCACGCAGGCCATGCACCCTGGCATTAATTCAAAACAGTAAAACGCATCGCACTTTTAACGTGGCTTGGGCTTCCACTGGGTCTACTCAGCCCGAAACGAGCACCGCATGCCGTGCGGTGAAGTACTGTGAGGCTGAGGGTGGCCGGCCGGGCGCCGATCGTCGTTGGCGTCTCGGCCCCCCCCCCCCCGCCCACCTCGCACGCTCGCGGCATCGGCCCTCGACGGTGCGCTCGCTATAACGGCGCCCGCCTCCCGCGTTCGTGTCGCCCGCACCAGCCCGAGGAGCGGCAGGCAGCGGCCTCGGAGTTCTCCGGGCTCCTCTCCGCCATGAAGACCCTGGGGTTCGACGAGAAGGAGCAGCGAGGGCTCTGGCTGGTGCTCGCCGCGATCTACCACCTGGGCGCCGCCGGCGCCACCAAAGGTAAAAGGGCCCCCGGGCGACGAGCCGGTCGCTGTCGCGAGCGGTTGGCTGCACGTGCCGCGGTTGCTCGAATCGTTTGGTCACGACACAAAAAAACAACAACTGTCGGAGCAGTCCTCGCCCTCGGGTTAAAAGCCCCCGTGGATTTTTGTGACGGTTGCAACCGCGGTGCAACGGTTCGCAGCGCCAGACTCGCAATCCAGAGGTCGCCGGATCCCGATTCGATCTTCCGCCGGCCTCTGCCCACCCACCGAGCTGTGTCGACGAGTGCGCCGCGGTTAGCCGGTCGGTCGGCAGGTCGCGTGTGGTGGTGGGGTAAATTCGCGCGTACTCCCACCGCGTCCGATAAGTGCCGGGCAGCATGAAAGAGGAGACTAAAGTTGCCCTCGCGAGAGTTTGCTCCGGCGGAGGCCTTTCCGCCAGAGCAGTGGCACGGGAGGACAATCGCTGGGCCGCCCTTCTCCTCCAGCAGCATCGGCTGCAGCTTTGGGCACATCGTGCAGGAAATGGGTGTAGATTCCTAGTGCCTGGATCTCCCACCCCGAACGGTGGTTCCTGGTCCACTCGACTTGAGCGAGGCGCTGTGTAGCGAGTGGGTCCCAAATAATGGGAACTACTGTTTGTTTTTGGAACTGCTTTTTTGTGCGTAGTTAGTTGTTGCCTTTCTGCCGCACCTCCGATTAGCACGGTTGGCTATGTACGGTGCGAAAGAAGTTCAACGTGAACATGCATGATTAGCTGGGAGTGAGAGTTGTAAGAAGAGGGGGAGGCTGGGGTTATGGGGTCAGGGACACGGAGCCGGTACCGCTGAGATCCTGGATGGAGGAGGCCGCCTGTGATTAGACCGGGTCGCTCAAGCGCGGCCGAGTCGATTGTCCCAGCCACTTAGCCTGGTCACCGATGACTGCACAAAAAACCCATCACGTTTCATTAGATTTTTCACTTAATTTGGCTTGTTCTAGCACTGAGAATTAAATGTTTTTTTTGCTTTGATTGACAGGCATTGAACACTCCCCGCAGGACGTATAAAAAGGTTATCTTTGCCCCCAGTGTAGATTAACAAAAACAACAACAATGATGCGGCTTCACAAGCATATCAATAGAAACAAAAGCCTTTATTTGATTAAAAAAAAAAAACAGGCGAGAGCCCAACGAGAGAATAAATGTCTCTCTTTCGAGGCAGACTCGGATCATAAAAAGCAACGCGGTGCGGTGCACATCGACGAAGTGTCGAGACGGCGCGGGGCAAGGTTATTCGAACGGGCAGTGATTACAACAACGGCTGACCGTGAAGCATTGGCGAGAATTAAAACGTAGCCTTGAAATTGCAGCTTTGATACGCTTGCAAGGGCCCCTTTGCCTGTGAGCGCCGGCAGTTGGCCGGCGCCTGGCGCAAGCGAGGCCGACGCTGCCGATGAGGACGCCGCGCGTCGAAACCCTGCCCCGGAGTTTTCCCTGCATCGAATCAACGTCGCCGAGGTGGCACGCTCCCAGAAGGCCGTGCGGCCGAAGGGTGCGTGTGAGGAACGCGATGTTACTTTGTGTGTAGAGACGAAGAAATGTCAGATTATTTATTAAAATGAATAATTATTATTTTAGGACGAGCACGTTCCGTGACTCCGTCTTCCGAGGATATTCTGCGAGAGTTCCCAATGAACGTCGTCGCTCAACACAGTTGGAACGTGATTGGTAACAAAAAATATTTGTCATTATTCTTAGATGCAATCGGGGATGGGGAGCTACAATCAGCTGGAGCTCTCCGTACCTGAGCTGCAGAAAATATTTCCATGCCCCCACTCGGGATGTGGAAACATAATTGGGGGGGGGGGGCAGTTGGGATTTGGGTGGCGATGAAATTTGTATTCATATGGCGTCTAAATTCTATTCTGTCTGCGCACACGATGGCATCGGCAGTGTGGGTTCAGCAGCTCAATGCCAATGTCGAGGTCTACTGGCCACGACCAGAGGGCTTCAAGAGATAGAGAGAGGGGGGGGGCTTGCTGTTCCTCCTCCTCCTCCTCAGTCTAAACGCGATCGCGCCTTGCGGGATGTGACGGGCCGGGCGACGGCTAACGAGCAGGCGTGCCCATAACGAGCCGGGCAGTCCGGCACACGGGGCCGAGGTAACGAGGGGGGGCGCCGCTACAGCAGAGAGCGCCGCTCGCTCTAATGAGTCGCGAGTTCGGGCAGATCGCGTCCGACGATTAAATAAGGTCGTGTGACCTTGTTTAAAAGGCGGTGGGGGGGGGGGGGCGGCGGGGTGGTGGAAGGCATAACAACCTGGGGGAGCCGCGACACGGTACAATGTTCAACGATCCATATATTTTTTTGTATTAAGGCCCTGCAATGATGCGGCCAAATTTTTGTTGTAAAGCCCTCCACCGCCCGACGCAGCCGAACAAAAACGAAGTCTCCGCGTGTAAGCAGCGTTTGACAACGCGCCAATTACTGTTGCTTCAGCTCACCCGATCGGGTGACTTTAAGAACGGTTCTCAAAGCCGAAATTCAGCTCATTAGATCGCGCAAATTTTCGCTCAGAACTGCGTGAAAGTGTCTTGTGGTCAGCGGCCGGGAGGTTGGAATGATAGCCGTGTCACCTGGCCCCAGCTTCTTAACCAGGCGTCGTGACATCGCAGAAAGAAACAATCAGATTAACCGTTGCACGCTCAATACAAAATTTTATTCTCATTCATCTGGGCAAATAAATTGCACACATTATGACCATTAAAACCCCGTGCGTGCATTAAACAGAATGAGTGAAGATGCGATCTGCCTTTGTCTATCGTGCTCTGGCTCCCACTCCAAAGTGTGTATTAACAAAGAGTGGCACGGGTGTTAAACATTGCGCCAATTTTTTTCTTTACTTTATTATAAGAATTTAGGAGGCGCTGGCTGAGTCTTGAGCAGGATTAGGTGGTGCCTAGGGGAGGGAGGGGGGGGCGGTGGGGGTTCGGGGGGGCTCAGCCTCCTTCAAACCCCCACAGCATAACGGGACTTGTCACAAACGAGAGGTGGGCGTTCTGACGGGCACTTTGCTCCGACCAGTGGCTCGTTCCTCCAGCCCCCACCCCCACCCCCTCCGCTGTAACGGGGGGGGGTCTCTCCGGTCGATGAAGTGGTACGGGGGGAGTATGGGAAGAGAGTGGTGGGGGGGGGGGGGAGTTTGGGCAACCGAGGTGGATGGGCGGAAGGAGGCGGGCAGGCGGACGGGAGAAAGGGCACGAGGCAGATGATTTGACGTCACAACTAATCGGTGCTCGCGTCGCCATGGAAACACCACTTTAGGCGACGGTCCACGGACGGGGGTGAAAAGCCCCCCCCCCCCCCCCCCCGATATCTCCGGGCAAACGCCTTTAGTTGGGTTTACTCCCTAATGCATACGCACGCACGCACGCACAAAGTCAAAGGTCCCCCGTGTAGCCTTAGCAGACTGCTGGGTGCAAGCGCTGTTAGCGCGCTCGCACTCCGAAGGGCGACACGGCTCGCGAGGTGGCCGGCACCGCGCACGGGAATGGGCGCGCGTGCACGTGCGCACGCACCATAATTCATAATTCCGTTTTGAAGAAATAGGAGCTAATTTCCTGTAACCATCGAGTGCGTCGGGGGGGCTTGGGGGAATCTAAGTGGCGCGAGACGGATGACCCTTCATCTCCTCCGCGACGGTTCTATTCGAGGCCTGATATCCGCGTTATCGCGCCATAATTTACTCCACCTAGGCCGTTTGCGCTGTTAAGAAAAGAACCCCTCAACCCCGCCAGCCTCCACCCCTCCTCCCCAACATGAAAAATAATAAATAGGAAAGGAGTACTTGAAGGACGTACGCATCAACGGCGCGCGTTTATCTTGCCGCACACGAAGGGGAGGCTCAAGGTAAAGCTAAAGGTGGAGCTGACGGGGACAAAGAGGCGTCGCGGATTCGCAGGAACGTAGCGGCAGCGTCTGCTGCTACGATCTACAGGGTATACACCCTTTCTTCATTTCAGGCTGCGTTTGTGTTTAACGTGCACGCCTTCCCCCCGTGTTGTACAAGACTTTGAATAATTCATAGCGCCGTCGCTCCCTCTGGTAAAAATGTAGATTTGTTTTTTGGGTTGCTTGGTTTCCAAAAAAAACAATAACAAAGAAGGAAAAAAAAGAAGAGAAATCTTCAAAATCCACCATCTGCGCTTTGGCTTGAGCCAGAGCATGTTTAAAACATTTCGCCTGGCCCCTCTGTCAGCATCCGTACCGAAGAGAATTTTGCGCCGTTTCCCGACCGCTACGGAGAGCATGCCCGTGTGTGTGTCTCTTGTTCCGTCGTTTGTTTATTGGTTGTTTTGGTTGTTGTCGCTTGTAAACAAGCCTCGGCACTTGGCGTGAAGTGCTTGAAGCTAAAGAATAGGGTGGAACGAGAAGAAGTAATACATTTACAGACGCTTACAAAAGGCGAGAGCAGCCCACGTTTGCGTTGGTTGTGGGATTTTGTTTTTGTTTTACCATACTTCACCTATGCTGGTTAGTACGGGTGAGCAAAGGTGGTGGAGGTGGGGGCAGTGCCGGATGATCCTCGTAGCAAAGTAGCTACATATGCTATGAGCCCCGCACTTTCAAGGGCCCCATGCTAAATGCTTTCAAGCTATCAATTCCGGTTCAGTGATTCTGCACTTGCTTTATTACTATAGCACTATACCGCCTTCAACTTTTATGAACGACTGGGTGTTTAAGGTTAACGATTTGTCGTATTATCTGGCTGTATAGTAAATGAAAAATACAATTATTTTACTATGCGAGTAAAAAAAAATTGTGTTTTAATATTTATGTGTTTTTTCTTTATTTAGTGCCCCTTTATAACATCCGCTACAGGTCCTGCACTAGCTTAATCCGGCACTGGGTGGGGGGGGGGGATGCGGAGGGGGATGACCGGTTCTGATGTCACGGTTCGTAGTTCGACGATTCCCGGTCACGGCTACCATCGGTGACAAGTGATATCGGAACCACTCCGAGGCATCAGAATCAAATCCAGGAAGAGAAATCAAAATAGCTCCGTTCTGGATTTTATTTTGACTCCGTTCCTGGATTTTGTCCTGAAGATGCTCGCCGCGGTTTCATGCAAAAAGGGCGCGTGTCGAATTTGATCAATTTGGCTGCGAGTATTGTGCACGTGACAATTTTTTTTGTTGTGTTGTCAGGTGGTGGAGGGTCATCCGACATATTTGTTATTTTTGTTTATTCATTTTCACTTGCTTGGTCGTGTCTATATCTGGGATTTGGCCCTTATATATAATTCATGTACAGCGTTATGGAATGCTTTTAGCATGAATGACGCGATACGAAAAAAAAATTCGTATTATTAAAAATGGCCATCGCGGTATAAACGGGGCACGAGGCCAAGGGCAATAGCTGGGAACGGAACATTTCATCAGCCATGATCAATCCACTGCTGGATGGTGGCCTTACCGAAGTCAATCATTCGCCAAAGTTATTCACAGTAACAATGATCGAGCGTCCTTTATGCCGGGGCATCTTGGAGCGCTTGACACGCGAAAAAAGGCGATTTACACACACATGTCAATCATTTTAAAGGACGTCACCCCCAGCGGCAGCTGTCTCTATGCGGGTACCAGCCGACTCGGCACTTGGCGTGCGAGTGGGCAAGTAGCGGGCAATGTCAAGAGTTTGACCTGACCCGTCCTGTACGCTAATCCCGCGCGCGATGCCGTGGCGTGTCGCCGCAGTGGGGCGCAAGCAGTTTGCCCGCCACGAGTCGGCCCAGAAGGTGGCCTACTTGCTGGGCTGCACGCTGGACGAGCTGTCCACCGCCACCTTCAAGCACCACCTGCGGAACATCGGGCTGGGGCCGTGCGGAGGCGGCGGGGGGCGGCCTTCGTCCGTGGGGGCCCACGGCTGCCTGGATGAGACCTCGCTCGATAGCACTCCAGGTACGGACGCACGACGGAGGAGGAGGGAGGAGCGCAGGGAGCGCGGGGGGCCAACGTGTTCCGCCCCCTCGGCCATCGCCATCGCCGCCATCGCCACACGGCGACACGACCACCGCCACTGCTGCTGTCTCGTGCTGGCACTGTCGCCTCCAGACGGCCGCTGCCACCATTGCTGCTACACCGGCACGTTCACCTTAATCGCCACCGCTGCCCCAATCGCTACCTTCATCACCACTACCATCACCGCCGCCGCAACCACGACCAAAACACCAACACAACCAACATCATCATCACCGTTACCACCACCACCACCACCATCTGTGCCGCTTTGAAAATTTCCTCTCGGGGGAAGCGCCCGACGGATTTGATTGAGCGGCTGAGTTTTTAACACCGCCAGCGGCACCTGGTGCCGCTGTGGGGGGGTTGAAATCTCGGCGGGGCGGCTTTTTGACGATTGGTGCTGACGGATGGACGGACGGATGGACGGCACCGCAGGGCCCCGTGCGGTGGAACGCCGCCGTAACGATCCGATTTGACAAGGCCGCAAAAATGTGCCTACCGGCGCACGTCGGGGGTGTTGGTTGTCCGGGCCATCAGTGTGTGAACTCCACCTCGGCGTTGGCTTTTTTATCCATTTATTTATTTCCTGGCCAGAGATGGCACGAGAACGCCGAGCTGAGCGTCACCAGCGTGGCTATTAAGTCGCCATTTACATTCGTGTCTGGACCTGGAAGTGACCGGGTGGCCTCAGCAGGTTCACAATGCCCAGTCGAGGTTTCCACCGCCTGTGGTTTACATCCGGATTCTCAAATGGCAGCGAGTTGACGGCATCAGCCCATTCGCCGATTGGCGGCGCTGCAAAAACGGTCTCGTGTTAATTCTAGATTTGAAGCTTTCGTGACTGCAAGGATTCATATTCTTAGGTTTTTTTCGGTAAAGTCACTTGATACAGCTGTCGGGCTGTGACGGTTCCACCTGAAGACGGAAGCTTGTGTTGCCTCCGAAACGTCGTGATTTTTATTTTATTTTACTTTTATGGTCTCGTGTTAAATGTTGCTCCGTCCCTCGATTCCAGCTGAGGAGTTCCGCTGACACGTTTGGCTCGATTTGCCGCGTGATGAGCGCTGCTCCAGAAGGGCGCGAGAGAAGGGTGCGGCGCCCACCGCCGAATGTGGACAAGAGACAATCGAGGGAGCCGCAGGCGCAGTTCTGTCATGTCGCCTTTCCAAACGGCCGCTCTCTAACACGAGGCGCGAGGCTTCCCTGCGCGAGAAGACCTCCACGTGAACAAATAATTTTTTTCATCTCAGGACAGCGTGGTGCCTCTGACGCAAATGGCACGCAATTAGGAAACATTAAATTTTTTTAGTGTTGCCCGGATGTAATTAACGCCGGCAACTGCGCGCACTAATTGTCCAACGTGGGCAGCGCTGCGCTACGAACCCGGCAACACCCAAATTCAATTCCCCACTCACGGCCAACGTCAAATGGCCGAATATCTGAACCGGTCCTGGTCGTGAGCCTCCACTAGGTCGACTCGGCCTAAAACGTGTACCTGGTGCGAAACATCGCCACTCGTGAGACAAAGGCGGCCCGGCGTGGTGTTGGCTACCCAAAGGCGCTCGCTAACATCACCAACCCCAACAGTCTGTTAAGGCTATACGGTGGGAAGGGGATCTTTGTGTCTGTGTGTATGTGTCTGTGTGTATGTGTCTGTGTGTGCGGGGGTACCCGCTAACAGCGGCCTGCCGCCAACAGCCTGTTAAGTCCACGCGGTGGGGGGATCTTTATCTGTGTGTGTGTCTGTGTGTGTCTGTGTGTGTCTGTGTGTGTCTGTGTGTGTCTGTGTGTCAACGCAGGGCCAAAGCTGACGGCTCTGGAGTGCCTGCAAGGCATGGCCATGGGGCTGTACGGAGAGGTGTTCAACCTCGTCGTGTCGCTCATCAACAGGTGAAGAGGAGGCTCAATCCCAGCGTCGCCCCCCCCATCCCTTCCGCGTGGCGCTCGCAGCGTAGCAGCTGGCGGCGGTGACGAGATTATAATAATTACCATGCTTTCGGTACTCGATGATGCTCGTGATGGCGAAGATGATGATAATTCGGTATGTGACGATAGTGCTGATGTTTAGGTATATTTATGAGTATCATTCAGTATTGGTAGACTTGTTTTCATCACAAAGTCTCATCGAGTCTCGTGATTTATTTTCAGAATGGTCCTGCCAAGTTTCACCCACTCGGAGGGGTGGGGGCCAATGATTGCTCTGTATAACCCCGATTGAGTAGTTTGCGGGTAATTTGGTAATTTGGAAAAAGATTTGGCCAATTTGGGCCATGATGCCAGCACACAATGTCCTGGCTCAGGGCTGTAAACAGAGCCGAGAGTGCCGAGCACCAGTGACGCAACGCTCGCTTGGGCAGGAGAACCACTTTGGATTTTGAAGAGCGATTTGGTCGAGGATGACAATGCTGATGGTGCCGCCGCCGCTGCCCGTGGTGGTGTGGCCGGGGCTGACCTCCTCCCGCAGGTCAATGAGCTCGTCCCAGCACACGCTGAGCTCCGTGCTGCTGGTAGACGCCCCGGGGTTCCGGACGAGCGGCGCGGCCGGGCCGGTCCGCCCCGCGGGCTCGCTCTCCGACCTCGCGCACAACTACGCGCAGGAGCGCCTGCAGCTGCTGTTCCACGAGCGAGCGCTCGCCGCTCCGCTCGAGCGGCTCCGCGAGGTGCGCGCCAGTGCGAGCGTGTGCTGCGAGTGTGCCAGTGTACGAGCGTGTGTGCGCGCGTGCACGTGTGTGTGTGCGCGCGAGCGTGCGTACAATCGAGTGTGTGTGCGTGCGAGCGTGCGTTCAACCGAGCGTGCGAGTCCATGGGCGAGTGTGCGAGCGCGCGTGTGTGCCTGTGTACGCACGTGAGTGCGGTGTGGAGCTCAGACCCTAACTCCGCCACCTACGCTGGGACACGGGGCTTTGCGTTGCGCCCGCACGGATCCGCCCGCGGGTGGCGAGTAAACACCCGGGAGTAAGCGGCTCAGCGCGAGTGAGCGGCACGGGCAGTTGTAATGACATCGGCCGTAAACGGCTGGGATGGCGAACGGCGCTGAAGACACGCACACGGCACGGAGAGCAAACAACGGGGAGAGTAATGGGCGGGGAGAGTAAACGGTGTCCGGAATAGACGACGGGACACGGAGGGGAGCAAACGGAGGGGAGAGAATTTACATCGTGGGGGCGGAATTTAACGGCGTTCCGCCGCTTGACGGTGATCTACCGTGGCAGGGAAGATCGACGCCGCCGGCGCTGCCACCAGCGCCGGCGGCGGTGGCGGCGGAGGGATTTATTCGCCATTTCCACCCCCGAGCGGCATTAATTTCCAATTTCATAAACAAACCCGGACCCTGACCCGAACGCTGGGACAATGTGCGTGGGTGATGGGAAAGGGTCGCGGGTCACCACGCGCGCTGTGGTAGGCGACCAAAGAGGAGGAAACGGAGTGGGCGATGTGGACACGTGCCGGAGGAATCTTGATTTAGTGCCGGAGGAGGAATCCGATGAGCTCTGAAGCTCTTTTCACAGTTGTGCAGTATCGGGGTCACAACAGCAAGCGATACAAAAACACGAGAGGAGTGCAAAATCGATAAAATAGTAGGAAAATCGCTAAATATAAATAAATGAATATTGCCTTAATGATATCAAGATTCCATTTAGCAAGATTGAGCAAGGCAGCAACAACAACAACAACAGTCTACAGGTCTAATTCGTGTGATTATCTGAGGTCCCTTCATCAAACCGCCTATGTTGATGTCAGAGCAACGACCGTAAGTGTTACGTGGAGTGGGTAGCGGAGTGGTGCATCACTGCTGTGATGATGCCTCCTCCTCCTCCACCGTTCTTGTGAATCGGGCATTTGGACACGAGGAGACAAGCGGGGTTCATCCTGGTCGGTAGCCCAGAGAGATATTTCCCGCGCACCACGTCCACGATGACCTCTCGCTGTGGGCTGCGGTTCCCGCATAGTCACGGACCGACCCGAGAAAAGGTTCGGTGAGAAACGAAGCCCCTGGGAGAGAAAGAGAGTTAGAGATGCGACGACGCCGGCGAAACACGGCGACACCGCGGAGAGAGCCGGTGAACGTGATGGTGACGGTGGCACTGTGTGTGTGCCTGTGTGTGTGTGCGGTGTGGGGAGCGGTAGTGTAGCGCTTAGCGCGCTGCGCTATGAACCCGGCGACCCGGGTTCGATTTCCGCTCACGGCCAACACCCAGTGACGATTGTCTGAACCGGTTCTGGGCCTGCACTAGGTCGACTCAGCCTCAAATGAGTACCCGGTACAGTGTGTAAACATCACCACTGGGGAGACAAAGGCGGTCGGGCGTGGTGCTGGTCACCCACTCCCTCGTGTACCGTTCTGGCCTTCATAGGTGCTCGCTAACAGCACTTGCCCCTACATTCTGTTAAGGCTATACGGGGGATCTTTGTCTTTGTGGTGTTCCACAGGAGAACATCGTGGTGGCCGTCGAGGAGGAGCCGCCGAGCTGCACGCCGTCCGTCAGCGCCGTCGACGCCGCTTCCCAGGCCGCACAGGTGACCCGTCACACCGGCACACCACGTCCAGTAACCCTCTCGCTGACGAGCCGTGCCTGTCCCCAAACCACTTGCTACCGAATCCAGTCAAGCAGCGGCCCGGGATATAATTCTCCCACTCACCCGGCACACCACATCAAGTACACATCCCGCGAGTGAGCCGTGGCAACTCGCTTCTTCCGTACGGCTGCTGATGTAGATGGCAGAGCTACGCAGCGACAATTTCACATTCGGGCGGTCAAGCCGGACAACCGCGTCAGGAGCAGCGGACTGGTAACCGTCACTGTGATGTCTCCCCCGCTAGTCACGTGCCCCCACACGGAACACCACGTCCAGTAAACTTCTCGCTGTGGACCGTAGCTGCCTTCTGGCCACGTGCCACCTGTTCCAGTTGAGCAGCGACCCGGGATATATTTACCCACTCCCGCACACCACATCCAGTATATTTCATGCTGTGGGCCGTTACTACCTTGTGCCACTGATTCTCATGGACCAGCGACACCGGGAAATATATGCGCACGCGGCTCACCCGCATCCAGTGTACCTCTCGGCATTGGCGACCTCTCGACCGTTGGCCAATAATCCCTCCGGCTCACTTGATTTTGTCCCCCCGCAACGTTCAACATCGACGTCTCTTGACTTGCCCGCTGTGGCGTACGAGTCCCAAGCGGCAGGGTCGTTGTCGAAGACGATGGGGGCAGAAAGGGCTTAACAGTGTTGACAAAGGAGCGGTGCTTGGAGTCACACCGGGAGACAGGAAGTTGGTGGTTGGGTTAGAGAACGCATCTGAATCTCAAATTATTTGATGAAACTCCATTGGTTGTCGTGCACAAATAACAACAACAACAACAACAAACGTAACGCATTCTTCAATAACACTGTGTGTGTGTGTGCGCGTGGCCTTAAAATGCAACGCAAAAATACGTGTCCTAGGCGACGTTTCGGGCAATGGCCCTTCTTCACAGCACATGAATAGAGAGAGGTCAGAGAAGATTCGAGATGGAGAGCGCACTTGTTCACACCGCGGATGAAAATCGCATTAAATACAATATGTGCATGAATAGTGCTTAAATTAGCCGACGAATGGGCAACCTATTAGGATTAGTTTATTTTTTCCTTTCTAAATTGCCGACTCTCTTTGCTTCGGGGAGTTCGGGGGGGGGCGGGGGGGTGGGAGTCTTCATTCCCTGTGCCACAGCGTCACCGCCTGGCCGCTGGGAGAGACTTCAGCCCGAACAGAGAGGGTCGAGCATAACAATGGGTTTGATCTCTTACTGGCAATACAACAGCTGCGTTAAGATGTTCAAACACCCAACGGAATCCTTATTCATGAACTCACGTCCGCATTAACCGCACGTGCGTGTGGTGAACATGCAAACAAAAAAAAACGTGGTCCGATAATATATAATGCATTGTCTTTGAAACGAATCGATCCGCACCAGAAAGGTCCCATATTAGAGAGGAACTGTTTAACGCGTCGCAGGCTTTTCGCGACCAATATCATCCATAATCGAGTTTCTTTTTTAGGTGTGATCGCTTGAATATAAATGCGTCGTTAGACCCGCCACCACCCGACACGACCAATTAGTAAGGTTTGTCATGTAAAAAAAACGTACCAATTCGTTATTAGTACAGCACACAACATTTACAATTTGAGTACGACGTTTCGCCAGTAATTGCAACTAGCATAATCAGGCGATAGCCAGAATTTTGGAGAAATCCTCCTGTTTCGTTCTTAAATACTAGAATAGTAAACGTTGCCGTACTCGAATTGCAAATGTTGTGGGTTCACTCTCGAACACACGGGTGTGCTGAACGAGTCACGAATTGTCACGTTTGTTCATGTGACAGACCTCACTAATTGGTCATGTCGGATGGTGGCGGGTTTAACGACACATTTATATTCACGCGATCGAACCCAAAAAAAACTCTTATAAAGAGGAACAGCCCCCCCCCCCCTCCTCAAAGCCCCCTTATGACTGTCTTAGTATCACGCGACATTCCAGGCTGATAACACCTTTAGCCGATTCCACCTCATTCCCTCTGGACGACTCAGCCTCAAAATAGATTTAAAAAACGAATTTCTTCAGAACTACTTGCCGCTGTGTTTAGTTTGTTGTCCTTCCCCCCCCCCACACCTTCGATTAGCACGTACGGTGCGAAAGAAGTTCAATATTCACACGTCCATCATAGCGACTCGAATGTTGCCCATTATCGAGTCCCTCTGAATCACTGATCGACTCTGTCCGGACGGCCCTTCGCAAGTAGTTCTAAGCTGCTGCTGCTGTTGTTGTTGATGCTGCTGCTGTGGTGTGGGATTTACCGTACTCTCATGGGAATGTATATCCATCAATGTTGCTTTGCGTAGCTCAGAGTTCAACATACGTACATTGCCACTGGGGAGACAAAGGCGGCCAAGCGTGGTGCTGGCCACCCCTACCGCCCTCGTGTGCCCTTCCAGGCCTTCATCGGTGCTACTCACTAACAGCACTTGCCCCAACAGTCTGTTAAGGCTACACGGGGTTGGGAGGAGGGGGGGATCTTTGTCTTTGTAGGTTACGCAACGCCGCGTGCGCGTCCACGTGGTGGCGGTGAGACGCGCGGTTTGAGTTGAATGGGGGAGAAAGTGGGGAAAGGAACCCCCCGCCCCACCAACTCGAACCGAGCAGCGAGTTGACACGCACGCCGAGTGAACGCCGCCCGTCACCATCTGGCGCTTCAACTTGAAGAGCGAGCGAGCGAGCGCCTTTTCTACGAAACGCCGCATTGCGAAAATCACATCTCTCGACGCGGGGGATCGCGCGGATGCGCCGTTCCCCGTTTGCCACTCCAATAGAGGCTGGCAGCAGTCAGTAAATTTTAACATGAATAATTTATTGATGTGGGGGTGGGCAGGGAGGGGGGCAATGTTGATGGGCAGCTGTGTGGGTAATTTGCGTGCGAGTGTGCGTATCGCTTCGTGTTTTGCGTGCGTCAGTGGCGTAGTAGCTACATTGTCAGTGGCCTAGTCACGACATTGTCAGCTCAGGGGGTGCCAAAATCGGTCATGTGGGGCCCCAGTATTTTGATTTGTCTCGCACGGTCGCACCTCGAGGCTGTTGTATAACGCGGGCTCGTCTTGCCTTAATCACGCCGTCGATACGCTCACGGCCTCGGACATTTCACGCTACTGGGGCGCAGCCACTACAGCTCCGTAGTTACCTCTTTTGCAATATTACGTGACTGCTGTAATTAAATGCCAATGAAACGTAGAAGGTAAATGAAAGCATTTTCGTTAAAAAAAAATCTAATGAGCTGTTGTCCTTTTAAACTGTTGTTGAAACAAATATCGCGTGGTGGTTTTCAAGGGGGTGGCCCTAACTCGTAGCTTTGGCACCAGTGGGGGGGGGTCCAAGGGACCCCCTGCCTGCCCCCCCCCCCCCCCACGCTCATCACGCTCCCGGAGCGTGTTAACTATAGCCCGGGTTGTCGGGAGGTATTCAACTCGTGCCCGCTGGGGTTCGTAGCGCAGTGCGATCACCGCAGCCCCAACTCTGATGGATGACAGCCTCAGCCCACTGGGCCTTTGCAGCGAATCGCACAGACGGGAGTGGTGAAGTATGGTCAAATGACAGGGGAGGGGAGGTGATTTAACAAAAGGGGTTGTAAATTAAATGTTGTTGTTGTTGGTCATCAGCAGCCAGCCAGCCTCTGTAGACTCCTGCAGAATTGTGGGGTATGCGGCACAACAATAATAATTACAACAATAATAATTACAACAATAATAATTATCAGTTCACTCGGTGTTCATGCGATCGTTCTAATCGTGGCAAGGGCCGCTATTGTTCCACAGACACAGCCCCTGCAGTTCTTTCACAGCAGCGGGCAATGTTGCCGATGGGGGTTTTGCCAATCGAGAACTTGCGGGTAATTTAAGAAATTTTGCCAAAGTTGGGAGCGCGACACAGACGCACAACGAGCCCACACCCTTCCCCCAAGCTCAACTGGGCATCTGTGAGCTTCTGTGAACTATTGGACATCTGTGAAAAATTGCTTTTATAGCTCATCGAATTCCTCCAGTATCATTAAATGTCCTGAATGGCGCGTGCCTTCCCTCTGGTCACGAGCGCAACCAGGGACGGCCCGCTGCCTTGGCCTCGAACCTTGAGCCCCCCGCCGCTGCAGCAAGCGGCGAATTGCGCCGCCGCCTCTCCACCGCGTCGCCGCCGGGCAAAGTCGCGGTGCCCCCCACCCACCCCCCCACACCGGACTCACGCCGTCTTCGTCTCGCGCAGGTCCTGGGCAGCGGGCGGGGCTCAGTGGGGGTCGCGGGGGGCGAGCGGCGTGGCCTGCTGTGGCTGCTGGACGAGGCGGCCGCCACGCCGGGAGCCACGGACGACGACCTCGTCGAGAAATTCGTCGCCGCGTTCGGACACACGGCCGGTGGGTGACTCGCAGGGTGGTATTGGGTGGGTGTGGGACGGCGGTGGGTGGTGGTTGTGATGACGGGGGGAGTGGCGGTGGTATTGATGGTGATGACGGTGGTGGTGGTGGTGGTGCATCTGCCGGTCATCTGTGTCAGTCAACCCATGGCACCTGGGTCTGCCGAGTAACATCCGGTCAGCGAGCCCTTGCACACATCACGTGGCCTCAAAGTTCACCTGGCACAGGCTCCGTGACCACGTCACCGTCACTTAGTGGCGAATGGCGGATATTGGTATTGGTGGTGATGAATGTGGTGGTTGTGATGACGTAATGATGGGGGTACTGGCGTTGGTATTGTCTTTGGTGATGATGATGGTGGTGGTGGGTGATGGTTGTGACGATGACAATGACGGCGGCGTTGTTGGTGGTGGTGGCGGTGGTAGAACATACGTAAAGTTCACAGTCATTCCAAACCGCCCACGATACCGTTCGCGAACTCAACAAGACGCGACGAGGAGCGGCGCTGGCGACACCGCACCTTGACCTACGGCTGCGACGCCCCCCCCCTACCCCCCCCCCTTCTCCCCCCCCCTCCCCCCACGGCTTACAGACGACGCGGTGGCAGCGGTGCACAAGGAGGATCAGCCGTGCTGCTTCAGCGTGCGGCACGCGCGCGGCGCGCTGCCCGTGCGGTACGACGCCGCCGGGTGGGTCGCCCACGCCAAGCACAACCCCTCGGTGCACAACGCCGCCACGCTGCTGCAGGACTCGCAGAAGTGAGTTGAGGGGGGGGGAGAGGGGGCACGGTGCGTGCAGTGGGGGGGCGGCACGGTGCGTGCAGTGGGGGGAGGCACGGTGCGTCCAGTGGGGGGGCACGGTGCGTGCAGTGGGGGGAGGCACGGTGCGTGCAGTGAGGGGGGGCATGGTGCGTCCAGTGGGGGGGGGGCACGGTGCGTGCAGTGGGGGGGGGCATGGTGCGTGCAGTGGGGGTGGTTTTAGGGGGGCAGTACACAGCGGTGTGCCGTGACCGGCTGGATATTTTGCTGTCTTTTCTTGGATTTTCTGTTTGCACTTAGTCACATATTCACTTTAAGATGTTTTCTTGTTCATGTTTTTGTTTTTTGTTTGTTGCGGTTGTACCCCATTCAAGAGCCGAATGGCTCACAGGGCTATACCTAATAAATAAACTTGAACTTGAACCAAAACAGAGGGTACGGCGTACGAACGGCCACCACATGTACCAGGAGCTGACACCGAACGGTCCGCACAGATGGGCTTGCGAGCGAACCCCCTTTCTGCACTGCCGTCTGCTGGCCAGCGACGCAATTTTAATGGGAAGGAAACTCTCTTAACATTGCTAACACGAGTTCTCAATGTTGGAATTTAGTATATTTTTTTAATGGTCGTTGGTGACGGGAGGGGGGGGGGCCGGGACAAATCACACTGTGTGGGACCCCCGAACTAAACCGGAAGTATTACATCTGCTACCGTGACGTTAAAGCGGGGGGCCCCCCAAATCGTGGGGCCTGGGGCGGTCGCCCCGATTCGCCGTACCCCTAGGGACGGCTCTGAGTGTTCGTGACCATCTGCTCGCAGCGCTTGAGAACCCCGGCTCCCTGGATTCTAATTCCTGGATCTCAGCAGTGCCTGCTCAGATCTCCCTCTCCCCACCGATGTCTCCCGGTCTGCGACCCCTGCTCCCTCGGCCAGTAGAGCAAATTGGTTTCCTTACCCCTCTGACCCTCACCCGCCATACCCCCCCCCCCCCCCGGACCGCGTCTCTCCCCCCCCCCCCCCCCCCCCCACCTGGATGACGCCGTTCTCGCAGGGCGGTGCTCAGCGAGCCGTTTGCTCCCAGCGCCGGCGCCCTCCGGATCCTGGGTGGCGCCATCGCGGGCCTGGACGGGCCCTCGCAGTCGGCGTCTCGCCGCGCCGCCTCCGTGCGCCGCTGCCTCAGCACTGGCGGCACCGGCGGCAGGCGCCGGTCTCTGGCAGCGCACGTCAAGCTGCAGGTGGTGAGTGGCCACGGGCGAGAGGAGGAGTTCGTGTCTTTATTTTTTCGCTCAGGAGTTGGTAGCTTTATTTTTTCACTCTCCCAAAATTAATTCCCGGTTGTGCTCGCGACGTATTACTACCTCAACGAGTCTCGTGACTCCTTCGCAGGAGGGTCTTGCCAGGTTTTCGTAAGCAGGGGGCAATGATTGCTGCTTGGAGAGTCCACACGAATAATTTACAGTGTACATTTTCTTCTTACTTGGAACACAACCGCTGCCTCGCGTAACAATCGACTCTTTCGATGATTCCTCCCCCCCCCCCCCCGTGCAGGACGCGCTGCTGGACATGGTGCGGAAGACCTACGTCCACTTCGTGTTTTGCCTGCGCCCGAGCGCGGCCCCCGGCGTCTTCGGCGTCTCCGGCACCGCCTCTGTCGACATCCCGTTCCTGCGGGCACAGGCCCAGGCCTGCCAGCTGGTGGACGCGCTGCGTCTCCACAGGCAGGGTGAGGAGCTCGATTTGAAGCTTTCGTGACTGCAAGGATTCATACTTCTTCGTTTTGTCGGTAAAGTCACGTGGGTAAAAAAATTAAATAAAAATTAATAAAAATAAAATAATAAAAATCACGACGTTTCGGAGGCAACACAAGTCTCCGTCATCAGCAAATCTGGCTGCGACGGTCCCACCTGATGACGGAGACTTGTGTTGCCTCCGAAACGTCGTGATTTTTATAATTTTATTTTATTAATTTTAATTTCAATTTTTTACCTACGTGACTTTACCGACAAAACTAAGAGTAAGAGTAGGGTGAGGACCAGCACCGGCTTCCAATTTTCTCTCCCCTTCTTCTCTTTTTGTCCCCGTGCTATCTCTCCTTGGCTCCATTCCCATTTCGCCACGGTGGTGAGACTTTAACTCCCTCGCCCGGTATACAGAAAGTCGTGGGTTCGATCCCGACCCTGACACCTGCTGTATGTTTGGAGTTTGCGTGTCTCTCTCTCTCTCTCCCCCTGGTTTCATGGATTTTTCTCCAGATCCTCCAGTTTTTTCCATCCATTTAGAATCAGCATCACGCGTTTAGAGTATTTGGCTGCTGTACATTTCCACGTGACAAGCCACTTCGTTGGGTTATCATTTGTGATAGCCAAGTTGCTTCTGAAAAAGAGCTACATAGCTCAGTGGGCCTTTTGCCTTGTCTGGAAAAATAAAATAATAGTTTTTTGATGGTTTATTTCCATAGTGCCGCCATTATTACCGTTAGCCAGGCCTGCCGCGACTGCTGCTACCTGCGGCTGCTTCCACGGCAGCCGAGCCGTAACCGCCACTACTCCCTCCGTTCTCATCGCCTCTCCCGTCTCACCCCCCCCCCACCCCATCGTGGCTTCCAGGTTATCCCGACCAGATGTCGTTCAGCGAGTTCCGCCGAAGCTTCGAGGTCCTCGCTCCGCAGCTGTGCAAGAAGCACGGGCGGCAGTACATCGCCACCGACGACCGACGGGTCCGTCGTGCCCCGGATATCGGTTCCTCCCTCCTTCCCCCCCTCCCCTCCCCCCGCATGTCTGTTCCCCCTGGAACAAGTGTTTGCAAAGCTAGCTGTTCCATCCAGCGAATGTTTGTTCATCCCCCCCCCCCTCCCTGTCCCCCCCCCCCCCGTCCCACCAAATGTAATTATTTGTACCCCAAAGTAGGAGTTATTAGGGGTAGAGTTAGTAGCTTGAGGGTAAGTGGCGAGCTAGTTTTGGTTAGTGCGAAGTCTTCTTCCTTCGTAAGGCAGAGCTACAACTGCAGTTTCCCGTTCAGGTGGTCAATAGCGCTAGAGCCCGCGCTAGAGGCCGACTGGCTAGTGTGTTAGGGGTAGAGTTAGTCTCCTGCAGGGACACTGACTAGCAGGCTATGGTTATGGGTAGAGCTAGTTCGAGGGGCTTACTGGCTCCCTGTCTCGGATTAGAGGCAGGCCTAGCATTCGTTTGGCTTTAGGAAGGCAAGTTATGGTCGCTGGATGGCTAGCCGGTTAGGGTCAACATTAAGGGCAGTATTAACGGTAGGGTTAGCACCAGCTGTTGGCTGGCTCTTTGGAAAGTTTAATGCGAGCTCCCAGTGGCCTGTAGGGTTCATTGGTTATGAGCATTGTTTCGGGTCGGGGCTCGGAGCCGTGCTTGCGATTGGTCAGCTCGTGTACTCTGCTACGAAAACCACGCTCTCATCTACTCCCTGTCGCGAACAATCTTGGTGATCCCTCCCCCCCCCACATGCCCCCCCCCCAGAAGCCCCCCCACACGCCCCCCCCACTCCTCCCCCACGCACCCCCCCGCCCACCCACCCCACCACCAGTGTTATTGGTCGCCCTTCGTCTGCCATGTTCGCAGGCGAGCGTCAAAATCACGGGCCGTGCCCCCTAAGCAAACCTGGCATTCAATTCCACGCCCTTTATTTAAACGAGGGGAACTTTTTCACTACCGGAGCGAAATCTCATCGTCGGCGCCGCGGGACTCCTCCTTTAAATGCAAAAACACTTCCACGGGGTGTAGATTAAAGTTTTGATCAGAAAGCGATGGCGGCGTGTGTGTGTGGGTGCGGGTGACAGTGGCGTAGATCGCCGGCACGCCAAGGATTTACGCGCGACATATTCAGCTGAATGCGGGCGGGCGGGCGAGTGAGTGATTGGGCGAGTGGGTGGCCGATGTCAATTCTTAATGGTATTCTAAAAAGGCCAGGAGAGCAGGAAATTCGGACAAATATAATACCGCCAACGCTCGCATAATAAAGCATAATGTGCCGCCCAGTGGATAAATCCAATATCGGATGAAGGCTTCCCCGTGCAGTGTCCGTCACACACAGCCGTACTTCACCACTCTGGTCATTGCGGATTGGTGAACGGTGGGGGGGGGTAGTGGTGGAGAGGGCAGCACCGGTTCAGAACGTCGGATGTCACTCGCCACTGATGTTAGCCGAGACCAGGAATGAAACTGGGGTCGCCGGGTTCATACACGTCGCGTGAACTACGAACCGAGCATGAAGCTGGCGGTGAAAACCGGCGGAGTTGTGTGTGATCAATCCCTGACCTCGGCCATCACCGGATTGATCTTCATCTGTCTCTCTTATTTTATCATCATCGTTGTTATTATCATCATCATCAGCAGCAGCAGCCATGATCTATCCACTGATGGATGAAGGCCCCAAGATGCATCCTCTTGTTGAGGAGGTAGCTGCCACTGTCCTTTGAAAACTGTAATGATAGCGACGACGATAATAATTTTAAATATTCTTACGCACTGCACCAGACGATATATGTACATGTGGCTCTTCTCTGGGATATGTCTCCTCTTCCACTATTGTGGGATGGTGGAACAGGAGATATGTCCCGAGGGGGGGGGGGGTTATTCTCCTTCTCAGAGGTGGCAGCCCAGAGGCCTCACCAAGCCCGCCGCCATCGCTCGCCGTCTTGCGATGCGACAGCGATGAATAAATCAACGCGATTCATCCACGTGACATTTTATTTTTTAATGTCCTCATTTGAATCTCACCACGGTGTCTTCCGCGCAGGCTGCCGAGGAACTCCTGGAGGCTCTGGATCTGGAACGGAGCACGTACGCCGTGGGCGTCAGCCAGGTAGCCACCGCCGCCTCCTCCCCACTGCCCCTCCTTCCCTCCCCGGCTGACCCCCTCGCAAGCCCTCTGAGTCGTCTCAATGCTCACCGAAGATCCGCCGGGTCGCTCGAAGAGATGCCCAGGGTGCAGTCTCGTCTGCAACGGTGACCTGGGCCGCCCGCAGATGGTCAAGGCAAATCGAAACAAATCGAAGGGAATTCATGGAAAATGAACGTGAGGATTCGTAAAAGATGCACAAGCGTGAACCAACGTTGAATGATAAATACCCTCTAGCGTAAGTCGGCTCGGTCAGATTACAATCCTTCGACTTATAGCAACAGTTACATTTAAGTTCGGGAAACATTGGCGGGTGCTTCCAACCGTTGAACCCAACGTTAGCCCAAACGTTCATCGTTAACTGGCTCGTCACGGCTCTGCTTGACAAACCACCGCATCGCCCACGCCCGTCGCGGATCGCCCCCTCGGGGCCGCCGTCCCCGCAGCCTGTTGGGCATCGGTCAACACAATCCAACCGCGATGTCGGGCGCCCCCACCAGAGGGCAGGCCAGGGCCTACACGAAACCATTTCTTATCTTTTTCACCAGGTGAGGTCCCACTGAGCCAAGAAGAAAGCTCTTTGTTCAAAAGCGACACCCGGCCATCACAAATGATAGCGCGACGAAGTGGCTCATCGTCGTCACGTGTAAATTTATGGCAGCGGCCAAAAACTCTGAACGCGTGATGTCGAGTCTAAATATGGAGGGGAAAAAAACTGCAGGACCTGAAGAAAAACCCACGCGACCACGGGGAGAAACAACGTGCAAACTCCAAATATACAGCAGGCATCCGGGTCAGGTTCGAACCCACGACCTCATGCGCTCCAGGCGAGGTAGATAACATCTCGCCAACACGTTGCCCTAGAAGTTGGGCACGCGCAGCTCCTTCGCGTTCTGCCGGCGCTGCTGCTGCTGCTGGGTGCGTGCGCCGGGCTCGGCACGCAGAGCACTGTAATGTGCGTGTGCCGTGGCCTCGTCGTGGAACGGCCGCGGGGAGCGGCGATGCGGGCGGCCGCAGTGGCCGGTGGCAGGCGCCACCGCAATATGTTCGGCTTGGCAGCGGCTCGGCGCCATCTGTTGTGGGCTGTGTCCGTCCTTGCACGACCTGAACTCTCCCCCCCCTCCCGCCTTCCCCCCCAACCCCTCCCCCCGAGCAGGTTGTGTTCAAAGCCGGAGTGCTGGCGAGTCTGGAATACCTGCGGGACTCTCAGATCTGCGAGACGATCGTCAACTTCCAGGCGCTGTGTCGCGGCAAGATCGTGCGGCAGTGGATACAGAAGAGAAAGGTGCCGGGGGGCTGGGGGGCCGCGGCAGCTGTGGTGGGGGGGGGGGCATAGAGGTGCAGTGCACATACGTAGGGCGCCCACGTAGCTCAATAGGGCCCCCCCTCATCGTACCAAACATCAGCACGAGCTCGGATGTTTATGAAAATGAAATAAAATTAATCGTCTAAAATAATAGCGGTATGAAAAATTCTACATTATTTGGTGCTGATGCTGCTTCAGCCTTGGAAGTGGTGCATTGCCTATGGACTAACATTGCCCATAGATTTACATTGCACATAGATTTACATTGCCCATAGACTTGTTATTTGTTGAGTTTACCAGCCAAGCTGGGCCATGATTGGGCAAGGACACAACTCTACCACTATATTCTTGGTTCTTTCGGTAAAGTCACGTACCGAAAGAACCAAGAATATGAATCCCTGCAGTCACGAAAGCTTTAAATCAAAATTTAACTCTACCAGTGTTGATTCAGGACAACGGCATGGCACGGGGTGTTAGATATGTCTCGACTCATCGCAATAACAACAACAAACAATTACATATATTTAAGAATGCCCAATTTAAAAAATTATAACAAATCAAATGTAATATTTTAGTTCTCATGTTGTCTGGCACGCTATTCGCACTGACTATTTTGATTGATTATAATTGATCACCGGGTGGGGCCCCGTCACCAATCATGAATCGTAACGCCGGCAGCGCCGACCCACGCGGTTAACGGACCGTCGTTTCGTGCCGACACTCGTTGCCAACACTCGGGCTTTGCCCATCGGTAGCGGCCGAGGAGGTTAAACTCTGGCGGAAAACCCCGGTGTTGATTGGTCGAGTGGTGGAAGTGAATTTACGTGAAAACCTTTTTTTTTTTTTAATGAGCCGGGCTGTCCCATAATTCTATTTAGTTGTCACATTCAGAAATCGGTTTGTGCTGTAGTTTTTTTTGGCCAATTCCTTTAACAAATTAAAATAAGGAATGGTTTAGCTTTATGTGGGAAGAAAGTGATGGAATCAGCTTGCACGCAAATTATGCGTTTACATGGCAAGAGAGTGAGAGATGGCTTTGGCTCAGAGAGGCCTCCACTGATCATGGTTGATGATGATGATTATACTTGTTATAACTATCATATTATTATTACAATTACGCCTATTTTTATAATTACCATAGTAGGGGGAGATATAGCTGATGCGTGTAATCCCAATTCGCAAGGTCATTGTTTGGCCTAACACCAGTTACATTAGATGTTTTTTTTTGTGGGTTTATCACCTGATGGTGTTAATTATAAATAATATAATGATGACGACGATGATGATGATGATGATAAGGAAATATTCCCAAACAATCTCTGACAAAATTGGGAGGCTCAGTGAACGGACCCAGCGTGCCAACCTCTTTGTATTCTCTCCCCAGGTCCAGGATCTGGCCGTGCGGTGCCTGCAGAGGAATTTCCGCGCGATGGAGAGCGTGCGGCAGTGGCACTGGTGGCGCGCGTTCACCCTCGTGCGGCCCCTCGTGCCGCCCGCGGCCTCAGAGGAGCCCGCCAAGTACAAGGAGGTGAGGCCTCGCGACAGGCCCGGCACGTCACGACCGGGCCTGCGGCGTCGCTCATCCCGTGTGTCAACGCTGCCGATCAACTTCCTTGTCGTGGGAAAGAATATTGCGACGACGCGATATAATCCTTCCCCCCTCCCCCACCCATCACCACACCCCGAGCCACGAGCAACCCAGCCGCCCCTCTCCACGACGCGTTCACGAAAGCGCTCGCGTTTCTGCTGGCAGGAGGAGATGGCTCAGCTCCGCGGCCGCCTCGAGAAGTCGGAGAAGGATCGTCACGAGCTGCGGCAGGGCAGCGACCGGCTGGAGAGCAAGGTGGGTCGCGCCGAGCCGGTGGTCGCCACTGTGGAACTGGCGCGCCTCCTCGGCCATCGCCGCCGGCCCGGGGGTTGCGGTGCGACCTCTACGGCCCGCGGGGGCCGCTAATGCCCCCCCCCCCGTGCCGTGATTTCGACTGGCACCCGCAAGCGCCAGGAAGTGGCCCCAAACACTCGCCGGACGATTCGGGCGGGCCCGTTCGCCACAAACAGGCCGCCCCCGACACCACGTTTGGGAAAGGAGATTGGTGCACCTGGACCCCGGCCTAGGCTACGGAGAGAGAGGAGGGGGGGGGGGGGGGTGAGAGGGGGAGAAATATGAGAGTGGGGATGTGCCCCATTTAAATCGGTACACCTGGACCCATGCTTATCAAGCTACGCCACTCAGGTGAAGGGTTCCGTGGTCCCTCTCGTCTGTTCTCCTGGAGGGTGATGGCGACAATTGTCAGCCGTCCTTCGCGCCAAAGACGGCCGGCGCCGGCCGCGTCGGTTCGCCGGCCACGCGCCCGGTTGGGTTGGTTTTGCCGAGGAGGGTTAGGATGAGCGGGATGACCGGTGGCGTCGGCGCGGTGCGAAGGTCACGGAGCTGCAGACGGAGCTGACGGACGAGCGCCGGCTCGCCGAGACGACGGCGCAGCTGTTGGATGTGGAGGTGTCGGAGCGTCTCCGCGTGGAGAAGGAGTTACGCGAAGTGCAGGTAAGGCCCCCCTCCTTCCCCGGGCCGTCCCCCCCCCCCCCATCCCCTCTCCTGGGGCCGCCCCTACCTCTCCCCCCGGGTCCCACCCTTGCAAAACGAGAGACGTTCCATCTCAACGGAATTTCAATTGGTTTTATCGATACATGCAACAAATATTTGAGTCCGCACCAGTGGCGTTGGTATTGAGGAGGCTCCACAGGCTGGAGAGGCCCAGGCACCGGGCTGTGAAGAGGGAGGAGAATTGGACGGGGGGGGGGGGGCTCTATTTAATCGAATTGCCCTACAAAGGGATGTGTGGACATAACTTTTAACAAAACATTTTTCATTCCTCGGCGAACAAATATTATTGTTGTGCTTGTCTACCCAGGAAAGGCTCACTCAGTCCACCGACTCTTTATCAGGAGGGCCCTGCCAAGTTCTTGCAGGAAGCCGGTGACGATTGCGATGTAGATTCCAATTCAATAATCTTCTTGTAACTTTCAAAGTTGCCCAAATACGGAACGTATTCAGTGGGGAACGTACATTTTCAGGCACCGGCAAAACCGCGATGACGGCGCAGGATACGCAGGTACTCTAGCCCGCTCTGCCGAGATGATCGCCTGAATAATGAATCGATGAATTGCCGCCGTGCCGCCTCCGGCTGCGTCGTCGTCGTGCAGGTGAGGTTTGAGGAGCTGAAGAAGAGGACGGCCGCCGTGGAGATGGAGGTGTCGGAGGCGCGGATGCTGCGCGCCACCGAGGCCAGCTCGGGCATGGACGGGGCCGACGGTATGACCCGTCGATGCTGAGCCGCGCCCTTTCGCCAGCGCCACCGTGACGCCGCGCGGTTCGAACGCGCCCGTCTCGGTGACGCGGCCCAGCGACGTCGCTTTCGCCGCTTCGTTGCGGAGGATAAGGCCGTGCCAGCTCCCGCGGGCCCCACCTTCCCTCCCCCCCACTGTTACTGAATCCCACTGCCCGTAGTTATTGGGTTCTCCACCCTGCCCCCCCCCCCCCCCCCCCCCCGTCAGCATAAGGGATTTCGCGAGTCGTGTCGATGTCTCTTACCAAGGTCGCCGTGCAGGGGGGGGCGGCCATTCCTGTCTCATCCGTCTTCCTACCCGAGCCACGGCCGCCCATCACGTGGCCCCTCTCCCCTCCAGCGCTCCGCGCTGACGCGACCTTGCAGATCCCCTGGCCGGCACCAGGGACAACAACAAAAAACTTAAATCCCAACAAAGTCGAGCTCGCTCGCCCGCCCGCCCATCCGTCCACCTGCTCGCCAAAACCCGCTTGCCCGCCCGCACATCCATCCGTCCGCCTGCCCACCCGAACGCCCGCACGCACGCCCGCTCGCCTGCCCTGAATGATTGCGCTAAGCGGCATCTGCCGTGATGTATTGCTCTCCACGGAAAGTTGCGCCGCTGGCGATTGATGCTGCACGACGCGTGTTATGGGAAGGGAGTGGAAGGAACATCTCATTCCTTGATCCAGTGGCCATGCCAAACAAGTTACCAAAAATGCATAAAACATCCACTCACGTCTCAAGACTCCTTACGAAATGTCGGAACTTGTCCATCACAGGGACCACCAAAACGGGAGGGACATAGATATATATCTCACGGTCTGATGTGATTGCAGACAATTCATAGGGAGGAGAAGAAGAACGTTCTGATTAGCACGGTTGGCTACGTACAGTTCAGCATACATTATAATTATTATTTCTCGTCGCTCCTGCAGGGGGAGAGTGGAAGTCACGGTACGAGCGAGCGATGCGGGAGAACGGGTACGCGCGGAAGAAGCTGCAGCAGGAGATGGAGGACAAAGTGGACGTGGAGCAGCAGCAGAAGAAACAGCTGGAGCTCAAGGTGGGAGCGCTGCTGATTATTGACGAACAAACTCTCGGTTGGCCAAGAGGCCAGCAACAAACAGCACCAACTTTCGGACCGTTCATGCCGAGATATTCAGCCATCCGAGCAATCCTAACAAAGCTTTGTTAAAAAATATATATAGAAATGGAATTTCAATTCGGTCCCTCAATTGAAACCTATATTCTTTTGGCTGCGTGTCACTTTAATCTCCTGTACCTCTCTAAATTGTAATTTTTTTTGTTGCCTCCCCAATCATGTCCAAGTCTACTGAACGGCTCTGCTGCACTCCGCTAAACCGTGCCATCGCCGGTTCAGCCCTCATGCGCAGGGTCCCCGCTCGTCGAGAGTGGCGCGAGTGACCGCAATGCCACCACCACCACCAATAATTTTCGCCGGCACTGCCAACTACCACCACAGCCATAACCGCCACTGTCGCCACCACAACCGCCACAATTGCACCATTGCCACTGCTACCACAACCTTGCCAGGGCACCGCCACCACCGCTATCGTCACTTCAACCGCCGCCACCATTGACACCGCCGCCACTACAAGGGGCACCCGAGACCCTTGACAAACCGCGGTGGCAGCGGGGGCGGCGCAAGCGGCAGTGGAACGCTATTTCCGTGACGCGAGATCTCGCCCAGGTGTTAACTGATTAAAACTAAATTCGGAGGAATATTAATGGGTTTTAAATGACCTGTGGAATGGCTCTGCCGCGCTCACTCCCCAGAGAAAATATTTTGTGCTGTCACTCAAAGTGGGGGTGGGGAGGGGCGGTGGGGTTATATAACCGTGGCCTTCGCTTGCCGTGCAGTGCCCTTTCACTTGGAATTTCACCCGAGGAGACGCTCAGATGGTAAAAGTGGCTCGGTTAAAAAATTCGCTTTCCGTTGTTCAATAAACTTTTTTTTTTTAAATCGCCCGATCTGCCAGTTAACTGGGCATCGGCACAAAAAGCCGCAAATAATTTTCGACTCCTCTCACGAAACTATGCAGCAATATCCTGCGGTGTGACCGCCGCGGTTGCCGTAAGGAAGCCCCCTATTGAACGGCGAGCTCGCGCCTGCAGCTGATTGTGACTCGTTTAGCAAATTCTCGACCGCGCGGACCTCTTGATGGAAGCCGAAGTGGGAGAAATTCACCGCGGGGCAGCAGAGATTCGTTTGTGGCCTCCCGGGTCTCCTGCCTCCCCCCCACCCCACCCACACTGCCAGCACCACCACCACCACCGCTTCTCCCGCTCACTCGCTCTACCACCCGCTTAGCACGTTCCACGCGGGGCGCGTGTGCGAGAGACGGGAGGGGGGGGGGCTGCCTGTGACCCGCTGCACCGTCCGTGAGTTCCCGCGCGACCCCCCCCCCCCCCCCCCGGGTGCACCTGCTGCTGCTGCGGTGACCTCTGGCGTTCGCACCGTGAGCGTCGTTGCTGGGTTTGCAGGGGAGATGGTGGGGGAGGGGGGGTGGCTGGGGGGGGAGGTTGGAGGGCGTCTTGGGGTGGAAGTGGAGGCTTCGGATGGCCGCTCACCGCCCCCTTCCCCCTGGCCTTTTCTCATGAGTCTCTTAAACCCCATCACCCCCCACCTCCACTCCCCCATGGTGAAAGGTCGATGTGAGATTGAGGAGTAATACGGAACATTGCCATGGCACGGCGATCGCCGGATCGACGTCCAGATCCAGCAAACGAGAGTGCAGGTCAGCTGCCTCTTACTAAAGCCGTCGTGAGCCACCATCTATTCACTGCTGGATGGAATAATCTCCAAGCCAATCCACCATCCTCCATTTTTTACGTAGCTTGAAACCACATTGCAACACGGGCCTCCCCCCAAACCCCCCCCCCCCACCATCCCCCACCAACCCCCACCACCGCACGCGTCAGCGAACCGCGACGCCTTCCCGGTGGCCTCGCGCCAGGAGGGCACCGGGAGGACCTAACGTGCTCGGGATTTGATTTGATTTTGCTCATGGGTTGTTTGCGTTGGGCCACGTGGTCACGATCTTGGCCCAGCTGACACATCGATGGCCACGCGTAACAAAAGCGCTCACTAACACGCGCCAGTCGTGTCATCGTTTCAGCTCCGTAATGAGGCGAGGCTAAAGAACAAAATTGACGCATTCCGCGTTTTTCTATTGCATAACGACGTTCCGCTCGGAAAGGTAAAACATTCGCGTGTTCAGCGCTTCGTGACGAATATAATTTGCCCCGCGCCTCCGACTACCACGGTTGGCTATGTACGGTGCGCAAGAAGTTCAACATACGTACGCACACAATTTGCGTGTGGCGCAGTTCGGTTTTCACGACATACATTTTCGCCAGGCCATGACAACGTGGCCTACCCCGAGAGTAAATTACGAATCGGGATTGCACCGCGAGCACGCTCGGCGTCGGCGCCATCACCGCGTCTCGCCGACACCGACACCACCGTCCCCAGCCGGTAATTTCTCTGTATTTTTGGGCCAGGCGTTTGCATGGGGGGGGTTCCTAAACCAATCGTTGACGAGCATGTAAATCTCTGGACATGCTGTGAACGGCACGTTAAGAACTTTTGAGTGATCGCCGCGCGCTTGCTCGCTCGTGCCGCGGTGCTGCCGCAGGTGACGGAGATGCAATCGAGCGGCGAGGAGACCCAGCGCAGCCTGCAGAACCTGCAGCGCCGGTGCCAGCGCCTCGGGGCCGAGCTGCAGGACTGCCGCCTCCATATGGAGACGCACCAGGCGCGCAACCACGAGCTCGACAAGAAGCAGAAGAAGTGAGCGACTCATGCGGGGGGGGGGGGGGGGAGCGGCGGCGAGGGTTCGGGGTGAGGGGGTTAGGGGTCGGGGGGCGGCGAGCGAAGCTTGAGCGAGAGAGCTGCGGGGATGACAGCGAAATCCCCGAAGTAAACCGCCGCAAAAAAACGATGTTTTCAACTAATATTCGCACTCGAGGCAGTGTTTCAGTTTCATTTGTCTCCTGAGCAGTTTTATCCGCCGTGCTCTCTCGCCGGCGAAGTGGCGCGCGGGGATTTTTGTGCGCGCTCGGAAAAGCGACGGTGAGCGGCAGTATAACCCGTCGCGCTGGAGAACGGGGTGCAGAAGCAGATACCACAGAACTGCCTCTGAGGTCCCTTCGGGTGACCTCTTTCCGTCCGGTAAACACTCGGGGGGGGGGAGGTGGACTGTCCCACACGCCATGATACACACAAATCTTACAGTCACATGGCAGTCAAATACATGTTTTTCATTCTCAGAGCGGGTGGAATTTGGCCAAACTAAGCGCAAAGCTGAATACTTTTTTCGGTGCAGCCGTTGGCGAACTGGGCTGTGACCAACTCGCTGCACTTGAGAAGATGGCTTCATCATGGGTGACTGACGCTTGGACGGGAACCCAGGATCTTGTGGGTGCCATTCTGACTCCTTATCCACCCAGGCCCTCCCCCCTCCCCCCACCCCCTCGAGGCCCCCTCCACCATCCCACCTCCTAGCCCCCCTTTCTCTATCCACTGCCATCCATCTGGGCTCATGGACGTTATGATTATTCACTGACAAACAAAGCCTCGAAAGGTTTCCGAAAGGAAAATAAATGAAAGCGCCTCGCCAAGCGCGATGAATTTATTCTCAGGTTTCTGCAATTTTCCCATTCCTGTGTTACGTTAATTTATTCTGTGCGGACCTTCGCTTTGCCGGGCTGTGATCTAGTGCATCCCTGGGCGTAAGGGCCGCGTTCGCAAAGATCAACGAAATCCTTTTGGGTCAGCAGCAAGACAATTTGGCGAATGGTGACGCGTCAACTCGATCAACAACAGCTTTTGTTTCAACCTACAGCGACAAAAATCGCTGATCGGCATGATGAGCATCATCAGCCGTGGTTTATCCACTGCTGGATGAAGACGGTTTCTCTGTGCTATCAAAAACCTTCACGGTCGTTCAGGGATTAGAGAGACTCGCACCGTCATCACAACTGCCGCGCCGGGAGGTCGAATCGAACCGGCGACCTCTGGATCGCGAGCCCAGCACACTGCCTCCCGTTACCCCGCGGTGCCAGCAAAAGTATTGGTTTAGTATAATCATAATGAGAATCTGTATTTATCCTCGAGAAATCTAATGAGCCATGAAGTTTTTTTTCACAAATGTTCATTAGGGGCGGGTCAGAGAGTATTAAGAAATATAGATTAGTACAGAAAGCTATTTAGATTATTTTTGCGCTATAAATTCCCACGTGATAAGCCGCTTCATTGATCTATCATTTGTGGCCAGGTCGCTTCTGAAAAAGAAGCAAATGGCTCAGTGTGCTTTACCTGGTAAGATGACACGTGGCTTAGTTTAATTTGTCTATTGTTTCAAGTTATTTTTTTACCTTTCCTATACTTTGCACTCCCATCGTGTGTTTTGTATCGTTTGTTGCTGCAACGTTCTGACCCCGTGTCACCGACTGGATACCTGTGTAAAAGAGCTGCATAGCTCATGGGACTCCTCCTCCGGTATGAATAAATAATTCTGATACTGATTATGAACGCGCAGTTCTAGAGAGAGAGAGAGAGGCAGACGCATAACTCGAGATCTTTGTGGGGACGTTGGCTGCCGCTGTCGTAAAATGTCGCCGACGGCTACGTGCGCATGTTCGTTGAACTTCTTCCGCAAGCCGTGCGTAGCCAACCGTGCTTCTCACCGTTCTACCCCGGTGCTTGGGCGCCACTGCCAGGTTTGACGGCGAGCTGGCGCAGGCGCTGGAGGAGGCGAGCCGCGAGCGGAGCCAGAGGGAGCGTCTGACTCGCGAGCACGACGTCATCTCCCTGGAGATCAGCAGCCTCAACCAGCAGCTGGAGGTGACGAGAGACGGCGCGTCGCACAATACGCACGCTACGTGCGCACACGTGTGTATCGATTTAAATGTGTGGGGGAGCGGTGGTGCAGCGGTTAGCGCGCCGCCGTGCTGCGAACCCGGGGACCCGAGGTTCGATGCTCGCTCGCGACCCAACAACAGCGACGAATATTTGAACCGATTCTGGGACTCCCCGAAGGCCACTCGGCCTTCATAAATAAGTACCTGGAACGGTGTGTAGACACCAGCACTGGGGAGACAAAGGCAGTCAGCCGTGGCGTTTACCGTCCACCCCCGCGTGTGCCGTGCCGTGCCGACTCGCTAACAGCACTTGCCCCAAATGTGCGTTGAAGGCTACGCAGTGAATCTTTGTACACATAAATACATTGCAGCACGCACGCATGAACAGAGAAGCAAGTCAGCTATCGACAAGTTCACGGCTCCCTTGTTTGGATGTCACGGCCTCAGGTGTCTGTGATGCTCACGAGTCAGAATGTTTACAACCTCCGGCTTCATCTTCACTTGGAGGCCAAAAGCCTGGTGATTTGTCTGAGCGGATGATCATAGCATTTTTCTCTAATGTTTGCCTTTGAACACGTGCGAATTTCTCTAACCGTCGATGGAAAACCTTCCGTGTGTTGCGTGCGTGCGCGCGCTCGCCCCCAGGACAAGGTGTTTGACATCACGATGCTCAACGAGAAGGTGGCGCAGCTGGAGAACGAGCTGCTGGACGTGACCACCCAGGGCTCGCACGACGAAGGCTCCGTGGCGAGCCTGCGCAAGCAGATCCGTGACCTCGAGGCCAAGGTCAACGATCAGGAGGAGGAGCTGGACGACCAAGCGGGCAAGATCCAGCTCCTCGAGCAGGTGAGGGGGTTGCGGACACCGCCGTGGTCCGCCGCGTGCCTCTGTCTCGATGTTTGGTTTCATACAAAGCATCGTCGCTCATGAAATTTGCATCTCACGAACCACAGACCCAGGTAGAAGGCAGCGGTAGCCAGGTGCGTGATGAGCCGGCGCTACCAACAATCGCTTCAAGTTCTGCGGTCCTCCATATATCAATTCATGAGTGCGCTACGAACCGGGCGACCAGGAGTTCGATTCCCGCTCACGGCCATCGACACCGGTGACGATTATCTGTACTGGTCCTGGGCCTCCCCTATGTCGACTCAGCCTCAAATGAGTTATTGGTGCAGTGTGTAAACATTGCCACTCGGGAGACAAAGGCGGCCGTCATGATGTTGGTCACCCGCGGCCTCGTGTGCTGTGCCGGCCTTCATAGACGCTGCTGTTCGCTAACGGCGCTTGCCCCAACAGTCCGCTAAGGCTGCACGGGGGGCGGGGGGAATGTTTGTGTTTGCCACTGACTGCGACGGCCACAATGCTCACCGCTTACCAACCTCTTGCACGCGCAGAACAAGCTGCGGAACGAGATGGAGATGCAGAGGATGAAGCAGATTCACCAGAAAGAGGTGGAGAACAAAGAAGACGAGGTGGAGGATGTTCGACAGACCTGCCAGAAACGGGTACCTCCCTCCCCGCATACCCTTGCCTCATCGGGTTTCTGTTCTGCCCCCTGTTCTGTGTCGGCCCCCTCCCATATTCAAACTAAAACAATGAAACTATAAACGATATATATATTTTTTTACCAGGTAAAGGCCCCACTGAGCTGGATAGCTCTTTTTCAGAAGCGACCTGGCCACAAACGAAGTGGCTTATCGTCACGTGGACATTTATAGCGGCCAAATACTCGTAACATACACAGACAGGGTTGGCCAAACATCACAATGTAACGGAACCCTCCTGTAAAAGGTTTTTATTTTCACTCATTGCGGCTCTCCTGGTTAAATAAATCGTAATTATTATCATTATATAGTAAATCCCCTTCTCTGCATCCCAAACATTGCCGCGGCCATGAAAGCAGACCAGATCCAGAACCAAGTCTGTGACGTCTCGTGACCAATTAGTGCTGGCCGGCTGTTGTCCAAGATTCATTTGAAAAACGACCTCTTTCTCTCTCTCTCACTCTTCCCCGACGATGGTGGTATGTCTGGGTGTCTGCCTGCCAGTGTCGTCTGTGAGTCTGTGAGTGCACTGCGCTACTACGAACCCACAACAAACCTAATGTTTGATCCCGGGAATGGGGGTTGGGTGTTCGGAGTCAATATTTTCTCCTGCGCTTCGAATTAATTCATTCATCGCGCATCGTCAGCGAAGGACCGTTTGCATCAAACGCGCGACTTCTTGCTACGTCGTTCGCACAAACTGCTCTTGGCTGCTATACACCAGCGCCTCGAGTGATTTGTTTGATCCACGGATCAAGGGGGTAAGAGGGGAGGGGGGGGTCGACCACGGGGAGGGCAGCGCCGTTCTTTTGAGGGTCGCAGTCCTCACTTCGAACGTCGACCCCCAGCCGAAGTGAGTGCAATTTGCCAACCGAAGGGGAGCGCAATTTTCTGCAGGAGTTTGCGCGTCAATACGGGGAAATCGTTCCGCAAAGTGGCATCACAGCCGACTCCCTCGAACTGAGCTCTCGATCGCTAGGAGACCGGTCGCAGATGCACCGGTGACATTTATGACAAAGTCAAGCCATCGGATGCCAAAAGTTTATAATGCGCATCAAAGTGTGTCTGTGTGTGTGTCTTTTTTTCATATATGTCTACCGCTTGTCTTTGTGTGCAGCTGAGGCACCTGGAGCATCAGCTGGAGGAGGATCACGAGGACAAGCAGAAGCTCGTGATGCAGAAGCGAGACCTGGAGAGCAAGCTGGCTCTGCTGGGGGAGCAGGTGCTGAGCTACGTTTGCGCGCATCAGGAGCGAATTTACAAACGCTCCGGCCTCGAGCGGGGCTTATTGCCAACTGCCCGCCGTCGTATGTGCGTGCGTGCGTGCGTGTATGTACGTTCGTGTCGCTGACCGTGCGAGTCGGAGGTGCGGGGGGGAAGGACAAACAAACTAAAGACGAAAAAAAAGCGGTGCGCAGCGATTCACACGGGGTGCTGGAAAATGGACTCCTGTTCAGAGGCGTCGAAAGTGCCGAGCCGGCACTGCTGACATCCCGAATTAGAATCCCGATTGCAGCCGTCTGCGAGTGAACACCGAAGCGCTTTTGCCCTTCACTCGACAGCCAACTGATCGTGTAACTATGCACAGTCCACCGCCCACGTTCCCTGCCTCCCGTTGCCCTCAACAACCCTTGTTGTGGTTGCTGTCGGCCGAGCTGCGGTGGCGGTGGCTACGCTGCTGCTGCTGCACGTGGCTGCTGCTTACGATCCAGCGCTGTGGAGGCAGCAGCAGCAGCGAGGGGTTGATGGATCGCCGCACGCACGGACGTTGTTGGGAAACGCGCCTCGTTTGGGCGTCGAGGAGGTAGTTCTGGGCCCTGGCTCGCCAGGGGAAGACGGTTCGGCAAACGTGGACGAGCCATCATCTCTGTTTAGCACACAGGAGGTTTTTGCGACCAATATCTTTCATCGAGGTATTTGTTGGGTTAGGTGGTGTGAATATAAATGTGTCATTAAGCCTGCCACCACCCGACACAGCCAATTAGAAAGGGTTTGTCACGTAAACACAGCACCCCAATTCGTGACTAGTACAGCACACACCTGCTGGGGGTTTGGAACGTAAACCCACAACATTCGCTATTAATTACAACCAGCATCATCAGGTGACAGCCAGAGTTGTGGAGAAATCCTCCTGTTTGGTCTGAAATAGAGGGATAAACGTGATGTCGTCACTTGTGAGCCACTCGCCTGATGATGCTGGTTGTTGTAATTCCTGGCGAAACGTCACGGTGCTAGAATTGTAAATCTCGTCGTGGGTTTTACTCTCAAACACACCGGTGTGCTGTACTAGTGTAGAGGTGTAATTGCGCATGGCTACGAATGTTGAGGTGTGATTATGCATGGCCACGGATGGCCAACAAACACAAGGGGCGGGGTTACGGCCGTACACAAGGGTGGCGCTCGCACCGACGTCCGCATGTGTATCCCCCACGGGCCCCCCCTCGGGGGCGAGTCCTATAAAAGGTGATGAGCTCGAGGGCTCGAGGTCGGGACTCAGCTTTAACCAGAGAAGACGGAAGACCTGCTAGTGTAGGCCCCAGAGCTCCCCTGGCTCGCTGTCCTTATAAGGGCCGACCAGGGCAAGCCGGTGGCGTGGCCCCGAGAGCCCAGACGAAGCTGGTCTGGTGACTCAGGGAGCCGGGATCCCAGCTTAACCAAGCTGGGACAGATAGCCTCCCCTAGTCCCGTAGTGGAGGAATTGGTATAGGTTAGAGGGGTTAGCTGTCGAGAAATCCCTGTAGCCAAGTGACCTGTAATAACTGTGTTGGTGTAATAAATAAGTGTGCCTCCGATCCTGTCGTCAAGCCTCCATATACTTACTACACTAGTAACGAATTGGCACGCATTGTTTACGTGACAAACCTTACCAATTGGCTGTGTTGGGTGGTGGCGGGTTTAACGCCGCATTTAAATTCACGCGACATAACCCAAAAAATAAAAAACCTCTATTATGGGGTGTCATCTCTTCCTCGCTGCATAGCGCGGGGCCTTGCGCCCGCTTGAATGATAAACACAACGGATCGCGCAGCGTTGCACAAAGAAGTTTTTTCTACAAATGCCGCTGCCGGATAGATATAATCGAACGAAAACGGACTCTTCGACGGCGTTTCACGCGTTAACAAACAAACAAAATCCCGCGAGTTTCTGATGACGTTCCTTCTCATTGCGGTGGGTTGTTGGGCAGGTCGGGCAGAGGGACTTCGAGTTGGAGAAGCGGCTAAGGAGGGACCTGCGGCGCACCAAGGCGCTGCTCGCTGACGCGCAGACCATGCTGGAGCACCTGAAGGAGAGCGCTCCCAGCCGGCGGGAGATCGCGCAGCTCAAGAACCAGGCGAGTGGAGAGGGCCGCTTCGAGCGATCGTCGCGTCGCCAGCCAACTTCCACTCCACTCGCTCGCCACCCAACTGCTGCCCTGCCCTTTCGTTGAACTCACTCGCTGCCCAGCTGCCATGCCCTTTCGTTGAACTCACTCGCTGCCCAGCTGCCCTTTGAATAACTCACTCATTGCCCAGATCTCTTGCACTAATATCAAACTCCGTCACTGCCCAGGTGCCTTGCCCTTTGGTTTAACTCGCTCGCTGCCCAGCAGCTGCCCTGCCCTTTGATTTAACTCACTTGCTTCCAAGATGCGTTGCTCCAATATTTAACTCATTCCCTGCCTGGCTGCCTTGCCCTTTAGTGTAACTCACTCACTGCCCAGCTGCACTGCCCTTTGATTCCGCTTGCCCACTGCCCAGCTGCCCTGCCCTTTGGTCGAACCCACACGCTGCTGCATGTGCCCCCTTGCCTTCCCGTCGTCCTGACCTCCGCCTCCCTCTTCTCGTCTGTGCCGGCAGCTGGAGGAGTCGGAGTTTGCGTGTGCGGCCGCTGTGAAGGCCCGCAAGGCCCTGGAGGCCGAGGTGGAGGACCTCCACCATCAGCTGGAGGAGATGACGCGGAACAAAGTGGCGGTGAGAGTCGGGCGGGGCCGGGGGGGGGCCGGGGGGGGAGGGGGCGCCACCACACCGGGGGTCCGGGGGCCGCAGGGGCCTAGGCACCAGGCTTGAAGAGGGAGGGGGGGGGGTGGTCAGGGGGGTACGCGTGGACGTTGAACTTCTTCCGCACCGTACGTAGCCAACCGTGCGAATCGGAGGTGCGTGGGAAAGGACAATGAACTAAGCGCACACAAAGCAGTTCTACAGAAATTCGTTTGTCAATCTCGATGATTTAAAAGCGCGCAGCTCCCAGACGGCCGCAGGAGTGCGTCCGAAAGTGCCGCGCGATGATGCGGTGACCGACGATTACCGGAGAGCCTCTCGATGAAGATTTACTACACTCCTCGACGGGATCGGCGAGGTATCGTGGGGCAACCCCGAATTCTTTCCCTTGCACCAGGGACCCCGTGCCAGCCACGCTGCTGCGCCACCGCGGGGAGGGTGGGCGGCAAGCGGGCGGCCACCCCCACCGAGAGCGGATTGATTTTTTTTTTGTCCCCGTTTGTTCTCCCGGGTTCTGTCTCTTTAGCCCCCAGCTCTGCCTCGTGTCGGGAGATCAATAGCCATCTGTCGGGACAACTCGATCTTCTCCAGGGGGCCCCCCCCCCCACCGCTGCCGCCTCTGCTGCCTGTTGGAGGGAGCGCTCGGAGTTTCACCCACAGGGCGCGCTTGTCGACACAGCCCCCCACCTGTACCCCCCCCCCGCACTCCCCCCACCTGCACCCCCCCCCCTCCCGTACTCCCCCCACCCCCCCTCACGGGACACCCATGCTCTTCCCTTGTTCCTCTCTGGCGATCGTCTCCTACATCGCCCACCCACCACCCACCCGCCCACCCACCCACCACCCACCGCCCACCCACCCACCACCCACCACCCACCCTCCACCCACCACCCACCCTCCACCCACCACCCACCCGCCCACCCACCGCCCACCCACCGCCCGCCCACCGCCCACCCACCGCCCGCCCACCCGCCCACCCACACACCCACCCGCCCACCCACCCACCGCCCAGCCACCCACCGCCCAGCCACCCACCGCCCACCCAACCACCCACCGCCCACCCACCACCCGACCACCCACCACCCGCCCACCGACCCAAATGCCCACCCACCCATCACCCGAACACCCACCGCCCACCCACCGCCCGCCCACCCACCCACCACCCGCCCCTTCTCTTCTTCGCCATCCCTCTCCCAGCTCTCCGGCTGTTCCACACGCTCGTGCATCACGGCCGGGTGGGGGGGGGGGCGACGGCGGCGGCTTCGTGCCGCTCCTTCGTCACCGGGCGCAGTGTTGTGTCTCCGTCGCTCACATAACGGCCAAATGCGGCGTGATAACGACAGCAGACGCGGCAGGAGAGGGCGGAGCGGACGCGGAAGACCTCCGGCGCCCCTCCGTGCTGGCACCACGAAAGATTCAACGCGAACATTTACTCGTCTGTTTGTTCGTCTGTTAGTTTGTTTGTTGATTTGGCCGCCTGTACTGTTGTTGTTGTCGTCATCGTCTGTGCCGTTGGTGCCGCTGGACTGGCGAGCAGCTGGAGGAGCAGATGGTGCGTCTGCAGAGAGAGAAGACGGACCTCCAGGGGAGGGTGGAGGAAGACCAGGAGGACCTGGACGAGTTGATTAAGAAGCACAAGGCTCTCGTGGCCCAGGTGCCAGGCTCACCCACGCGTGCATATATTAGCACATCGTTTGCATGTCAATGACTTCTCAAAGTGCTCCCTTACTTCTAAATGTAGCTCGAAAAGCGATTTTTATTCATTGGCTCGTCCTGTCGTCTGATTGGACGTTACCTGTACTGTGTTATCATTACCATTGGCTCGTCCTCTGGTCTGATTGGACGTTACCTCTACTGTGTTATCATTACCATTGGTTCGTCCCCTGGTCTGATTGGACGTTACCTTTACTGTGTTATCATGACCATTGGCTCGTCCTGTCGTCTGATTGGACGTTACCTCTACATTGTTATCATTACCATTGGCTCGTCCTGTAGTCTGATTGGACGTTCATTATTGCGCTAACCACTGCGCCACCGCTCCACCATAGCTCGGCTGCTTATAGCGTTGCGTAATTCCATGTTATTTATTTTCTCTGATGCGTAATTAGCGAGTGTGTTTATTAAACGTGTTAAAAATAATTAACTCTTGCTGCTTATCGGCACCGTAATAATCCCGTTATGCTTAGTAAAAAAAAAAATGTTCACGGATGCAATCAACTATAAGCAATGTTTGCTCCACATTAATTGACCTTCTTCTGCAGGCAGTGGAAAATAGAGAACAAACTTGGTTTGACACAACAAACGGGCATCTTGCGACATTTTAATTGCTCCTACAACGCGGCGTGGATTCACGAAGCTTCTAAACGCGGGGTCTCTCTGGACGCCGTACGAAAACGGAGCGCGGTGGTCGAGATCGCCATTGGCAGTCCTGAACCAGGCTTGGGAATTCCACAGTCCTATGGCGAGAGCCAGTCTCCTTGCAATAAGACGAGCAGCTGCGGCGTCTCACCGCGGTGGGCGCAGAGTGAGCGGCGACTAGCGACGTGCGGTTCCGCTAAGTTATCCGCGTCCGCCCCGTTCACACGGTTGACCCTTCTCTCTCACTCTCTCTCGGTCCGCAGTCGTCCACAGACCTGGCCCACATCAACGAGCTGGAGGTCAACCTGGGCGACGCCGCGCGGGAGAAGGAGGAGATGGAGGAGAAGGTAAACGGCGGCGGCGGCGTCGTCGTCAAACAACAAAACTACAACAACAACAACCAGCAGCAGTATCGTGACAGATGGTGCAACTGCTCGTGAGAGCAGAACTGTCACAAGACATTAGGAACTTTCGACTCACGGGTTCATCGTAATAATTGAACGTCTTTCATACGGCACGTGGACTGTGTGACCGCGCGGTTACATTGGCCGTGATCACGTCGCGTGACCACGTGAACACGCGTCGCGTTGACCACGTAACAGCATGACCTGTGGCCACGTGACGGCGTAACCCGTGACCACATGACGGCGTGACATGTGACCCACGTGACGGCGTAACCCGTGACCACGTGACAGCGTGACCCGTGACCACGTGTCGTGTGGACCACGTGACCGCATGTCATGTGACCCACGTGACTGTGTGCCACGTGACCCGGGACCGTGTGTCTTGTGGACCACGTGACAGCACGGCGCGTGAACCGCGTCGCGTAACCCGTCAAAGCGTGACCGCGTCTCGTGTGGCTCGCTCGTGTCGTGTGGCGCTGCAGGTGCAGGTGCTCCAAGCACGCGTTGCCTTCCTGGAGCAGTCCATGGTGGAGCGCTGCATCGTGAGCCGCCAGGAGGGGAGGATCCGCGACCTCGAGTCCAAGCTCGAGTTCGAGAAGCTGCAGATAAAGCGCTACGAGGCACGGCGCCGTCATACCGTCTGTGTCTGTGTGCCCGTCTGTCTTGTCTGTGTCTCTCCATCTGCCTGTGTGTTCATCTGTGTGTGTCTGTGACTGTCTGTGTGTGGATGTGTGTCAGTCTGCTCATCCATGCATCTGTTCATCTGTGTGTCTGTGTGTCCATCTGTCTGTGTGGCTGACTTGAGGGGAGCGGCGGTGTAGCGGTTAGCGCACTGCGCTACGGGCCCGGCGACCCGAGTTCGATTCCCGCGAGCGTCCGTTATCTGAACAAGTCATGGGCCAAACCTAGGTTGACTCGGCCTCAAATGAGTACCTGGCGTGGTGTGTAAACATCACCACTCGGGAGGTAAAGGCAGCGTGGTGTTGGCCACCCACCCCCTCGTGTGCCGTGCCGGCCTTCATAGCTGCAACCCCTGGGGCGCCTGCCCCACTCACATCGGCAAGTAACGTGCAGGTTCCAGCGTATGGCTCCAGAGTATGTGTTGGCTAACAGCACTTGCCCCAACAGTCTGTTAAGGCTATACGGGGGATCATTGTCTTTGTGTCTGACTGTCTGAGTGCATGTGTGTGCCTGTCTAACCGTGCATCTGTTTGTCTGTGTGTCTCGAACGATAATGATGATGCATCACGACGCCGATGACGGCGGGACTCCGCAGGCGCTGGCGCTGCGGCTCAAGGAGAACATCGACCGCGTGAGCAGCGAGCGTGACGAGCGCGGCGCCAGCGAGGGGCGCGAGAAGGAGCAGAACAAGCGGCTCCAGAGGCAGATCCGAGACGTCAAGGAGGAGGCGGCGGAGCTGGCGAAGCGCGAGGGCGAATCCAACCGCAAGCGCCACGAGCTGGTGGGGTCGTCGGCATCACCGTCGTCGTTGTCATCCTCGTCATCCTCGACGGCATCGCCCTTGTCACTGTCGTCATCCTCGTCGTCATCGTTGTCATCGTCAGCAGCGTAATCGGTCGATGCGATAGATGTCTCCACAGTTGCTGATGTTGTCATCACCACCACCAGTAGCAGCAATGACAATATCAGTCGTCGTCATGATCAGTAGCATATGATTAACAGCAGCAGCATGTTCGGCATGGTCATCTTCATCACCAACATCTTCCAACATCAACCCTCCAGTACCTCTTAAGCGCACCCCTCTCGATATGTGTCACCTCTGAGCCCCAGCCCGCGGTAGCGAAGTCCATCGGGGGGGGGAGGCGGCCTCCCACAGCCCCCCACGGCCTTCTGCAGCCCCCCGCAGCCCCCCGCTCGACAATTAATTTTTCCACAGGAGCTGGACATGGCGAGCCTGGAAGCCGCGAACCAGAGCCTGCAGAGCGACCTCCACGCCTCCTTCCAGAGGATCAGCGACCTCCAGGCGGCCATGGAGGACGAGATGGCGAGCGACGAGAACGACGAGGCGGTGGACAGGTGGGCGAGCAAGCAGAGGAACGATTACGCAGGCGGACGGACAGACAGGCGGATGGGCAGACAGGCAGGTGGATAGACAAGCAGAGAGATTAATGAGTATGTTGAACTTGTTTTTCTCCGTACGTAGCTATCCATGCTAATCTGAGGTGAGCGGACAGGACAACAAACTAAATACAAAAAGCAGTTCTAAAGAATTGAGTTTCCAATCTCGATGACTTAAAAGCGCATAGCTCTGGTGGCTTCCTAATATCCGACGTAAGAGCGTCCCAGACGACTGCAGAAGCGCGCCTGAACGCGCGCGATGCAGTGACCGTCTTTGTTCGATGGCGAGCCAAAGAGCATACAGACGAATGGGCAGACAGACAGACGGACCAGAAAACAAATATGCAGACAGACAGACGAGCGTTTCTGGGCAAACCAGGCCAATGTGAGTGCACTCGAGTCGACTCAGGCGAGGGGACTGTCTGTCCCAAGGAAACGAGATGATTACAGAGAGACACAAAGACAGACAGCGAGAGAGAGACACAAAGACAGACAGACAGAGAGAGAGACACAAAGACAGACAGACAGAGAGAGAGACACACAAAGACAAACAGACAGAGAGAGACACAAAGACAGACAGACAGAGAGAGACACAAAGACAGACAGACAGAGAGAGAGACACACAAAGACAAACAGACAGAGAGAGACACAAAGACAGACAGACAGACAGAGAGAGACACAAAGACAGACAGACAGAGAGAGAGAGACACAAAGACAGACAGAGAGCGAGAGAGACACACAAAGACAAACAGACAGAGAGAGACACAAAGACAGACAGACAGAGAGAGAGACACACAAAGACAAACAGACAGACAGAGAGAGACACAAAGACAGACAGACAGACAGAGAGAGAGACACAAAGACAGACAGCGAGAGAGAGAGACACAAAGACAGACAGCAAGAGAGAGACACAAAGACAGACAGAGAGACACAAAGACAGACAGACAGAGAGACACAAAGACAGACAGCGAGAGAGACACAAAGGCAGATAGACAGAGAGAGAGACACAAAGACAGACAGAGAGCGAGAGAGACACACAAAGACAAACAGACAGAGAGAGACACAAAGACAGACAGACAGAGAGAGAGACACACAAAGACAAACAGACAGACAGAGAGAGACACAAAGACAGACAGACAGACAGAGAGAGAGACACAAAGACAGACAGACAGAGAGAGACACAAAGACAGACAGACAGAGAGAGAGAGACACAAAGACAGACAGCAAGAGAGAGACACAAAGACAGACAGACAGAGAGACACAAAGACAGACAGACAGAGAGACACAAAGACAGACAGCGAGAGAGACACAAAGGCAGATAGACAGAGAGAGAGAGACACAAAGACAGACAGAGAGCGAGAGAGGGAGAGAATAGAAACGAAGGTGCTGGCGTGGCCACGTCGCCGCACCTTCGAGGACTCAGAAAAAGCCACGGACGTTTGAGAGGTTTTTGGAGATGATAGTTTTGTGTTTTTTTATGCGGCTACGCGCTTACAAAAAATGCTGAGGCGGGATTTGTTTTTTTATTTGCTGCTTTTTTTTGTTCGATGCTTGCTTTCATTTTTTCCCGCCTTGCTGTCCCCCTAAAAAAGAAAATATTTGCGCGAGGAGCGGAAATAATTCGGACGTTGAGAAATTAGCGTTGCTAACCACAGAGGTAGCTCAGGATTTATTTAGACGAGATTACGGTGGGTGGGTGAGTGGGTGGGGGCTGCCAGGGGGGGGGGGGTGAAATGGTAAAATAACCACCGCCAGTAGTGGCGGTGGCTGCGTTGGCGTTTCTTGAGGGGTAATTGGCGCCATCGGTGAAAAATTACTCCCACGCAACGTGGGCCCCCTCCCGAAGAGCAAATCAAATAGCGCCGTGGCCTTTTTAGCGCGACAGTTTTCTTTTTTTCTCCCCCAAGCTTTGGTTCACGGAACAAAGCCAACTTCTGTTTATCACTCATTCCCTATCGCAGCGGTCGACCTGCCGGAGGTAAATCTGTACTTTGCCATCCAACAGCGCTTGTCCAAACCAAGCAGAGTCTTGCTCGTTTAAATAAACGCTGCTGTCAATATTTAATTATGGATTTCATTTACCTTAAAGATCCACAGTCATGTGAGATGAGCTTCTACACGTTATTTACATTTTCCCCCCCGAACTCCCACTGTCGACCGAGCTTCACTTGAACTCCAATCGTTGTCTGCTGCGATTTCCCACCTCTCGTTCGCGACCTCCTCTTCTTATTTCCTTTTTTTTCTCTTCTTCCTCCTCCTCCTTCCTCGTTGCACTCTGCGTGACCTCTCCCGACGCCTACAGGGTGCAGGAGCTTGTCGCGAAGTACCAGCGGAAGAAGAACAAAACGTGAGATTCCCCCCCACTCTCTGGGCCGGACATCGTAGTAGTACTAACAAAAATAACAACGCGCGTGCGCGCGAGAGCGACAAGCCCGGCGAACTCGGCTCGGTCGAACGTCGCGCGTCGGGCGCCGACATTGCCGAACGTTTCTCCTCCCTTTGCGGGATTCGTTTTGCCGAACCGCGACCACGTCTGTCCGGCGCGTGCCACGGACAATATGTCTATACGCGGATCTGGATCGTTTAAAAACTAACTCCCGCTAACCCTATTAATGGTACCGACCGATTGATTACACTAAGCTGTTGTATCGCCAAGCGATTATCCTCAGCTATTAATTACAACGATTTATAATGCGGTTTAAGAAAGCCGCCGTTGAAGACGTAAAGTTTTGATTTAAACTCGCGTTTAATTCCACACTTGGCGTGTCAAGCCACAACTTTGTATATTTACTTAAATATTTGCATGAACTTCCATCACAAACCCACCCGACCAATGAATTTAAACATAAATAAATAAAACGAACCCTTCTCAGTTAATTTCAAAGCCCATTTACTTGTTTTTGAGCACCGCAAACTCTGTTACGAGTGCCAAGGAGTGGACTCTGCCATCACACGTGACCTCCCCCCCCCCCAGGGGTGGGGGTTGTTTTGCTTGAATCGAATCAGCCGGGCCGTGGCGGCTCCGCTGCTGCTCGTGGCCGCCTGTGATCCAGAACAGTGGAGATCAGCGGCGGCGGCAGTGGCAGCGAGGGTTGGCGGATCACCCCACAGACGTTGTCGTGAAACTCCCTCCCCCGGTGGATGTCGAGGAGGTCCGCCGTACCCTGGCACGCCAGGAGAGGGCGGGACGGCGATGGTGTGAACTCCGCCTGTTCCAGGTGTATGGGATAGAGCGTTGCCCCCTCGAACGCCTGAGTTTTCCCCAGGTGTTCTGGTTTCCTCCCACGTGTAACGCATTCATAAATTGGCCGATGACACCTTCACATATATAGAGGACCTCAGAGCTTGGGCAATTGTTGGCGCAAGATCCTCGCCGCGTGGCTGCTCAGCCTTTCCCGCTCGACTTTGGTTCCTCCTGGCGCCTCTCAGTCATTCTCTCTCTATAAGAGCGAGCGGATACCATGTGACATGATTATCATTGTTGTCATTGTAATTAAATATAACCGATGTTCACGTTGGAATTGTAGCTTCAGTTCAAATCTCGTTGACACGTGGGTTACGGATTAAACTGCTCAACCGCTCTGTGGACTGCATCGGGAGCGTTCGCAATCTTGAAATGTCGTCACGCCACCGCGCGCCTTGCCTGCATCGTCCCCAACGGCGCTGTCGTTTCCGCCCGGTGTAATAAGCGTTGGCACATCCTGAAGTTGTCTCTCTCTCTGTCTCTCCTCCTCTTCCTCCTGTCCTCCCTCTCTACATTCGCCCTCCCTCTCATTGTCATTCTACGTCACTCCTCTCTTCTGACTTTGTGTCTCTCTTTCCTTTCGCTCCGTCTCCTTTCCCTAATCTCCTCTCTTCTCCCCCTCCCCTCTCTGCCTGCCTCGCTCTGTCGCTCCCTTTCCCCTCTCCTCCAATTCCCTCTCTCCCCTCCCTGCGCCAATCTCTATTTTTGCCCTCCATGCCTTTCCTCTCTACGCTCGGTCTCCTTTAATCTTCTCTCTCGTCACCTGTCGCATTCCTCTCCTCTGCGGCCGGCAATGTCTCTGTCGCCTCTCCATATTTCCACATCCTACCCTCTCTTCTGCTCTTATCTGCCCTCTCGTCACTCTCTCCTCACCTTCATTTGTTCTCAGTCACCGTCTCTTTCCTCTTCTCCTATTTCATGTTTTCTACATGCCTCTTCTTCCTTCTACACTTCTCTCCTCTGACACTTTCTCCTCTCCTCTCTTTTTCCTCCGCTCTATCGCTCCCTCCCCCTCTATCTCCTCTCTCCTCTCCGCCGTCTCCCCGCTCCCTCCAGTGGGGGCGACGAGGACGAGGACTCGGAGGTGGAGGATCGCGTTGACAGCGTCAAGTCGTGGCTCTCCAAGAACAAGGGCAGCCCGCCGGGCGACGTCCCGGGGGGCGGGGGCAAGACCCCCTCAGACGAGGGCAGCCTCAAACCCTCCTCCAAGTGAGTCTCACTAAAGTCAGAGTGAGTCTCACCAACCTCAGAGTGAGTCTCACCAACCTCAGAGTGAGTCTCACTAACGTCAGAGTGAGTCTCACTAAAGCCCTCCTCCTCCCAGTGAGTCTCACCAACCTCAGAGTGAGTCTCACTAAAGCCCTCCTCCTCCCAGTGAGTCTCACTAACCTCAGAGTGAGTCTCACTAAAGCCCTCCTCCTCCCAGTGAGTCTCACAACCTCAGAGTGAGTCTCACTAAAGCCCTCCTACTCTCAGTGAGTCTCACCAACCTCAGAGTGAGTCTCACTAAAGCCCTCCTACTCCCAGTGAGTCTCACCAACCTCAGAGTGAGTCTCACTAAAGCCCTCCTACTCCCAGTGAGTCTCACCAACCTCAGAGTGAGTCTCACTAAAGCCCTCCTACTCCCAGTGAGTCTCACTAATTTAATACTTCGAGTGAGTTCTGAAGGAATGCACCATGGGCCCAGGCCAAGCATTGAACTTGTTGGTACCACTTGAGATGCCGACACTTTAATTGCACCAACATCCTTAAATTGCCAATCGCAGAGGAAATCCCATAACCTTATCATAATCCGCGAGTGTTAAGCCGTACACAAAAACCAACGTACTCTGAAGAGGGGGCATTAACCAAACCGTTACGCCACCAGCGTCGTCACTCTCGCAGCGTACATTCGCGACGCGTCGTCAGTGCGGCAATGTTCACCGCAATGAATGCGATGGTGACACGTTGTGGTTTAACATTGCAGTCTTTCTGTTGTTGTTGTTAGCCAAGCTGTAAAACTGATGTGTGACGGGCCCGACACATGACCTAGGACGTGTATCGACAAGATAGGGGCTGCCCCGTGGTTCGGTATTCATCGCTCCGCGTTATTTTGTCTCCGTCGCGTGTCATAATTTGATGTAAAGTTACATTACATGTATAATCTCATTTTCGCTCTCCTCTCACTCTCTCTGTCTCCCTCTGACACCTCCAGTCTTGGTTTTCACTCTGCTTACAAATACCGATTGCGACGTACTCACAACGAGTGACCCAAAGAGTGACACTCTTTTAAAGCTAATGACCAAATCAGTTAAATGTTTCGCCCATTCGTAGTTGACTCCCACCACCCAACCACACCCAGGCCTCAATTTAAACCAGGTTCCGGAGGATATTTCCACTCCCCGGCACACCACATCCAGTATACATCTCGCTATGGCCCCTGCTACTCCAGTCTACCCGCACATGCGTCAAATATTCAGTGAGAAATGAAGCCTAGAACTCCACCTGAATCTTCTCTGCTACACCCTTTTGCCGTCTGTCTTCCTCCCTCCATCCCTCTCGCCCTTTCTCCGTCGCCTCCTTTCCTCCTTCGCCTTCCTCCCTTCCTTTCCTCGCCTTTCCCCTCCCCTCTGCGCGTTTCCCCCCTCGGCCGGGGTCCAGGTTCAACCTGGACGGCAAGGACGCGGGCGACGTCCGTCCGGCGTCCGTCATGAGCTCGCTGAGCTACCGCAAGCGCATGAGCGGCCAGCACGACAACAACGACGACGACGACTCCCAGTCGCTGCTGTCGGCGCTCAGCAGGGACTCGGCGGCCGAGCAGGCGTCCTCGCTGCGCAAGTCCAAGAAGGCCTCCAGCATGGATGACCTCGACGACGTCAAGTCGTGGCGCAGGTCCCTGCCTTCCGCCGCCGACGACTTCGACGACGACGCCGCGAGCGTCTCATCGCGGCCGTTCGCGCGTCGCCCCAGGAACGGCACGGCCGGCGACAAGCGGTGGTCGCTCGCCAACCTCGAGAAGGACGACGACGCTAAGTCGGACTTCTCGTTCGTGCCGTCGCTGCGCCGCATGGCCTACGACAAGGGCGACGACGCCAAGTCCGGCGCGGGCTTCAGCGGCCGGAGCTCCCTCTCGCTGCCAGCGTCCTGCGTCCGCCGCCTCCTTCGGAGACGGCAGCGGCGTCGGCCTCGGCTACGGCCTGGGACGGCGCTCCGATTTTGGCGGCGGCGGCGCGAGCCCGAGCGTCGGTCGCGGCCGGCTGGACTCGGGCGCGCTGAGCCCCACGCCGTCGTCGCTGCGCCGCTCCGAGCTGGGCGGCACGGGCGCCTTGCCAGGCTCGCGCCCCGAGTCGCGGTCGTCCGTCTCGTCCTGGTCCAAAGGCGGGGGCTACGGCGAGTCGGCGGGGCGTGGCGGCGGCGGCGACGGCGGCGACGACGGCCGGACGTCGGCGCTGGCGCGCAGCCTCTCGGTTCCGCCGCGGCCTCAGAGCGCCCTCGATGGCGGCGGCAGCTACCGCGGTGCCGACGCGACGGACGACGTGAAGCCGGTGACGCACCGCAGCTGGCTCGACCCCGAGCTGGAGGCGGCCATCAACGAGGTGCTGAGCTACAAGCCCGTCAAGCCCAAGCGGCGCAACTACTCGGCCGTGTCGGACGACGACACCGCCGCCGCCGGCGACGCTGACGACGACCGGATGAGCGTGAGGAGCGCCAAGAGCGTGCAGGCGAACGGCGGCGGGGAGACGCGCTCCTCGCAGATCCGCAGGTCCTACTCCGCCATGGACGTCAACGCGCCATCGTCGATCGGGAAGAAAAAATCATCGCACGGCGGCAGGAGGAGCAAGAGCTCGCAGGAGTCGTCCTCGAGCGACGACTCGGACGAGAAGCCGGTGAAGAGCTCCAAGAAGTCCTCCTCCAAGAAGCCGAAGAAGCCGAAGAAGAGCAAGAAGTCGAGGAAGAAGGATGCGAGCGACTCGTCGTCCGACTCGTCGTCCGACTCGACGAGCTCCACCGTGTCCTACAAGAGCGTGGACAGCGTGAAGAAGGGCCCCGCGGCCACGCGCCGGGGCTCCGCCGGCGACGAGGGGGACGGGGACGGGGGAGGCGACGCGGAGGGCAACGGCCGGGCGGACAAGAGGAAAGCGAAAGAGGAGAAGAAGAGGAAGAAGGAGGTGGACAGCCTGATGATGAAGTACCTGTACCGGCCGGACAGCGACTAACGGTACCGGCCAGAGGGCGCCGCGGGGCTTTGTAGTTCGCCTGTTTAAGATGTAGGATATCGTGACCAATATTATCCATAACAAGAGGTTTTTCGTGGTTTTTTTGGGGGGTTACTTTACGAATTGGCCGTGTCGGGTGGTGGCGGGTTCAACGGCACATTTAGATTTACACGATCCAACCCAAGAAACGTCTGTTACGTAGTTTGTCTCTTCGCCCTTGTTATTTTTCACCCAGCGACAAACTAAGTTGCGTCGTTAATGTTCGTCCGTCACGATCGACTCGGCTCCGTTGCCACCGTCGCTGTGTGATGGGGGTCGCCGCCAGGTCGAGATGCGCCCGGCGAGGCTGCTTCCACACGGCGCACAGAAGGGCCCACGGCGGTCGTTGTATTTGCTGGGTTGAGGATAGACTGGGCCTTGCCATAGGAATGTCTAAATCCCCCCACCGGAGATTAGCGGCAGCCAAAGCTCACACTGGAGAACAGGTTTTTTTTTATAGTTGTGAAAGATGAATTTATAAATGAGATAATTTCGGCTCAGGATCCCCAATGGGCCCAGCACCGCAACTCATCGTGCTCATCACCCACGCTCCCCCACACCACAACCCCCCAAGTTAACACCATCTCGTGTTTCATTCTTCCGCTCAGACGCTGCCCGACGGACAAACTTACCCCGGCAGACCGACGCAGATGCCAGGCGAGCGATGCGAGATCGAGCGGCGCTCAAGAGAGCGGAAGGAAAGACGGATGCAATCGTTTTTTTTGAAGAACCCGAACTGCTTTAGCCGAAATCGCGGCACACCGGGGCACACCAGGGCACACCGGCGAACACCTTATCCCCCAGCGACATCGGCAAAAGCACCGTGGCCAAGGCAATCTGGTGCGGGGTTGGCACGCGAGTGGCATTTGCCCTCGATGGCGATGGGACCGTCACCTTGAAGTGATTTGCACCAAGTCTGCTGCGTCGTTCTGAATGTGCAATGTGCGTCATTGCTGCTGCTGCAGTCAAAGGGAAATTTAGGGAGGGGGGGTGGTTTTGTAACTTTTCCGCCTGAATTAGGAATAGATAATCGGGTGTTGATCGTGAGAGGAAATCAAACTCGGGTTCGCTGGTTGTTCAAATCCAGTCGCTGGATTTACGCTCGTTCCAGATTTTCCACATCCACCAATCGTCAAACGGGAAAAGCACGTATGGCGTAGTAGTTCGCTAAACACGTGGGCTTAACGGTAGATTTGTTCGAACATTAAAAAGCGGAGTTGAAACTCCGCGATCGGAGTTCGGGAACCACAGCGCGGGGATCCCCTTAGGGGCCCATCCACAGCGTCACGAGCTGCCTTCTGCGCCGCGAGACAATCCCAACGCGTCTCGTCACTGAATACTGCGTTCCTGAAAGCCTTAAGAAAAGAGTGAGTTTTGTTTCACCGTGAAAGATAAAAAACAGATGGTTGCAAGTGGAAGTAGAACTGAAGGATTTTGGTGTTGGGGGGGGGGGGGTTACGTTTTTTTCTTGTCCTCCTGTATCCGTGTTGCAGAATTAACTTGGGCAAAAATAAGTTTGAGCTACGTGTCAATCAAATCTTTATATTCCATCGGAGGAAAACCACTGGAGATTAAACAAGAATTTGTATGCGAGGCATGAATAAGATTGGCTTAGCCGGGAAGTGTCAAAGGTTTGACAGCGTTAAAGTCACACGCGTGGCCAGTTATAGGCTTTGCTAGATCCTTCTTCGGATCGATATCATACCAAGATTCTCTCCATACTCAGGTGGGGGGTTAGTTCGTTTTGCGTGGACACCACCTGCCCAAGCCAACACATGGTAGACTCCTCCGCCCACTTCTACCAGCTGTGTGTGAAGCAATGCCATGTGAGTGGCAATACAACTGCAGAGGGTGTTTGGGTGTTCGCAGGGGTGCAGTATCGCGCTGCGGTGGAAGACTTGGCAGTGATTTACAATCGAGCGAGACATTGAGGGGCTCAGTTGGGTTTCTGAAGAAGTTCCCGGCATATCTAGCGAAATATCGGACGTCGTGCCCAACGGCTCGTGGTATGGAGAGCCTCGTGCTGGGCGTTGGGATCTTTGAGGGCTGAACCACGATGTGTGGTGTAACTCTGACCAGGATAGTCAAATTTTCAATAGTGGACCTGGGGGCAATTAGTCTGCCAGGAGGGGGCAGCGGTTGCTACGTATAATCCCAAACGGGTAATTTGCGGGTGATTTTTAAATGATGTGAGATCTCAGGGGAACTCGAGCATCCACTGTGAAAGCAGATGGCATGTAGTATTATGATTGTGGTTATAACATGGATGTGCTATTGTCCTATTGGACATTTGTGTAAAAGACCTTCATAGCTCATCGGATTCCTCCAGGGTAAAAAAAAGATTGTGATTCTGACATCCGCGCAGGATTAATCAGGGCAGCCGCTGGAAACCAAACCGTGAACCCTCCGCGGCAATCGCATTAACGCGACAGCGCTGGGCCCCGTCACCGCCCTGCCTGATGACACATCCTGGCAAAATTTGGTCTTCCCATGATACGTCCCGTGGGGGTGCGCGTGATGATCTGGCGCTGAGTTGAAAAGTCGAAGAAAGCTGAAGCATGTCCGTGTGAAAGGGTTGAGAGTGTGCGATGAGCATTGCCGGTTTGCTGAAATTGACCTCGCAAGCAGAGTTAGAAGGTTACGGGGTACATTTGTCTTGCAATCTAAATGCAAAATTTACCGAACTCGAGTGGAGGGGGGGGGGCCCTACTGCCGGCAGTGGCATGGGCACATTTTTTTTTGTTCCTAATAAAGGCAACAACAAAAAACAGGGGACGGTCCCGAATGGCACAACATTTTGCTATCGTTGTCAGAAATTCGGACGAGCCTTCCATCGTGCGTCCCACCGCGGTAAGTTTGTTCTGTAAATATATGTTTTTAATGTGCTAATTTAACAGAAAACAAATAAAACTCGGGTGTCGCATGGGAAGTGTAAATTCTGCTGGGGGGTGCGCCCGGGCGTGAGCGGGCGGGTGGGTTGGGGCGGCTTTCTAGGAACTATGCCGTCGATCTCGATGTGTGTGCGCGCGTGCGTGACGGCCCCGTCCCAACGGGAGGATGCACAGCGAGAGAGAGAGCACGGAACACATAAAAGTGCGGAATCCGCGTTGGTCGTTGTGCACAAACAGCAATTAAAAAAGAAAGTTCTCCGCATTCATCATTAACGCTGCCTTCATCATCGTCAGCAACAATCAATCCACTGCTGGATGACAGCCAACCCGAGCCGCCGCCTCCGCCATCTCTCACGGCCACGCGGCGCAAACAATCCATCGACCCTCCTGCAAACGAGCCGATTCCATCGCTCCATCTACACGGGCGGACGCCCTCTCGGGCGCGGTCCATCCTCGCGGTATTTATATTATTTATTTCCTTCCCCAACATGCAGCAGCGTCAATGACGAACGATACGTTTTGTTTTGCTTTTGCACCTGGTCCTTCACGGCCATGCGAGCGGGCAGGGCAATACCTCACCGAACTAATGACCCTTTGACCCCGCGCCACTTCTCCGCCACCGTCGCCGCTCGTGTAACTCCCCGCCCCTGCCCCCACGGTCGGCTTTAGTGGTTCGACAATCGGAGGGGGGCCTGGCTCTGTTACGGGTCTCGTGTGTGACCCCCCCCCCCCTCTTAAACGCCGAGTGGTACGGCGAGAGTCAAATCGAGTTTGCGGGTACAATGATGTCAACGGGGCTGCCCAACGCGATCTCAATTTTATTTTAACGTGGTTGGTTTTTTTTTTGTATTCGAGACGTGCTCCGGCCGTGGTTGCTGCCGAATCTGAGCTGGAACGAGCAGGGAGGGGGGGCTTTCTCTGGTTTTTTTTAGCAAATAAAAATGCTAAGTTGTGTAAACGGAGCATCCGTCCTGGGCGCGCTGCGCGTCTCATTGCTGCGTTGCGCGTGACGATGACGACGACGACGCGGCGCAACATGCAGGGCGGCATGATTGCCACTCTGCTGCTGGATGAAGACGACCTCCCCCGCGCCACCGCGCACACAGCTGAGGGTACGCGTAGTCATCCTTCGCCACGCTAGTCCGTACGGGTAAAGGTGGTAAAGAGTACAGAACAATGACGTCAAGAGATTGCCATGCTTGCATGGCAATCTCAATGACAACAGCTGTTTTTATACACACGGTGGCCACCCATCCAAGCATCAATCCCTGTCCTGCTTGGCCTCTGAGGTTTTATGTAAAAAAAAATAACAAGAGAGTGGTTAGGATTGTTACCTCCGATGTGATGACACGCACACGGCCTGTAGCTGGGTATGGTTACATGGAAAGCATTGCACGTTCTATTTGAAAGAAAACGTTATCTTTAGGCGTGCACAAAGCATTGCCTGTTTATTCAACTTCACATCATCACATTTGTCGCTTTATGTTCATTTCCCCCCCCCCCCCCCCCCCTTGGGCGCCATCGCAAAAAATAATTTCCACAAAATTGAACCGTAAATCATCACGGGGCACAAAAACAAATTTACTCTCACATCACAGCCGTTAATTGGATTGGATATGACTTTGTAATTAATTCCTAAATAAGAAAAATTTTTCCACGTGGGTGCTCAAATTGAACAATTACCGTCTCGCGCCGCGTGCCAAACTGGTCAATCGTCGGGGGTTCGCATCGAGCCCCCTCCACACACTCCAGAGATGTTCTCGTCCAGAGTCGGCGTTTTTGAGAGGATTGCGGGGACTGGGAGGCGCGAAAGGGGGCCTTCGAAATCGATAGGGCCCTTCCCCCCCCCCACCCCACCGCGACCTCCGGCTCACAGCGAAGATTTCGGCTTGGCGTGGAAGCGGGCGATGGCGAAAGGTGAAAGGTCAAACGAGGGCGCGTCTCCCGTGGCCATCTCGGCGAGCAGCTTGCCCACGACTGGCGCCAGCTTGAAGCCGTGGCCTGCAGAGTGAGCGGGGAGAGGGTGCGTGGTTGGCAAGGGGGTCCTGGTACCAGCAGCAGTGGCCGGTGGGTGCACGTCGGCGGGGAGTGGTGGCGCAGCGGTTAGCACGCTGGGCTATGAACCCGACGACGCGCGTCGATTTCCGCTCCCAGCCATCGTCGGTGACGAATATCCAAACCGGTCCGTGGCCTTCTCTCCCAAGGTGGACCAAACCTTAAATGAGTGATGGTGTTTAAACATCAGCACTGGGGAGGCAAAGGTGGCCGGGTGTGGTGTTAGCCACCCAGCCAATCGTGTGCCGTGCCGGCCTTTATCGGTGCTCGCTTAACAACACTTGCCCCAACAGCAGCGGTGCAGAGTCTACACTTTATAGCGCACACTCAATGTCTCCAGCAAAAAAACTGCGCCTCTCCCGAGCCACGCCGGATGTGTTTTCTGCATCGTAGGTCAGGAGGTCACGATCAGCCACGTCGCTGAAGGGTGACGGGTGCGTCCGTTTTGAGAAACGAGCGAGCGGAGCGAGTGAATCGTAGTCGTCGTCACGCTCAACCCCGGTGTCACCACGAGAGGTTGACAGCTTTCCAAACAAGTCTCCAAACTACAATTGTGCCTCTTCTGTCAGCTGCTGCCACCCTTTTGAGAGAAAAAAACAGAGAGTTGGAGCGAAACGGATTTTTTTTAGGTTGGTGGCCTTATTAAGAAGAATGGGCGCCGAGCTGTCTGGCAGTCCGACCATACATCCGACAACCTCACAGTTTCTCGTCTCCAAAAACATAATTGTCTGTCAGATGTCTGGCTCTGATCTCTGCGCGGCCCTGCCCGCGACGTATCGGCGCGGGCGCTTCTGTCTCCGCCGTAGGTCGACGGCGCATTTTTCTGCCGCGTGTTCGCCCCGGCTTATGTTGCGTTCCAATCATCGCCGATAACTTTCGATCACCGTGACGGCCCCGTTGTGTGGATACGAGCCTCTTCACGCCGTACTTCGCCCTGCTGGGTTGGCGAAGGGTTGGGGGGCGAGAGCCGTGACCACGACCGGGATTAGAGATCGCCCACCACCGATGAGAACCGTGGCCGGGAATCCAAATTGAGGCGGCGGGGTTGGGGGTAGTGAGGGGAGTGGAGGGGTCGACGGGTTCGTGTCGCACCGCTGTGTTACGCCGCCCCCTCTCTCTGCGGATCGGACTGCAGCAGTGGCGGGTCCATGACCATTGATTTTCTAAATGCGTTTGAAAAACATTGAGTGATATTTATCTTCCTACTTTGTTTTTGTTGTTCTTTTTGTCCCCTTTGAATTCGCGAGACGCGGATATAGAGAGCGCAGGATAAAAAACTGACCCTCTCAAAAGTTAGAAAGTGGACTTGGGAGTTGGTTGCCCAGGATATGGCAGTACAGCAAGCGGGTTACTGTGGGACAAAACCGTTGCACACCCCCCCCCCCCCTTCCACGTATGCAAGAGACGGTGCCGTGGTGGAGCGGCGGCGCAGTGGTTAGCATGCCAGGCTGTGAATCCAGCGACCCGAGTTTGATTTCAGGCCGCTGCTAAGATCGGCTGTTAGCGATATCTGAACCGGTTCTAGGCAACACCACCCCCATCCTTCACCAACCTGCGTTGACCAACGTGGTGAAGTACGGTCAGACATATCCCCATGACTGACACGGCGTGAGCGAGCCGTTTATTCAGCACTCGATGATCAAAGGGCTGTAAATTATGACCATCTTTATGATGTATGTAATGGGTGCACATGACCTCCCCCCCCCCCCTGCAACCACAATGTAAAAAAAAAGAATCCGTTCTTGGGCCAAATTGCAACCCTGAATGGTGACATTTCAATATGTTCTCCCCCGAATTTTAAATAATCATTCGCTACCCCTTAGAAATCCACTGCTGGATGAAGGCCTACGCCAAAAAAATAACAATTTTGGTCGTGGAGGTTGCGTTGACCATACTTCACCGCCACGCTGGTCAGAGGCGGGTTGGTGAAGAGAGGCGATGGAAGGGGTAGGGGGGGTTCGGATATCTACTCGCCATGGATCATTTCGCAGTGGTCAGGAAGCGCACCGGGCAGGGGGGTGGGTGTATCACCACTGCCACCATATTCGAACCCAACCGTCGTCAGAATGAAAAATTGGTACCTGAAAACCCGGCGCCGATGACGATGTTCCTGTGCACAGGGTGGCGGTCCAGGATGAAGTTCTCGTCGGGGGTGTTCTGGGGACGCACGATGCAATGACGAGACAGGGGCCGCCATCGTCCCGTCGTTTACAAACGTTATCGTCTCCCCCCCCCCTCACCGACACAATAACAACAACAACAGAGGCGACCGCCGTCGCCATTAAGTGTGACCTATCCGCTTAGTCGCTCGCGGTAAAGGGTTAATGCTTGATCTTTTTTTATTTATAATGTTGTAGGGAGGGGGGGTAATTTGCGGCATGCAGCTGGAAACCTATCGGGAAGAGTTTGATGTGCGTAGTTGGTCGTGGGTGGGGGGGGGGTTGCAAAAGAAATGAGATCTGAGATGACGGAGGTGGCCACTGCCGCTGCGAATCAACGTTGGCATTCGCCGAGCTGCGAGCGCGCAAACCCGGCGACCCGACTTCGATTCCCGCTCGCAGCCAACATCGGGCGAGGAATATCCGCCAACGGTCCTCTTGGACCTCCCCTCGGTCGACTCAGCCTCAAATGAGTACCTGATGCGATGTGAAGTAAACATCGCCACTCGGGAGACAAAGGCGGCCGGGCGTGGTACTGGCTCGTCGTGTGCTTTGCCAGTCTTAAAAGGTGCTCGCGAAGAGCACTTGCCCCAATAGTCGGTGAAAGGCTATATGGGGGATCTTTGTGTGTGTGTGGTGTACACGTGTGGGGAACGGTAGCATAGCGGTTAGCGCGCTGCGCTACGAACCCAGCGACCGAGTTCGATTCCCGCTCACGGCCAACACCAGTGAAGATTATCTTGACCGGTCCTGGGTCTCCCCTAGGACGACTCAGCCTCAAATGAGTACCTGGTGCAGTGTGTTAACAGTGCTGACCACCCACCCCCTCGTGTGCTGTTCCAGCCTTCATAGGCGCTCGCTAACAGCAACTGCCCCAACAGTCTGTTGACGGCGATACGGAGGATCTGTGTCTCTGTGCGTACGTGTCCGCGCGAGGTGCGGTGCTCACCGTGTACATGCACGTCTCCACCACGGCCGGCGTGGGCACGAGGCCGGGAAATCGGCGCGACACGTACGCGCGGAGCGCCTCCACGTCGCTCTTGTCGCCCTCGGCCCCCAGGTCGCGCGCGTCGGGGTTCACCGGCGTGCCGTAGTGGTAGCACACCTGCGTGGTGACACACCCGGGGAAAAACCAGCACTCCCAGCATCATTATCGTCGTCGTCGTCGTAATCATCGTCGTCATGATGTTCAACTTCTGTCGCACCGTACATATCCAACCGTGCTCATCAGCGAAGCGGGGGAAGGACAACAAGCTAAACACAAACAAAAGTGTTCTAAATAAATGAGTTATCAGTATAGATTTAAGTGCATCGCTGCAGTGGATTCCTTATATCACAAGAGCGTTCCAGACGGCCGTAGAAGCGCATCTGAAAGCGCGCGATGCGGTGACCGTCTATGTTCGATGGCCAGCCAAAAGCCGCTGCTACGAGGATGATCACGTGACGGTCATCGTCGTCAGCCCAGCAACCCTGCAGCGTGAACTTGCTTGAAGGTCGACAAGGTCGACGTTTTAGCCGGTCGGTGATTGGCTAATGCTGCACGTGGCTTCTGCTTGTAATCCAGCGCTGTGGAGGCGGCAGCGAGCGTTGGTGGCTGATGATGATGATGATAATGAAGGCAAATTCCTTTGTCAAGGCGCCCATCCTCCCCTAACCCAGCTTAAATATACGCTGCTAAGCTTGGTGGTGTTCATTCAGACGCTGTCTTTCCGACAGACCTGTTCTTCACCTGAGGACGGCTGCTACGTGACTTTACCGAAAGAACCAAGAAGATAATGAAGGGAGTTTGCACTGCCCGCTAAACTGACTCTTGCAGTCCTATCAAACTCAAATTACTGCAGTAAAGTTTCTGGGTGGTTCCCCCCCACCGCCCCAACCAAAACAGCCGTTGCATAACCACGCAACTAACCCCGCCAGCACGAGCGCTGAAACTAAAATGCGTTTTGACAATTCTATCCAACCGGTTCAGGAGGCGCTAAATTAGAGCAGGGCGTTGCTATGGCGATGTCTTTTGGGATGAAGGCGCGAGCGAATCGGGGGGGGGGGGAGTTGCCGGATAGCCAAATCCCATGGAGGATCGTGCAGTCACTCCGACAAACCACGTGGCCCTCGATTTTAATCAGCCAGAGTATAGCGGCCTCTAGTGGCTTCAGAGGTCATGCGAACCCATTTCACGTCGCGGCATAGACAAAAAATTGCAGCCCCTTGTCAATTGCCCTAATGGATGAAGGCCCTCCCCCATCCCATGTAAGTCACGCGTTTGTTTAACCATACTTCACCGTGCTGGTCAGTGTGGGCTGGTGAAGGGGGCGGGTGGCCAACAACCAACATCGGCAGAGGCAATGCTGGTGAACTGCCGGAGGAGGGTGCAGTGTTGTTATTTTGTGCTACGGATTATAAAATTGTGTCGAACCAGAACCCGTATCTTAAAGAGGGGATGGGAGGGGGGGTCTTATGTACGTATGTTGAACTTCTTTCGCACCGTACGTAGCCAACCGCGGCTAACTGCCAGTCGTCTACGACATCTGGATGCTACGACATCTGGAGACACTGCGGGTCGAAACCGGTCAAGAGTGCTGCTTGTGCCGAATCAACGCGGCTGAAATGCTGCCCTCCCCAGAAGGCCGTGGGGCCAATGGGATGTGTAAGAACAAAAAATAACTTTAATTGTTTACGTGGAGTGACGGGGTCGACGGAATGAGACGCATTGTCTGCTTGCCTTTTATTAATCTTATCACCTGCGCGCTCCACAATGACACGAGCAATTAGTTTGCGTTATTCGTGCAATAAATCACTTTTGCTTTTACTTTTACGGACCACGGGTCCATATAGGGGACATTACCCACTGCCCCTTGAGGCTATTTCCTTCTCACGGCGCAGGCGGCCAACCGGCACGGTCGCGATAAGGGGCCGCCCATAAATGACGTCACGCGATTTTGGACGATTTTTTACCCCCCCCCCCCTCGTCACACGGCGTCACAAAAGTCAGACCCCCCCCCCTCAAATATAACGTCACAAAGCTCTGCCCCCCCAAATAAAACATGCTTCAAATCGATTTAAACTATTGTTATTGTAGTGCGTATTTAATGTGCCGCTGCGCTCTGATGTTATAGGAGAAAACATTTATTAAAACGTTTATTTAATTAAGTAGAACGTGTTGTCTATATTCATTTAAAGTTGCGCATTTTTATGTGACGTCACATTTCTAAACGCCCCCCCCCCCTCTCGTCACACATCGTCACAAATGTCTGACACCCACCCCCCCCTAGGTGCGTGACGTCATTTATGTACGGCCTCTAAGACGAAGACTACGAACAAGAGGGCCCCCCTCTGCACCTTGAGCAGGCCCGGGTACTCGTGGCTGGGGAGAGAGTAGACGTGGTGTGGAAGGCCAGAGGCGGCGTCCAGCACGCACGGGAAGCCCGAGGCGCCGCTGTAGGAGCCCGGCTCCTTCTCCTCCCAGTAGCACACGTTGATGCGCAGCGGCTGCACGCACAGCGGGCACGGCGCAGCGGCCAGGACAACACTCGCCGCACACTCACCACTCACCTGGCACCACTCACCACTCACCTGGCACCACTCACCACTCACCTGGCACCACTCGCCACACACTCGCCGCACACTCACCACTCACCTGGCACCACTCACCACTCACCTGGCACCACTCGCCACACACTCGCCGCACACTCACCACTCACCTGGCACCACTCACCTCACACTCACCAATCATCTGACACCACCACTCACCAAACACTCGCCGCACACTCACCACTCACCTGGCACCACTCACCACACACTCACCACTCACCTGGCACCACACGCCACACACTCACCGCACACTCACCACTCACCTCACACCACTCACCTCACACTACTCACCTCACACTCACCACTCGCCAGACACTCACCACACACTCACCACTCACCTGACACCACACGCCACACACTCACCACTCACCTGACACTACTCACCACACACTCACCACTCACCTGACCCCACTCGCCTGACACCACACGCCATACACCACTCACCACACACCACAGCGCCGCACTCACCTGACACCACTCACCAGATCCTCACTGCACACTCACCACTCACCTGGCACCACTCACCACACACTCACCACTCGCCAGACCCTCACTGCACACTCACCACTCACCTGACACCACACACTCACCACTCACCTCACACCACTCACCTCACACCACTCACCTCACACCACTCACCTCACACCACTCGCCACACACCACTCACCTGACATCACTCACGGCACACTCACTGCACACTCACCACGGCCCCAACACACGCATCACACGCGTGACTCACCAGGCGCTCACCACTCGATACTCACCACTGACCAGACATCCGAAGTGATTCTCATACTCACCTTCACTGCAGCATTTGTGACCATTAATTATTTACAGTGTGTGCAAATTAATGTTAATTATATACTAATGTTACAATTTGGCTAAAGTTGAAAACAAAGCTGTACAAAGAGGGCGGAAGAGTATAAAATAACTGAATATTTTCCAGGTCGCCGGTAGACTGGAAGAGCCATGTGACTAGCAGCCACAAGCAGGGCAAATATGTATACTAGATGTGGTATGCCGGGGTGCGAAAATATGTTTAGGGTCACGAGTAAACATACGCCGAAGAATTCAAGGTGGTTTCTCACTCAAACAATGAAAGCATGGGGCCCCCATTTACAGCAATGGGCCATTGGTGGAAATTCGACATTCCCATGGCAGAGGAGAATGAACTAGAGAATACATTCACGAAGGAATAGGGAACTGAGTGAGCGCTGGAAATTCCACATTGCTAAGGCAGGGGAGAACGATTGAATGGAAGAACAAATTAATGAAGGAACGACCAAATGAATGAGTGAACACATGAGCCAAAAAATAAACGAAATGTAGTGAATGAACGAATTGATGGCGAACGAAAAACAAAACTACAAATTCATGATTGAACAAACAACTACCGTAAGAACAAATAAATAAATGTATTAACTAAACGAAACGTTTGAATGAATGAACGAACGGTGGAGGGAGTGGCAAAGGGGGCGGGGCGATCGCGGCGGTGGGCGGGGCGATCGCGGTGGTGGGCGGGGCGATCGCGACGGTGGGCGGGGCGATCGCGGCGGTGGGCGGGGCGATCGCGGCGGTGGGCGGGGCGATCGCGACGGTGGGCGGGGCGATCGCGGCGGTGGGCGGGGCGATCGCGACGGTGGGCGGGGCGATCGCGGCGGTGGGCGGTACCTGCAGCGGCAGCCGGAGCCCCAGCGAAGAGAGCAGCGCGCCTGCCCAGGCCCCCACCGCGAGCACCACGGCGCCCGCCGCAAACCGCGGGCCCCGCCCCTCCTCGGTTGCCACGGTTACGGCACCGCCGCGGCCCGGCGAGACCGCCGTCACCTTGAGCCCGTCGATGATCCGTCCGCCATTCTCCTCGATTCTCTTCTGCGCAGCGTCGAAATCGCAGAGGCACAACGGGAAAGAAGGGAAGGGAAGCCGTGGCGAGGAGCAGGAGGATGAGGAGGAGGAAACGCGTTGTTGTTGTTTACTCGGCCGTCGTGCTCTCCGAACGAGATTAAATTTGCACGGTTGTTGTTGTTGGGTGGCTTTTTTGCATTTTGGTGGGTGCGTGATGGTATTTTGTGGGGCGTAATATAACGCCGCGCGTTTTAATCCTGAAATTTTAATTTTTTTGTCGTAAATTTGCGTGGTTTCTTTTTTTAGCAGCACGCTCGCGAATAATCTGCTGTATGTAGGTTAGGAAGAAGGGTGTAAATTATGAATGCTTATGCTCTGAATTTCAAGCACCGGGTTGGCGTGCAGACGCTTTCACACGCACACACACAGTATTTGACCTGAGCAAATTACAAACGACTGCATTATTCTAAATATATGCGGGTAAAACTGCGTGAAATCACATTAAAAACAAAACACACCAAAAAAACAGTCTTCCTCCGCATACAAAATATATTTCAGATATATTTCCATGGCACGTGGCAGCATTGGTTGGAAGCAGGCAAACTGAATGGGTTTTACATTTTTCTGGATCTCATTAGCAGCATTGGGCCTGTTAAACTCATGCTGTAGAGCCTCTTAGGTAATTTCTGCACCCTAGCGTGTAGCTCATAGTTCACTTGGGAGAGGATTCAGTCGTGGTTCTGTGATATCTTCTTCCATTGGCCGCTCTTTAACATGGGGTGATGCAATGCTACGTGACTTTACCGAAAGAACCAAAGAGTATAGATTATTTGTCGAAACAATTAGGATAAAATTGGGGGTGGGAAATGCAAACGAAAATAATATGAACGGATTTTTAAAAAAATTAAGTACAGTCCGTTCTGCTATAACGCTATGTGTTTTTCATAGCGCGATGAATCTATTAGAAAACGTGTTTTTTTTGTAACGTGGATGCGAATCGGATATAACCAGTCCCTCCAGAAAAACGCGGAGTTTTTTGGTGATTGTTGCGGGCAAAAATCGTTGATTATGCGGCACGTTTTCTTAAAAAATGCGATGGAATATGCGGGATATTTATGCAATTTTATGCGATAAAATTGCGGGAACTTGCAAAAACTGCGGTTTGATGAAAAAGAGAAAAAAAAAGTGATTCCCCCAACACCCTATTCACTAGGCTACTACTTTAATGTAAAGAGTCATTTCTTATTACTTCCTATGATAAGCAAGCATACTGCATCACAGAAAGTGCTGGGAATATTTAAGTTCTCATCTTGTTTTATTTCAGACCTTAACAAACAGATGGCTCAAACTTACAAAACATTGAGTCGAACAAGTTCTGTAGCTTTACAAAATGAATATGCTACAACTTCTGTAAAAATGAATAAATAAAATATTAAAAAATAAAATGTGTGCTTCCTGTTTTACAGAGGTAGCTATACAAAAACAGACATCTTCTGTTAAAATAAGTGTTTTCAGTGCACAGTAACGTAAGCAATACAGTAACAGTACAGTCTTACAGTAATGTAAATTTACATACTACTAACAAAAAAGTGCAATCTTTCAACTGTAAAGTTGCATAAACTCCTGAATAAAACTAACTACGTAGCCTCTAACGCTTCATAACGTTCCCATGGCAACAGGGGAAACGGCTGCGCTTGTGTGAAGTAAACGCAACATTTTTCAACTTTCTGCTAAGATATATGTGACTTTTTGCAACGAAAATGCGGGGATTATGAAATCATGCAAGCCCGCATATTTTGCGCGCGGAAATCTGCAATTTATGCGGCAAAAGTGCGGCGTATTTGAAAAAACGCGCCCCCCGCATAAATATGCGGACTTTGGCTGATTTTGCGTGGAATCTTGCGATCGCATAATCGCGTTTTTCTGGAGGGACTGTATAACGCGATTGAGTGAACGAAGCTACGTCGCGCGCGAATAGGAATAAGCGTTTGTACGGCTGCCTCGGCGTAGCATCGCACGAGGTGGGATGCTGCTGGATGCTTCTAGATTCTACCCACGTGCCTCAGTCTTTGTTCAGCCTGCGTACGCATCTCACTTGTTATCGCGGACTGTGCTTTACCAAATATAATTCGTCTCGCTTTGCATACAACTTTGTTGATTTAAATTACAATGAGTGGCAAGGGTATGAAGCGTTCTGCTAGTGGTGCTAGTGTAAGTGAAGTGAAGAAAAGAAAAGCCATAACTCTTGAACAAAAACTCGATGTGATACAGCGGTACGAACGAAACGAAAGAACACATGACATTATTCGCACAACGGGACTCACCGAATCCACGTTGCGCACTATTCGTAGCAATGCAGAAAAAATTAAGGAAAGTTGTGTTTCTGCAACACACATAAGTGCAAGTCGGAGCATCAGGGCAAGGCCCAAGATCGTCGAAGAGACTGAAAGGCTTCTTAGTTTATGGATAGAGAGTACAACAAAGAGGCGATCGGGCGCCAGCTTCTTGACGATAAAACAAAAAGCCCTTTCAATCTATGAAGACCTCAAGAAAAAGTGTAAGCCAGACAACGTCCAACCATTTAACGCAAGCAGCGGGTGGTTTGCGGGCTTCAAGAAGCGCTTCGACTTGCACAATGCGAAATTGACTGGCGAAGCGGCAAGTGCAGATACAGCCGTTGCTGCGAGCTTCCCGGACGCCCTGAAACGAGTTATTGATGAAGGTGGCTACAGTCCCGATCGCATTTTTAACATTGATGAGACGGGCTTATGTTGGAAGAGGATGCCTTCCAGGACCCACGCCTCCAAGGAGGAGGCAACAGCTCCAGGCTTGAGGGCAGCGAAGGACAGACTCACAGTGATGTTGGGAGCTAATGCGAGTGGCGGCTATCGGCTCAAACCTGTTGTGGTACACCACTCGGCTAACCCGCGCGCACTCAAAGGCTTCGTAAGGGCTGACCTTGGGGTACATTTCCGATCGAGCAAAAGAGGTTGGATGACTGACCAAATTTTCACGGACTATGTGTTGGAAACATTGCAGGACGAGCTGTGAAGGTACTGCAAGAGAAAAAATGAGGACTTCAAAATATTGTTAGTCGTAGACAATGCGCCGAGCCATCCACCCTGTATTGTTGATTTATCGGAGCAGATAAAAGTTGTGTTCTTGCCACCTCATACAACCTCACTGTTGCAACCAATGGACCAAGGAGTTATTGCTGCATTCAAGGCCTACTATCTGAGGCGCACCTTTGCCATGCTGATTGAGGCTACGGATGGAGAGAATAAGCCAAGCGTCAGTGACTTTTGGAGGTCGTTTAACATCAAGCAGGCAATTGACATCATCGTAGAGGCCTGGGCAGATGTCACGCAACCGTGCTTAAACGGCGTCTGGCGTAAGCTCCTGCCTCATGTCGTTCGTGACTTTCGGGCCTTCGAGGCGCAGCAGGAACAAATGAAGAAGATCCAAAGACAGTGCGTGGCGCTAGCAAGGCGAGCAGGATTCGAGAAAGTAGAGGAGGATGCCGAGGAGTCCCATAGGGAGGAACTTTCGACGGAGGAATTGCAAAAACTGACTGCTGAGGTGGTTGCGGCAATTGAGGAGGAAGGTGACGATGGTGATCCTGAAGAAGCACCACCCCGTGAACTAACTGCAGCTATTCTATCGTCAGCTTTGCAAGACTTTGAACGGGGCATGCAAAAGTTGGAGGACAATGACTGCAATGCGGAGCGCAGGGCAAAAATCCTCCGAGCAATAAAGGCTCAGCTGGCCCCATACGTTGAACTCCTCGACGAAAAAAGAAAAGCCGCCAAACGACGGAAGATTGATACATTTTTGGTTCCAGATGGACCCCAAACCTCTGAAGAACCAGCGCCGTCAACATCCAAAGGCACCTCGTCGGCCGGTGCAACGTTTTTTCGACCACGAGCTCCAAAAGAAACGGGTCAATCACCCGAGTCGCCAAATGACACAGTGATGGTTGAATTATCGGAATCATCAGATGACCTAGCAGAGGTTGAATCGCTCCCATCTTTTAAATCAACAGATGATCTACCAATGGTTGAGTCATCTCAACCCTCTCCTTCATCTTCACAATGACTCCATCTCCCGCTCCACCACTCCTCCCAAGCGGCCATCTTGTCTTCTTGTGGTAAGTGTAGATTTTTTTATCTACGTTTATTCGCATTTCTTAAATATTTCTTGTGGTTAAAGTTTTTATGAAAAAATGTGATCGTTAAAAAGTGTGAAGCGAGTCACTTCACACCCTTCATCGTTTTCCCTTTTCACCCTAATCCACGGCCAGGTTTTCTAACGCTTAGCGACTAATGCTGTGACGTACATTTTTGTATAAAAATAAATGATAACAATTTTTATTTAATTATATCAAACTAAGACATAGTCATTATAAGATAACACTTACAAATCGACAATAATTTAACAAATTATAAAAAATGTCAGTCATGTTGGTGTTTTCGAAACCTACTACCCCCTTAACTACCATTTAAAAAACGCTTATTACAACGCAATGATTCCATAACGCAGTGCTCTTCAGGAATGCAACGACCGCCGCGTTATCGGAGAGCAGACTGAACGTGACATCATCGTCCACGAATATTTGTGAATGTTTGGGCCACGTGTGCTTCTCATTAGGCCGTGAATTAACATGCTGAAGCTCCGATGGCGAAAATCCAGACATCAAACCCAAGCGCTCTGCAGCGTTGTTGATCTGCCACTGACCGCCGAACCTCCTTGGCGCGTGTGTGTGCGCGATCCTGGGACACTGTCCAGACAACAAGCATCTCAAGTCATTACCTACATTTCAAAAAGAAAGACTCCAATGCATCCTCTCTCATCATCCATACATGCAATTTTTTTTTCACGCATCGTTGTAGCGCGGCGCTCGAGGAGCGGAGGTTGGGGTAACGGGGGCTCTTCTGGTGTGTTTTCGGGTTTGTACCCTGTTTTTTTGTTTGGTTTTTCGGAATTCGTGTCCGACGTATCAGATCCACGTGCCAAGAGTTTCTTAGCGCGTGGCAAGTACGTGTAAATTACACGTCCAGGTGTCATGCTTGTGAGGCACGTGACAGGAGTAGCTTAGGGAGTAACGTAACCGACGCTGGTCCAGTCCGCCAGAGAGCAGGCCTTGTAGAATGATGCAGTTTGCAAATTGGTCCATCGTTTGGTTCGGGTGGCCACGGTCGCTGCACTGTGGGGCCGTCTGTAATTTTCCCACTCGTGGGAGAGGTGCTCGCGGTAGCCCAAGCGGTCGATGGAGGGAGCCGGCCACAGTTTTCTTGGCAGATCATCGAAGCCTGTGCGGAGCAGATCAAGCTCGGGAGCTTTTCAATTGGCAAAAAAGCTTCCAGGCACGTGGAGCGAAACGTCCGTTCGTCGGGCAGAATAGCTCAGTGGTTCAGCCTTTAAAACGCATCGGAGAGCCGTACGGCACAACCGCAAAAACCAATGCGGCGATGACGGTTCGTCCTTTGGATTTTAAAACCTCGTCCCTGACCCTGGCGTCGCGAGTCGTGAGTAGCGCAAGAGGAGCGGAGGATCGCCACGGCCTGGCGGGGACGCTCGTTAGCTCCCTGCTGTGCTCGTTCAACATACTCACGTTTTTTTCTCCTCCAATAACGTTCGCCTACGAAAGTGAGTTTCGCACTCGCACGTGTCCTTTCATATTTATTTATCGTTGCAAAATTATTTTGGCTCTGCACTGTGGCTGGAGGGGGCTTCGGAGGCGCACGCTGCGAATTACATTACGGAAAGAGACAAAAAAGGAAAGTGTAGGTTTTAGAGAACGTACACGGCACTTTAGAGATTTAATTTTAACTATTAATGAATATGTGGGGCTTGGGCAGGGTGAGTCAGAGCTAGAAGGGGCGATGGCTGCTGGCCGAGACTAACGACGGAATGACGGCAAAGGCAGGGAATGTCTTGGCCGTTACAGTCAACAAAATAACACGGAAAATAGTTTTACCCCGCACCCTCTTTTCGCACAATAGCAATACTAATGGCATTCATAACGAGGAATATTTTGACGGACATGCTGACCGTGACTCCAAGGCACGGAGGCAAGTTCAGTGTCGCTCAAAGCCGGGGCGATAAGAGGTGGTTGGGGGGGGGGGGCGATGATGGCTGCATTCCAGACGGCGGGGGGCTGCCATGGACGATGAATGGGTGGCGCAAACGCGTGGTGAATGGACGGGACGGGATCAAGGCGGAGGACAATTTGCCCACAGGAGCCTCTGCTAGGGGGGGGGGGGGGCGGCTGCCATTCATAGCAGCAGCTGCATCGGCCATCGGCAGGAACAACAGCTCGGGGCTCCATGGTGGCAAGATGCTAACTACCTCGCCTGGTATGCAAGGAGGTCGTGAGCTCGATCCCGATCCTCACGCTTGCTGCTGTATATTTGGAGTTTGCTTACCTCTATCCCCGTGGTCGCGTGTATTTTTCTCCGGGTCCTCCGGTTTTTCCCTCCACATTTAGAATAGACATGCGTTTATAGTATTTGGCTGCTGCACATTTCCACGTGATAAGCCACTTCGTTGAGCGATCATTTGTGGCCATGTCGCTTCGACAAAAGAGCTACGTAGCAGCTAAGTGGGCCTTACCTAGTAAAATAAAAAAAATTGTGTAGTTCTAGCTGCTGCTGTTGTTGCCTGGGCCAATGTCTGGCCGGGCATTGGATCCATCCCACTCCAACTCACTCGCAGAACTAAAGACGGCCAAAGAGTTACACGCAGTGTAATAATACTAATTTAGTTTCACAAAGCAGGCGTAAAATCATGCAAATTTCATCCCATAACGATTTGGAATGTTTTAACGCGCACACAGGCTCAAGTAACCATAGACAAAGCGGGAGGGCAGCCGGAATCAGTGCCGACAATTGCCCAAGCTATGTGGTCCTTGTGTTGAGATATTTGGCCATGATCACCAAAACAGATTCAAGAGTCCAATTTTTGTACTGCTGGTCACCTTGCATACTCAGCCCACAACACCTTGGTATTCGCAGGCAGTCTACCATCGAAGTACTAACCAGGCAAAAAACTTGCGTAGCTTCCAAGATCCGAGAGAATCGGGTGAGGTAAGGGCGATTCGCACAGACAATCTGGAATGAGCTGATGGGGCCAACTGCTGGGAAGCTGGCAACCGACATTAATGAACGAGCGAATCAATTAAGAAGTCTAGTAGCTGGGCAGTCCAGTGCAATGAGTGAGCTCAGTACTTTGGAAGTTTTCACACTGAAACATCGCCGAGTCGTAAATTATTCTAACGCAATTAAAGTAATGAATATTCAGCAGAAATTCTTGTTTTAATGAAGTCAGTGTTGTAATGCGTTTTCAAGCAATATCACGCCCTTGGAATTAACTTAAATCGTCAGTAACTCCGAGGAAACATTGTTTATATTATTGTTGCCATCTAACAACAAAGCCATATGTTAAATTTCGTGTTTCGTTTGTTACATAACGGTGGTTAGCGGGGCATGCTAGCCACCTGTAATCCCACGCTCCCGAGGCAAGGTGGATCGCAAGAAGAGATTTAGAAAAAGAAAACTCCCAAACCTGCTCGTCTCCCGGGGGGGGGGGGTTGGTCAAAAGATGGCAGTAGAGCAAGTGGGTTCATTAACTCATCTGTGAGTGTCATCTATCATAAGTGCGGCGCCTACTCGAGTGGCCTCCTACACCAAACACCTGAAACATTCCCAATGTAGCAGGACAAGCCTTGAAACAACTATTCAGACTAGATATTCCAATAGATGACACTTTTACTTGCCCAGACATTTTCTATCCACTGCTTGACGAGGATCTCGCCATGCCGTCCCTGTGGGTCATGATGGTTGTTTAACCATGCTTTGCCATGCTGGTCAGTGCCCTTTGGTAAAGTCTTGGGCCATAGAAGTACAGTGTAACAATGGATCGTGTTGTGCTGCCCTCTGCTGGCCACCACGTAGCCACACAAGGCATAGCACTTCGAAACAATTATCCATCACCTCTGCCACACGCACAGGGATAGCTGCCACCGGGGGGTCCCCTTGGCTAGAATGCCACACAGAAGACAGTGGAATGCTTTCGACGAGGTGTGGTGGAACACGCTTGGGAGCAGCCGATCGATTTAAGCCAGCGCCACGACGCGCGGGCAAACCCTTCCCCTCCTCCCCGCAAACTCACCCAGAGGGCGGACATCGCTCGCTGGGCGTGGAGCACCCCTCCGTCCGGCTCCAGGATGGCAGCGGTGGGAGCGCCTTCCGCGCTGGGAGGGAACGCGAGGCCCGGGTAGCGAGCTGCCAGCTCCTCGCCTTCCAGGCACTCGTGCCGCGCACCCACGTGCTCCAGCGCCCGTCTCGTTGCCTCAAGCTCCAGGTTCCCGCGAGGGCCCAGCATCAGCAGTCCCGTGCGCCTGTCCAGTCACATAGGGGGTTGCGTAACTTTCACGGTGTAGCCCGCATGCTGAGCTGCTGCTGTACTGGCCTGCCAGGAATGCTGTGGATGTGTACTACTCTGCGTTGTGTTCTGTCTCCCCCCCTATTGTTGTGAATTATCTGGCGCTGAGGTGTCGCGAAGAGGATCTGGAAATGAAGGTCAACTGGCCGATGGAGTTGTGTTCGCATAAATAAACGAGGCTGTTGCAAATTGTAGTTGAAAATATATTTGTAGTCAGCCTGCACACTGCACAGTTTCCTCAGGTTCAGAGGCACAGACAAACAGGAAGGCAGCCACAACCGGCACCAAAAACTGCCCAAGCTTTGGTCCGATAGTAGGATGTTTGACTAACTCCGTGATTGAGTGATTATACATGTGGAAAGAAACTAGAGTAACGAGAAAAACTCACGTGTACGAGGGGGAAACGCTCTATGCCCGTGCAAATGTAGGTAAAGAGGCAAGCCAGGGTATGGCGACCTTGACGCCCATGGGATGGGAGTTTCACGACATTTGTGTGAATCACCAACCCTCACCTCCGCAAGCTAGCGCCACCGTCACCGGGCCTATCCACAACAATCCTACCTGATCGCACCCCGTGCTACTGTGCCCTCTTGCACACCACCGCACACACCATCGCAGTATCACGAGGACAAAATAAGGCGAGATGGATGTGGCGTGGCCACAATAATTCCTGGAACAGCGTTCTGGACTGTGCCACAAACAGTTGGGTGGACAGAGTCGAAGCATTAACTGTGACGCGGGGGGTGGGACATGGCAGCCAGCTCTGCATGCGACGTGGATGCCTGCTTGGAGGTAGTACAGAAAGTAGATTGCCGTTAGGCTGATCTGCGCGTGTATTTTTATATTTAGTTCACTCTCGGACGTGTGAATTCTTGCGTTTTACCTATGGGCGCTGTGGTTGTGGTATTATCCCGCACGCAAAACTGCCTCGAGCAATTTGGGGAAAAGTGTTACCCGCGCATCTCTCCTAAAATAGTCTAAAGACTCGATTAAGGCTCTGAAGGGACAACAAAGAATTCTAATTATTGCCCACCCCACCATGGCCGAGGGGAGGGAACGCGCCTGAGAGGACATTAATTGCGGAGATGGAGTGACGAAATTGGCTCGTGTACAGGCACTGGCATGGGTTGCTGCTTCGTATGATCGTTAGGGATAGCAGAGGTCTTCATCCGGCGATGGATAGACCATGCCTGCTGATGATGATAATTATGAAGGCGCTTCAGGGTTCGTATCAACACAATAAGCAATTGACCTTGGGGCATCATGCCTGGTGCCTCCCGTTCACGTAGGCCGCGAGAGATCTTGAAACACACCACGTGTGATGAGGCCCTGCCTCAGCACACGTGGTTACCACTCAATTGGAAAATTACTCAATTGGAATTATCGCATTGCAAATATCGCCCCCCTACTGCAAAAAAAAGCAAGCGAGCACCTCCTGAAAGAGCCACGAGACTCGGCGAGGCTTTCCTGGGTATTCAACCTTAGTCGTAATAACTGGTGCCCTCTGAGCCATTGAGGCACCTTGAAAGTGTGCGCGTGCAACCCATCAAACCGATGGAGTGGGTGGCGCACTGCGCAATGGTAACCCAGCGGCCAGAGTTCTATTCCACAGAAATGGCGAACATCAGTGACAAGTGGTGTCTGAACCGGTCCTGGGCCTCTCCTAGGCTAACTCTGCATAGAAAAATGTGTGCCTATAGTTGCGGTGTGTAAACGTCGGACACTGGGGAGGCAAAGACGGCCAGGCGTGGTGTTCACCGCACCACCCATTTCTTGCGCCGTGCCGGTCCTCATAAATTCTCGCTAATAGCAGTTGTCACAACAGCCTGTGTATGCTACACGGGGGGATCTTTGTCTTTTCCTTTGCACTCATAAAATACCCAGTGTGAGCACTGCGAGCAGTGTTCACCCTTTGCCCGGAGTTACGCAACGTAACCCGACATGTCTCTTTGCAAGGCCAAGCGGCTTCACCACGGGGTCATTTGTATGCCACACAGAGTGCACTTTCAATTTCAGACAAATTCCGTGAATTAAATTAGGTGTTCTCTCGAGGTGGCTGGCTTTTATACGTGCCCGGTTCCCTCACGCGGGTAAGCTTGCCTGTGTTCAATCAGCGGTATCATCTGCTCGCCTCTCAATTCCCCCACGACACCTCACACTGATTGGATGATGACGGTCTGCAGTGCTACCAGGTGGCATAAATCGGTGTAATCATCCATAAATGTCCGTGTAATTTTTCTTGGAATTTTTTTTTAACTGCCTGTTTCTCAAGAGTTATCACACAGTGCGCTTATCGAGCTGTCGGTGCGTCGTGTCACGAGACGGAGGGTCCGTTCGGAATTCTCGCATGGCGGTGTGTCGCCACGGTGTGTCAAAGAATGGCCCGTGGAAGCAGATTTGACGGAACTACTTCTAAGCTCCTGTTCAAGCGACGTCTCTTACCCACACTCGGAGGCGCTTCACTCTCACACGTGACCCGACACAGAGCAATCATTACTCATCGCACGACGAACTGAATCCTTTTCAATCTCACAGCTGGAATTTATGCAAAATTACGTGAACTGGAGCAACGTGAGATCGAATGGAACCGGTGAGTCCAGCACGCTGCTAACCGTTACACCGCCACCGTGGGTGGCTCCCTTTCGTGCCTCAGTTAAAAAACGAAAAATTGCGCGAGGCATTTCTAAGCGTGCGGCAAACCGCTACCAGGGTCCATGCCAACGTCGTCGCCGCCTGTCGCGTCGCTCTCACGTGTAGAGGGTGGAGCCGGTCTCTCTCCCGAGCCTCTCCCACGCCTTGAAGCAGTCGGTCATCATGAGCGCGTAGTGCAGCTCGGGGTAGGCGCGGCGCGTGATGCGCGACTGCCCGTGGGAGCTTCCGCGGGAATGGGGCAACGGAAACTGCGGCGGAGCAGAGAGAGAGGGAGAGGGTTGGGTGGCATTACGGCGGGGATGGAGAGGGATTGCAGAGAAAGAGATCATTCGTTATTGGCGAGTCTTTGCACGACAGTCAAACAGATATGTTTCATTCTCCGAGCCGGAATTTAGCCACGTTAAGTGCAACACCAAATTCGTGATTCTTTTGTCGTGTCGTCATTGGTAACTGGCCAAAGACATTTACACTTGAGACGTTACAGTCATTTCATCCCAGGCGGCTGCCTGAAATCGAACCCAAGTATCTCGGCGGGGCCAACTCAGCGCTGACCTCCAGAGCCACCCGGCCACCTCTAGAAATGTATTTATATTTATTTTCACCCAATTGAATAGGCTGTGGTCTGTGCCATGTCTCGTGTTATTACCAACACCACACCGCAGCGGCGCATAATACATTTCATACCATAAACCACAGACATGAAGTAGTGGCGCAGTGGCTTGCGCACTGCGCAATTAACCCAGCCACCTGAATTCGATTCCTGGCTAAGACTAAATCAGTGTTGATTGATATCCGAACTTAACAGTGTGGTGAAGTATGGTCAAACAATCTCCATATGACTGACATGGCATGGAAAGGCCGTCATCTACCAGTGGATTGACAACTATAAATTATGTTCACTATTGTAATTGTTACAGATGTGTATACCATATTTGCAACATATATAGAACATCTCAATAAGCCAAAGGAGTACGTGACCAAGGACACTGTACACATTGAAGAGGGGCCATCTGAAAGGAACAAATATCATCTTCAATATGAAAAAAAACGTAATTTATTTTTCTGTCAGTCTGTTTGCTGCTCATGGCACCTGAGCCATTTTAAGTGGTTCAGAGCCGGGACTCAGGCAGGGCTCATTCTTACTGGAAGGAACCAGGCACCGATGGTATTAATGATCAGCTCTGTAAAACCTATGACCTTTGACCTAGTTCAAACAAACCGTGGCCACACGTTTTTTTCTACATTAAAGCTCACGTATTTTAGAAATGAATACGCTCTTTTCTAATTCTATTATTACTGTGTTTTGAGTTTAGAGCTGACAATTGTTTTTATTCAGTTTTTTTGTAAATATATGTTTGTATACCCAGGAAAGCCTCACTGAGTCTCAACAGTGTTTCAGGAGGGAATCTGTCCAGTAGCCTATGGCTAACGTTTAGCATTGGAATGTTTCACCAAAACAGGTTAGGATACATGTGTTTCTAGCTGTGGGAGGTAACCAAAGGACCCATATAATAACCATGCACAACAGAGGGAGAACAAACAAAACTTCACACAGAAAGGATCCCGAGTGGGGAATCGAACCCAGGACTTTTTTGTGGCGAGGCACGAGTGTTCATCACTGAGGCAGCCTGCGGAAATAGTCCGAGTGAAATGAGAAAATACAGATAACATGTGGATATCAATTGTAGTCTTTGGGGAAGTGTTAAACTGTGACATTTCACAGGCATATTTACCCAGCAAAGCCTCACCAAGTAGGAACGTTTTGCAGGAGTCGTTTAACCATTTTGCTGAGTTGTGTTAAACCATTTCTATTCAAGACTGCTTGGCTTCCTGTGAAAGTGACCCACCCCTCAGAGCTCCGCACAAATATAGACTCAAGATTCTGTGCTAATAATAATCTATGACCCTGCGTCTGTGCTAATAATCAATTTCAACGTGTAACGCGCCACACAGCGTTCGCTCGCTCTCATAAAGACCAACTCGGAGGCTCGAGGAGGAACCACCACAGACCACGCGATGAGCAGATGCCAACAATCGCGCAAGCTCAGCGGTCCTCGATATATTAAGGTGGTGTCGGCCAATTCATGATTGTTTACATGTAGGAGGAAACCCACACGGATTGAACCTACAACGCCCCACATAAAAAAAAAACTAAGTAAAAACGTTTTATTTTACTAAGGTCCACTGAGCTATATTGCATTTTTTCAGAAGAGACCTGGCCACGATTGATAGCTCAACGAAGTGGCTTATCACGTGGACATTTATTGCAGCCAAATACTCAAAACGCATGTTTCTAAATGTGGAGGGAAAACCGTGAGGACTTCGAGAAAAATCCATGCGACCACAGGGAGAGCATGCGTACTCCAAATATTCAGCAGGCGTCAGGGTCGGGTTCGAACCCACAACCTCCATGTATACCAGGCGATGTAGTTAACATCTCGCCACCGTGGCGCTAAAGATTCCCACGTTAAATACCCAACCCCAAAACTCCCCGACCCAGCCACCCATACTCTAACCCCTAGCTCAGCTTCCGCTGGAACGACTGCAGCTGTGAATCCATGTGAGAATTATTAACGAGATGTGAGGCTAGTTTACACGTTAAACGAAAGGGCATTGATTTGCCCCACTCACTCGCGGCCAGTGGCGTAGCTAGGATATTTTGCGCCCGGGGACGAACTATAAAATTGGCGCCCCCCCCCCCCCCCCCCGTTAAATCACATACCAAAATGTAATTACATGACATATAGGCTGTGTGTGGCGGGATATATAAACTTTTAGATTGAGGTGTAGATTTGTGCAGTAGTTTCAGGCTGCCGCGCCCGCCGCAATAAGTTCTAATGTAACGTTGTAAGCCTCATTTTGGCGCCCCTTTACCTTGGCGCCCGGGAACACGTGTACCCCCCTGCCCCCGCCTAGCTACGCCTCTGCTCGCGGCTTGTTGTTCATATCGTTGCACGATGTTTCTGCACGAGATCAGAGCCGATTGTACTTCACCCTGCGTCGTTGCGTTCTCGCTTAATTAGGCCTACGGATAATTTGGTGAAAGAAAGTAATTCGTGTGCGTAACTCGAAAGCCAACGTTATTGCCTGCCCAAATGAACGCCAAGGCAATGCTCATCTCCTGCTTTACAACCCCGTGAGCTGACGGTGGAAATTCCTATGGCGCCAATCATATATTTAACTAACTCAAGTGTCTCCATTTCAGCCGGAACAAAAGCGGAAGTATCCGGAACGCTATTCCAAGGAATTGCTTTGGCAACGTCACATCCATTTCGCCCTGATTTATCCTCGGTGGTGTGTAAGAATATACTGTGGGGTAGAATAATGGACGCTGTACTCTAGTGGCAGTGACTTAAGCCAATAATCCCCTACTCCAAGCCAGCCTGGCAGCCAAATGAAGGACCCCCTTGCTTAATTAATTAGCTCCTCTTCGTACGGCAGGGTACTGAGTGACGTTGGCTGGCCAGTTGAGGGCCACGGGAGCAATGGTGCCATTGTCCGGAATGCCGCCAGCGAATGAGTGAAGCATTGGCCGCTGTTGCCCGATGTGTGCCACGGTTTGGTTTTGACAGCCAGTCGCTGCTTTTCATCTTCCAGCGGTGTGATAGATTTTATCTCTTGACAGCTGCCCGTCCCTTTCCATACCACTACCACTTACAATACCTCCGAGGACAAACGCATGTTAGAAAGAGATACAAGAATCCATGCCTACGCATGGTTTTTATTCCTTGTGTTTTTATGGCATTACGCTTAGATGCGCTACTGGCTAAATGGTGGTGAGGAACGCCTGTGGAGGCAGCGAGGGTTCGTGGATCGCACGAATATGGGCGATGAGAAGATGCCAAACCCTGGCCGGCTGGGACAAGGCAGGACGGCGAGTGGACTTATCGCCATCTGTTTACATCTGTACGGGGATTGAGTGTTTCCCCCTCGCGCAGGGCATGGGTTTTCTCCGGTAGCTCCGGTTTCCTCCTCCCACGTGGTATAATAAACACAACTCATCATTAATTGGGGGCTGAAAACATCTTGAAATAAAAACCCAATGTTATGGAAGAAATCGTATTTTAACAGAAAAAAATTGTGCACTACCAGAAGGAAGGGCGTGTGGCTGATGGGTATGTGTAAAAATGTACACACATTACGTGTACGCGGAGGGAGAGATGTGTGAAGGTGGTGTGTTGTCCGCTTGAAAGAATAACTATTTAGGGATTTCAAGGGGGCTTTGCACCATCAAGCACCACTCCGACGTAGTGGACTCGGGGTGGGAGAGGGCAGTCGATCTCATCTCACCTGGTCAAGGAGCAGAACCTTGGAGCCGGGACGGCTGTCAAGGAGGTGGTAGGCCGTGAAGGAGCCCTGCACTCCCGCTCCCACCACGATGTAGTCGAACTCCTCCAGAGACATCGTCCGCTCGGATCTGCACGCAGTGTTGAGCGACAGGCAGAGAGAGAGAGAGGATTTGAGTTGTTGTTGTGTACCTGTGTGGGTTATCGTGTCTGTGTAAGTCAGCGTGTCCTCCGGCTTGTCTTTGAACGGAGCGGGGTCGTGTAGCGGCGATTCGAGTTCGATTCCCGCGCACGGTCAACATCGGTGACGAATATCTGAACCGGTTCTGGGCCTCTCCTAGGTCGACTCAGCCTCAAAATAGATGGGCAACTGATTTCTTTAGAACTGCTTCTTTGTGCTGAGTTTGTTGTCCTTCCCCCGCACCTGCGATGGGCACGGTAGGCTACGTACGGTGCGATGGAAGTTCAACTTAAATGCATAGCAACTAGGGAGACAAAGGCGGCCGGGCGTGGTGCTGGCCACCCACCCCCTCGTGTGCCTTCACATGTGCTCGCTAACACTGCCTTTGCCTGTTCTTCAGAGTGAGTGTTGTAACGGCAGCGGGATAATTTGTTGTGTGCGTTCTTGCGTGTGCGAATTATTGTGCGAATGAGTTATATTGTGTGGACGAGTGTGTGTGCATGTGTTATCGTGTGCGAATGAGTTATATTGTGTGTACGAGTGTGTGTGTATGTACATGTGTTATCGTGTGCGAATGAGTTATATTGTGTGTACGAGTGTGTGTGTGTGTGCATGTGTTATCGTGTGCGAATGAGTTATATTGTGTGTACGAGTGTGTATGTGTGTGCATGTGTTATCGTGTGCGAATGAGTTATATTGTGTGTACTAGTGTGTGTGTGTGTACATGTGTTATCGTGTGCGAATGAGTTCTATTGTATGGACGAGTGTTTGTAAGTGTGTGCATGTGTTGTGAGTGTGAACGTGTTGTGAGTGTGTCGCGAGTGTGAATGAGTCGTGAGTGTGAATGAGTCGTGAGTGTGCATCCCTTACTGATTGAACACAGTCGGTTGGTGGTGACGTTCATGCGCGCCTGGTGTTCGTATGCGTCGCCTTGTGCCGTGTGCGCGTGCGTTATCACGTGCGCCTATTCAATGCGTGCTATTCCTAGTGTGTGAGGGTGGCTGTGTTACCCGAGGTGCACCTAGCCTGGCACAAGCGACACTTCGTGGCGAACGACGATTGTTGTCACTGCACTGCGTTCTTGCCTACGTGCGTTATTGTTGTGGCTGCGCGTGTGCGCGCGGTGTATTTATTCTATATATATCTAAATAAAATATAGCTGCTAGACGACACGAAGTCGCCAAGAAGCACGAACCCGGTCCCCTGCAGAACAGCCTCAAAGTCTCGAGTCGGTGGTGCCTGGGGGGGTTCCGCCTGCCGGGTTGGAGTGACTGCGCGCGCGTGCGCGTGTGTCCACGCGCGTGAACCGCCTCTTGTAACCTTTTACACCCCGAGTTATAAAGTCCAGGCACGTACGAGGATACAGTAACCGTGTGGGAGCGTGGTCCGGCGAGATGCATTTGCTAGAGGAGAGCCACAGCGCAACCCCTGCACAGCACCCCACGGGTACACGTACAGCAAAGACAAAGGTCCCCCACTCCCCCCACTCCCCGTGTAGCCTTGACATACTTTTGGGGCAAGTGCCGTTCGCGAGTTGCACCGATGAAGGCTGGCGCTGTGGCACACGAAGGGGGGGGGGGGTGGCCGGCACCACGCCACGGCCGCCTTTGTCTCCCCAGTGGCGATGTTCACACATTGCAGCAAGCAATAGTTTTGAGGCCGAGTCGATCTAAGGGAAGCCCACGACCGGTTCAGATAAATATCATCGCTTGGCGTTGGTGCCCGTGAGCGGGAATCGAACTCGGGTGGCCGGGTTCGAAGCGTAGCGCGCTAACCGCTGCACCACCGCTCCGCGCGCACCAGAACACACGCACACACGCCTCGCCAAGCCCCTGAGGCTCGGGAGGGTTGGAAAACATGTTTTTGCTCTCTGGCATGCATGATGTGTGTGTGTGTCGTAAGTATGTATGTGTGGGGAGCGGTCAGGGAAAGTGAACTTGCCCTTACAGTCTCGTAAGGCTATCCGGGAGAGGGGGTCTTTGAGTCTTGGAGGGGCGGGAGCGCAGCGGTTTGCGCGCTGCGCTGCTAAGCCCAGGCCGCCCGAGTTCGATTCCCGCTCACGGCCAACACCGGTTGACTCAGCCTCAAATGAGCACCCGGTGTGGTGTGTAAGCATCGCCACTGGAGAGACAAAGGCGGCCGGGCGTGGTGTTGGCCACCCATCCCCTCGTGTTGCATTTCCGGCCTTCATAGGTGCTCGCAAACAAAACTTGCCCCAACAGTATGTGAAGGCTATACGGGAGGGGGTCTTTGTTTTGTATGTGTGGGCAGTTGGAGCCAGTCGCTCTCGCAACAACAGCGGAGGGCAGAGCAGCGAAGCTCACAACAACGCGTGGAGCGCCGGGCGATAAAATATAGTCGGTGAGCTTTCGACACTTCATGTGTCCACGGTGTGCACGTGGCCTGGCACAAGCGCCGTGGTGACATCACCTCCCCTTAGTGGCGAAGGGCGGCTGTTGTTGATCTCAACTGGTTCCGGCCCTCCCCTAGGTCGACTCAGCCTCAAATGAGTACCTGGTGCGGGGTGCAAACATCACTCCTGGGGAGACAAAGGCGGCGGGGCATGGAGCTGGCCACCAACACCCTCGTGTGCCATGTCGGCCTTCATAGGTGCTCGCAAACAGCACTTGCCCACGTGTGTATGACCTCCTGCCAGCGAGCCTTCGACACTTACTGTGGCCTCAAAGTGCACCTAACCTAGCACAAGCGCCGTGGTGGTATGTTTCAATGCGTGTGTACGTGCACCTGTGGGGGCCGTCGGCCCCCGGGGTCCCTCCCGCCTGCATCCCCTATTCCGTTTACGTTACCCCACCTCCCTATTACCCGCTGCGGTTTCGCCGGCATTCGAACGCGACGCCCCTACTGTTACAGCCTCGCGCCGCGCTCCCACGCTGCGAGCATACGTGCGCACATCATCGTCAATCAAACGCCGTGCTCGCAGTATAGCCCTGTGCGGCACGTTACCAATGCGCATCCGTATTATACACGTAGTGAACGTGCGCGCACACACGCATACAGCTCCACACGCGATACGCACTCTTGCGCCGCTCTGCGCAGCGCTCGCCGCCTGCTGGCCGCTTACGTTATGAGCGCGCACCTGGGGGACGCCGATTACGCACGCACGCCCACCCACACGCCGCTCCGCGCACTCCAACTCAACTCACGTTATACTCGCGCACCTGTATCACACACGGAGTGAACACACGCGACACCCACTCTCGCACCGCTCTGCGCAGCGCTCCCCCGAGGCGAGCCGCAGCACCACAGAATCACTGCGTACCCACGCGCAACCCGCGCGCTCAGCTCCGCGCAGCGCTCACTCACGTGGCGAACCACTGTGCACACAGCGCACCCACACGCTCACACTGCACGACAAGATCACGCGAGACCACGCTTCGCTATTAATGATTTATTATATGCCACCTGCGAATTGATGTTGAATCAGTGAGTCGACGAGGCTGGCCTATTCCACTAAACCTGTACCTATTCCCTATTTATCTGCTATGATTCTAATTCCTCTTCTTACTCACTGTTAAGTGTCCACGGCGGTCCGCTGATCCCGGTGCTCACCGCGCGCCTCGGTGCGTCGCACGGACGTCCGGGTCGCTGGCTGGAGCTGCGTCTGGTCGCCTGGCGCTGGAGTAAGAGAGCGATTTCCCCTCTGCGCTCTCCATTTATCCTGATTCCCAGACCCCTACCCCCTTCCCACGCATCGTGCGCCTTCGCTATGCTAATTAATCCGTTGTCCGCGCGGCGTGAACTCCAAACAATGGCACGCGCCCCCCTCGCCCAGGCCAGGCAGCTCCGCGGTGCCTTTGTTCCGCTAATCAATGAGCGACCTGCACGGCGCAAATTCCAATCAATCCTTTTCTCACGCAGGCCCCCGTCATCGAGGTTCATGCGGCGGTGTCCATCACAAAGGCGCGCCGTGGGAATTTGTGCACGGCTGCCCGCGTGACCCCGCTCTCCAGGTTATTCATACTAATAGCCTTCTCCTTTAACTCCCCTAATAATGGTGCCTGCGTGTTTTCTAATGAAGCTCCTCCATCACAATGCTTATTCCCTCTGCCTGCCCCGTCGATACTCGCGTGTGTGGGGGGAAATGCGCCTCAACCGCGGTGGCCGAATGCCCCACGCCGCGACCACACCATATTAAGGCCGGCCGCAGCGCCGCGGTGCCACGTAGCACGGGGGAGGTCATCCAATTCCCTGATCGCCGGAAACCGTGAGAATTAATCCCGATAAGGGTCTCTCGGATAAAAACCGGTCGATCAGGTAACCTTCCCTTCCAGCTCTATGGGGGGGGGGGGAATGCGTGCGGGTGTGTGCTTATGTGGGGGGGGGGGGGGTGATGGGGGGGGGCAGTGCGGTGGGGGAAGCCGGGCGGCTCCCTGGCTCGGCAGAGCGGCCCCGTCGCTGTGGCACCACACACCCCCTGGTGCGCTGCGCCGGCCTTCGCAGTGTCAGGCGACGCGAGGTCTCCGCGAGCAGGGTGGTGGGGGGGGGCATTGGTGGGCCGACTCCACCTGGGGCCTTGCTGGCACGGCGAGTGGCCTGCCCCGGGGCAGCCCAGGCCACCGCCAGGCCCCTCGTGTGCCATCATCGCTGGCCTCCGTGAGCAAAGCGCAATTTGAAACAATGCGATTAGCAAATCGCAAAAGCTTACGTTGTGGCCGAAACGTCGTGAGAATTGTATTTTATTATGTTTTATTATTTTATTATATCCCTTCCACGTGACTTTACCGAAAGAACCAAGAAGATGTGTGAGAGTTCCCGTGGAACTCAACAACTTTCCGTTCGTGCGCACACGAGCATTCTTCCAGCTCGCCCTCTGACATACTGAGCCGCTCACGCCCTGTGAGGGCCTCTGGGCCCCTACCTCTCTGGCTCGCTACCGACAGGGGAGCGGTCGTAGGGGGATTCACCAGCGCCGGTCACGTTATCCCAACTCTCCCGTTCCACCCCTTCCCACCTGCCCTGAACGAACGTGAACTGTTGATACACTTGTTGAGTTACACGCGCTTGTTCCCAAGGGCTTGGGCGCGGCGGTTTCCATACTTCTGCTGCAGATCGCCACCTATTCGATCAACATTAAACCGCGTACATCAGGAAAACACATCGTCAAGGACTCCAACTTGGAGTGACTTGGTGTGGGGGGATGGTGGCCTTAGCATTGACATAGTGAGAGAGTTGACTAATCTCCCACATTCCGCTTGTCCCTCCGTCACCGACACAGGGACCCCTAAAGCCCGAGGTTGTCCCATGCCATGCCAATAGCCGCCATTCGCCTCTAAGTGCCACTCAGTCACCATGGCGCCCGTGCCAGGCCAGGTGCGCTTTGAGGCCGCGTGAAGTACCCATTCACATTTGTGTGGCTGCGATAGCAACTATGGGTATGCGCTTGGGTTATTATGCTACAGCTGCAACCCCCTGGGGGCGCCTGCCCCGCTCACATCGACAAGCAATGTGCAGGGTTCAGCGTATGGCTCCAGAGTATGTGTTGGCGAACAACAACTTTGCCCAACAGTCTTTTAAAGGCTATATGGGGGGGGGGTGTTCTGTGTTTCTATGTGGATGGATATATGGGGCTAAACTGGCATGGGACGGCCTGGAAAGGAAGGAGATGGACTGATGCGGTACAGGAGGATGTGGAGCTGAGTGGACTTACCGATTCCTGGTACCAGCGGTATCAAGATCGGCCTCTGTGGAGGAGGGGCGTGAAGGACGCTACTGGGCGGAGGAGCAACGCTCAGAACAATGAGCGGAGCGCCGGGTGAAGATAACGCAACAATTTGGCACAATGAGGAACACATGTGGTGCACGTGTCAATCATCTCAGCCCATATGCACCTGGGGTCTGTCTCGTGACCGCACCTTCGATTCACACGGTTGGCTACGTACTGTGCGAAAGAAGTTCAACATACATACGAGCCTTCCACACTTCACGCGTTAGCCTCAACGTGTTACTAGCCTTGTATCAGCGCCGTCGTGGTATCACCACCACTTGATGTCGAATGGATTCTGAGTAAAACCAGCACAATTAGAACTCTACCCCCTCCCCGCACCCCCATTTTCAATAAACGATAATCACTTGTTACAAATGAGAGCGAATCCCTGGATGAGTTGAGCTCATTTGAATGTGTGCTATAAAGAGGAGTCATTGTGGTTTTTTCTGTAAATATTTGCTGGCTTATCCAGGATGTTTCTGTTGCGCGTCGTCGCTTTAAGATGTTCTTTGTTCATATTTTGTTTGTTGCGGTTGCACCCGACTCAAGACCCGCATGGCTCACTGGGCTATATATAGTTTCAAGTTTCATATATAGTTTCAAGTTTCATTTATTAGGTATACCTAATACCTAATAAATGAAACTTGTTAGAAACGTCACCTAGTAATTATAATTGTTTTGCCTTTGAAGGCCACAGGAGTGTTGTTGGCCAATGTGTCGAGTTGCGTTGTTGCCATTTGTGTCGTTGCACCACCGCCAAAGCAAACAACAGCGGCAGCAGTAGCATCACCGGGTGGCTGGCTTTCATTTGAATGTAGAGCGATGGGATGAACCCGCGTTCCCGCGCGGCGCTCAGCCAATGGGGCTTCAGCAAGCGAGCAACGCTGCTGCTGATGCTGCTGCTGCTGATGATGATTCTGGCGTAGTCGCTTGACTGCTGTACAGGCAGTGGGAGCTTCACGCTGCCTTTCTCGGGAAGCGTACGAGCGAAATATAGACTAAGTCAGTTCCAGAAGAGCCTTCATTTATTCCCATCCAGTCGTTTGGGCTATCAGTCCGGCTATTGCGCGCGCATGCGTGTTTCCTTATTATAATTGTGAGCTTATTTTTTTTAACACCATAATTGTTTAAATAAATATCAGACACAATTACAACATTTTTTTAAGCGTTGATTAAACGTAAAAAAACCCACTACCGTCGTGTTTTGATTTATTTATTGTTATCGAGATACACGTAAAAAATTCTCGATTGTACACAATCAAATCTCTCGCGAGGATTTTTTTTCCTCCCATTTGCAGATACATTTTTTTCCCTTGGGTATCAGAACAGCGAATTATGCTGTAGCGACACACACGCGCACAGACACGTACACACAACGCACGCACCGAGAGAGAGACCACCAACCACCATCACCGCAGCAGCAGCGTTCGCGCACACGGCGCAGGGCAGGCAAAGGAGGAGGAGGTGGTGGTGGTGCCTTCGGTGATCTTCCTCTCTCATCTCGCCGCGCTCCGCTGTGCAAAATCCGCGATGCCGTCGAGGGGCTATGGCAGCCTGACCACGGTGCTGCTGCTGCTTCTGTTGGGCTGCGTAGCCGTCCTCGGAGCTCATGGAGCGAGCGGTAAGGAATTCATTCATCTGCCCCCCCCCCCTCGTCGTATCCATTCCCGACCTCGTTTCTCTGTCTCCAAGGCAGCGGAAATCATCGGGTCCTGCGCGCTCTCTCTGCCCGCACTGGTTTTTGTAACCCACGCACAAACACACACCCCTGGCAGTCGATTGTTATTTGCGTGGGGTGATGCCTGGTGTTCATACATACACATGCAGATGTAAACAAAAAAAATCAAAGGTATTGCATGTTTAAACTCGTTAAAAATAATTCCTTATTATAGTTGAATCGCAAGACCGTGAGAGATGGCGACGGCTTGCGGAGGCCTTCGTCCAGCAGTGGATTGATCATGGCTGATTGTGTATTGTTGTGTGTGTGGAGTGGGTGATTCGCGCGCACCGCGCTGCATTCCCCATCACGGCTAACATCAGTGGCGCGATTGAGATTATCTGAATCTGTGCTCAACCGTGGGTCCATTCAGACCGCCTCGCACAGAGCACCCGGTTCGGTGTCGGGAGAAAAAAAACCACGCAAACAATAGGGAGACAAAGACGGCCGCGTTTAGAGAATTCAAGACTCTATATTATCTGGGTGCCTCTGTCCTTGTGTATATGGATGTTTATGTAACCTCTGCGCTGCGTGGCGGGTGAGTCGCTCCATTGTTACATCTAACAGAAGCCTCCCGAAGCACCGCGGCAATTGTTTATTTAGCGCACGCATCGCTCGTGACGTTCATCGTTCGCTGTGCAAACGGACAGAGAGGGAGGCGATGGCTTTCGTGGCACCGGGAGGGTTAAGTTAACGCGATGCCTGGTGTTCGGGAGATGTGGATGGACGCTGTAAGAAGAATGCCTGCGTGGGGATAACGCATCCCGCTACGCGGAGGTGCTGCACACACGCACGGTACGAAGTGGATACGCGCGCGCGTGTCCGCCACGAGTCACGGGGGAGCCGGGTGCAGGTGTCGCGGTTAGCGCGCTGCGCTACGAACCCGGCAATCCGAATTCGATTGCCGTTCGGGGCCAACACCAGTGACGAGTCTATGAACCGGCCCTGGGCTGGGCCCCGCCGCCAGGTCGACTCAGCCTCAAATGGCGGGGTGGGGGGGGACAAAGGCGGTCGGGCGTGGTGTTGGTCCACCCACCCCCTCGTGGACCGTTCCGGCAGTCGTAGGTGCTCACCAACAGCACTTGCCCCAACAGCCTGTTAAATACTATACGGGGGATCTTTGATGCATCACGAAATAGGGGTTAGTGGTGTGTGTATGTAATGTCTCGCGGGATAGAGGACGTGATCGGTTCGATCCTGGGTGTAATGCCTCTCGGGCTATGGTGTGATGGTCTAGACTCTAGAGGATGTGATGGGCTAATGGGGTAGAGTTCGTGATGGTCTCGATGGGGTGATGGGCACGAGGGTGGGTGCTGAGGGGTAGAGGCTGTGATGGGCTAGATTGTGTGATGGCTCTCGGGCGAGAGGGCACGACGCAGTCACAGTCTCGCAGCCCTCCTCTGCGCCCGTCTCGCGACTGCGTCGCCGAGTGTAATACAATGTTGGAGTCACGTGATGATGATGATGATGATTAAGAACAACCCACTCGGAACGCCAGCAGCTCGCAGCGCGCACCCCCTTTGTATCGGAGAAGGTCCCTGAAGAATACAGTCCCGTGACAACTTATGAAAGTCCCCTTAATATCCAATGCATTCTCCTTTCATATGCCCTGAATAAAGAACCCATCAGCTGCGAGCCAAATACATTTAGAATTTTTAATTTAGAGCTAATGGAATTTATCCAAGTTAGGGTGTACATTCAAACATGTAATGTGATGAAACAGATAAGCAGACAATTAGCCTCATTTCCATGTCTCTCCTTCCACACAAAATCTAAAAGTATTTTTACACAGATTTACGAAGGAGATATTGTGCCTCCATATCTAGTTTATTGTCCATGTTCTCCATAACTATGACGACGCTAGTCATTATTTTGTGTTGTGAAATATAGAATTGTGCGTCAAACTAGGACCCACATCTGAAATCCAGTCTTTGCCTATAATATCTGGCAGTTCACCGGCATTGATAGGAGCAACCTGGCCCTGCTGATGAAACACTGCGGATCGAAACCAGTTCAGGGGTTTTGCTGAATCAATGCTTCTTAAATTGTGCCCTCCCAGAAGGCCGTGGGGCCGATGGGGCTTTGTAAGTAATTAGAACAAAGAATTGGTATTGCCGAGACGGATATGAATACTTATTTATCAATTTTTATTATTTATCTCCTCGACGATTTTATTTTATGCGATTGTCTTTCTTCGTGCGTAGTCGTCGTTGACTGGGAAGAAGCCATCAATGGGCTTCACTTGAGAAGCCGGTTTGAATCACGGACGGCTGCACCCCGGGGCTCGCAAACAGAGTGACCTTATATCTCGCACCATCAGACGTACACCACAGTTGTTTTTGTCCTGATTTCTATTTGTTTAATTGCCGTTACTGCACTTTATGTTGTGTCACTGCGATGGGCGAGGTCACTCGTGCTAATTAGACTCAGCCCTGCTCTCTTACGTTCCAAACTGGTTACACCAAATCAACCTCACTTGACTTGAGCACCTAAATTAGGAGCAATTGCCTAGGAGCCAGTGCACTGCCCTATGAACCCGGTGACCTGAGTCGCATCCCCCCCCCCCCCTTCACCAATCCACACTGACCACCGTGAAGTGTGGTCAAACAACGCGCGTGGCCGACGCGGTATGGGTATAGGCCTTCATCCAGCAGTGCATTGTACAGAGTGGTCCAGCTGTCTTGTGAACCCCCCCAATTGCATTCTCTAAAACGTAATAATTTTTAAGTAAGGTTTATTTAAAATTGGAAATTAATAAGCAAAGGAGGGGGGGAGGGGGACGGTCACAAGACATCTGGGACCAAGCCTGCAACCGAGGCGCTGTATCAATCAACGTCGTGATCGTTAAATTAAATGGCCGCCGTTTGGTCGATCCCACTGTCGATTTCATTGCAATTCAGTCGATGGGGGGAGGGAGGGAGGAGGAGAGGAGGGGGGGGCCTCTTCTGGAGCGAACCCCGGTCACGGTACTCGCGAGGAAAGGGGACATCCATTTAGTGCGTACGCATGGAGGGGGGGTAACCCAAATGCGTACGCTTGCGTATGGGGGGTCTACTGACAATGTACGCATAGGAAACGGGGGTGGGGGAGGGTGAAGGCTCGATAATAATTTGTCTACATTGGCCTTCAAATGAGTTAGTCCGGCGGTGGACTATCTGTTTGCTTCAACACGTGAATATTATTCATCCTTGATCGTTTCTGCGTGAATTCAATATCGGCCGTTCTATAGGATTCTGGGGGGTGCGTCAAGCGTACGTACGCAAGTGGGGGGGGGGTGTAAAAAGTCCGCGTGCGTACACGGAGATTGGGGGGGGGGGGTGTCAAGTTTTGACAGATTGCTGCGGACCGACTCAATGGATGGCCCCAAACGTCGTCGTGAGAGAGAGCGAGTCGGCGGCCTGCCGCTCGACGGCAAAACATCCCCGTCGGAGTCGGCGGCCGTCGCTTTCTAAACGGAAGCGGCCACTTGTTAGGGTCGTGGCGATTCACGGTCGTCGACTTCGCGTCGCGAGAGTCGTCGATAACTGGGAAAGACGGAGGGAGTCGTGAACATTGGAGGGGGTTGGTTGGGGGGGGGGGGTGTTTCGCTGCATGCGGCGGATTGCAGCGACGCAGCAAATGGTTGAGACGATGGCGGCGCATTGAGGAGACTCATCCCGGCGATTGATTGATCGCAGCTGATGATGATGATGACGATGATGATGAAGAGGCGTCGTACAGCTGTCCAATCAACCCGAATGACAACGGCCCCGCTGGTTCTCTTCACAACCAAATCGTGCCTTTTGATACGTTCCTTGTATTTTTGTTTCATGCGCCACACTAATCGCACAGGTGGTGGTGGTGCTGCTTGCTGCGTGCGCACTCGCTAACAGCACTTGCCCCAACAAAGCCTGTTAAGGCTATACGGGGGATCTTTGTCCTTGTTATTTGGGCACCCGAGAGACCATCCAGGGGGTATCCATGGCAATCGTGGGCCCTGGGCATTACCCCGGTGCCATTACACTACCAGCCACACACATTATCATCTGTTAAAATGTGGCACGAACAAAGCCTCGTTCTCCTGCTCCCTCGTCTCTCCCCCCCCCCAATTAATTTATTTTTATTGCCGCTATCGGCTGCGTGTCACAAGATGAGGGAGGAATCCATTTGGGAATCTAGCAGAGCAATTCGTGTGCACAAACCGAATGGACCGCTGCATCTCTCTTCATAGATCAAGCGAGAGAGAGAAGCATGATGATGAGAGCATTCAGCAGTGGATAGATTAGCATTGATTGATTGATGATGAAGACGACGATGAATAAATGGCAGTGCTGTGTTCAGTTCTTCCATACTTCACCGTGCTGGTTGGGGAAGGAGGCGGGAGGTTGGACCGCTTCAGATACCACACAAGCACTGACATAACGACGGGCTGAGAATTGAAGTCGGGATCGCAGGGTTTATAGCGCAATGCGCTAAAACAACGTCACTTCAGAAGGAGCTGTAAATAAAGATAATTGTTGTTATTAAGCTCATACTCTTTGGTTCTTTCGGTAAAGTCACGTAGGTACGAAATAAAATACATCACGACGTTTCGATTGCAACACAAGCAATCATCGTCAGGTGGGAAAGCCACAGCAAGAACATTTTTTTTTTGCTGAAGTGGGAGAGAAAAGAAAAAAAATGATTGCTGTGGTTTTCCCACCTGATGATGATTGCTTGTGTTGCAATCGAAACGTCGTGATTTATTTTATTTTATACCTACGTGACTTTACCGAAAGAACCAAAGAGTATGGATTCCTGCAGTCATGAAAGCTTCAAATCTCGGTTATTCACCTCGTCACGGCCTTCGATAGCAACAACAAAAACAACAGAAGCGAACCTCAGCTTTCCTCCACAATCACCGTGTGGCCATGTTCAGTAAAGGA